TGCACGAATATGCACGATAGCATGCAGTCATGTGATATTAATTTCTCTACCCACTAACTACTTATGCGTATAAAATGACTCAAAACATTCAAAAGTACTCGAGCTACCTCAAAAATCAATTTTCTGAAAATCGTAAATAGGAGAAACCAAGAAAACTTAAAATGGAATAAGATTTTCCATTTGCAGTACCAAAAAATGAAGGTCTTGCGGGGTACAATGCTCTTCAATTAGAGAGCACACAGACCGCGTTTATTGGCAAACGGTAAAGCCGCTAGCCATTGAAACAAGCCATTCTTCAGAAATAAATGGTTTACAAGGAGCTGAGCTTCGATGCCTATGTGAGAGTAGGTGAGAAATGCGCTCCACCGCTAATTACACGAGACGATTGAAATTAAGCACAAATTTTGATATTTGATCCTTTGGTGCTGCCAATTGGATTTCAACTGCACACTCTTGCATTAATGCTCAAGATCCGCACACAAATGTCCAACACCCCGCTTATGCTTTTCCCGCCATCGAAACGTCGCATGCTCTAGCTAATTCGAAGCGCGTGCCAGAGCTTTCCCCGGGAAAATGGTCAAAAGTAGATTGTCGATGCCCGGAAGTTGCTTCTCTAAGTGTATTTCTAAAGGCCTTGATTGCACTAGGAACCCTTTTGTAAACCGTGCCCTACTCGATAAGGTGACTGAATTTCAGCTAAACTCAACTATATTAGTGGCACTAAAGCAAGCATAGAAGTGCAACCCATGTTTACATGAAATGGGAAATCTACGTCAAGCTTCTTTAAGAACCGCTATCAAAATTTGACGAAACGTCAGAGTATGAGTCTATCCTAGTAAAATACTCGTCATTGCCGAAGTGAACAGCTTCAGTTACCCTTAATACCTTTTCTTATTGTTCAGTGAGGCAAAGAATATTCAATATCCATCACGGGTTTGCTAATATTAAACAAGAGCTGGAAGCTGAGGATGAACTAGGACTTGCTGGGATAGCCTATCTGAACAATTACTGCCAGAACCTGAATATTAGAAAGTCATTGCAATTACAGTTGGATCACCGTAACTCAGTGCCAATTGACATTCTTTAGAAATGCGATATGAATCGATTTCAAAACTTGCCGCAACTTATTATCTGTCGCTCTCAGTGGAATCTTTGTTTCATTGTGCCAAGTGCGCCATCAGATATGAATTTGACAAATGACAGGTATATACAGAGTGGCAGCACAGACTTCATGTTAGAATCAAATCACAATCACGATTCCAATGATTGTGCATTGACTATGACTCCTAGACTACTAAATTCTTACTAAGCGCATTAGCAATGGTCTTTTACGGCATGAGTCAAGTTGGACCGAGCTTATTTCACTTCCCCGGGATATGCCAACATTAAGCGAACAGTCGCAAGTCCTGTAGTTTGCTGATCGTTCGATTGATTAAATCGTTTGATAGTTGGAAGCGCAACAGCTCATATTTCATGAGCGCACGACCACTCTCCTGGTGCAGTGTATAGGTAACCAGTAATGGTTCCATGTCCTTTTATCGCTACAGTGGCATGTAGCTCTCACATAATTGACGCTACCATCTAACATGGAGCTAGCTCTGACATAGGTTCTTTAAAGCTTTAGGCAAAGTAGGGGTATGCACAAAACATTCCCAAGACTGTTAGCAATTCTCTTAGTATAGTCAAAAAAGCCTCAACTAAAGCATCTAATCATGTTGGCCAACCTCAGCTCGAACTGCTTCAAGAGCTATGACAATGATCACAATGCGAAATTTGTGCACCAAGTCAAGCAACACATGTTGCGTGAGGCATTTATGATGATATTATAAATCAAAACTCGTTCGCCCATTCGTTACCTCGAGCTCTGCCAAGCCTTTTCATTGCTTTCTCACCGCTTATTAACTGTGTTTACCCATATATTTTTGTAATATCTGCGAAAGTCACATATACCTTAAATTTATCTTAGTAATTGAGTTCGAAGCCGAATCTAGCAAACGGGAAGTATAAGTTAGCTCGAGCAAAGCTCTACGAGACCATGCATTCTGTCTATTTGGAGATTCGAAGAGCAGCTTATAGCAACGAACCGATTGATAAGTAAATCAAATCATGCCTTTTGTTAAAAACTTCAAGCCGATCGCTCTTCAAGATACCAACTTGTTCAAGCCATTGGCCGTCGGCGACACCGTCGTTGAACATAGGGCTGTGATGTGCCCGCTCACCAGACTGCGTGCACACGCTCCCGGAAATGTGCCCAACAAAGACTGGGCAATGGAATACTACGATCAGCGTTCAAAGGCACCGGGAACCATGATTATCACCGAAGGTACCTTTCCATCACCTCAATCTGGTGGTTATGACAACGCTCCCGGTATATGGTCTGAGGCGCAGATGACGCAGTGGAAGAAGATCTTCGCCAAGATTCACGAGAACAAGTCCTTTGTTTGGGTCCAACTTTGGGTTTTAGGAAGACAAGGTAGCCCAGAAAACTTGAAGCGCGATGGCTTACGTTACGACTCTGCTTCGGACGAGGTGTATATGAATGAGGGTATGAAAAGGAATGCTGTTGAGTGTGATAACAAACAACACGGTATAACCAAAAGTGAAATCCAACAATACATTAAGGAATATGTTCAATCAGCAAAAAACTCTATTGAGGCAGGTGCAGATGGTGTAGAAATCCATAGCGCTAATGGTTATCTTTTAAATCAGTTCCTAGACCCCATTTCCAACAAAGAACAGACGAATATGGTGGTTCTATCGAAAACAGGGCGCGCTTTGTACTAGAGGTCGTGGACGCTCTTATCGACGCAATAGGCAACAAAAAAGTCGGTATTCGCTTCTCCCCTTACGGTGTGTTTGGTTCAATGTCAGGAGGAACTGAGGAGCTGATTGTTGCCCAGTATGCATATGTTTTAGGCGAACTTGAAAAGAGGGCACAAATGGAAAAAAGACTCGCATATGTGCATCTAGTCGAGCCTCGCGTTACTAATCCGGCCGACGCTGAAGGAGAAGGTTGGTATACTGGAGGAACCAACGAGTTCGCTTATAGTGTATGGAAGGGCCTCATCATTAGAGCTGGTAATTACGCTCTGGATCCAAAGGCTGCCTTGCGCGCCGTGGAACAGAACAACAGAACACTGCTGGGCTACGGCAGACTCTTTATCTCGAATCCAGATCTGATTTCCAGAATTAAGCATGGTTTGCCTCTAAATGAGTACGACAGGGATACGTTCTATTCTCAAACTGTTAAAGGCTACACTGACTATCCCAACTTTGCAGAGGCTTCCAAGCAGGTCGCGTCTAGTTAAGCTCTTGTATTTTCTGTTTTTTATATGTTTTTTTGACGATCAAACCTGCGTCGGCGGTGCTTGTGTGCTGGGTTGTTCACTTAGGCCGTTCATAATGGACTTGTCTGGTTATTACTTTGTTATGGTTCATTTAGCTCTCCGTGATTTCTGTATTTAAAAGATACTGCATAATAGCTCATCTGTTCTATGTATACAAAGAAAATCAAAATAATGCCGGTTCGCCAATTACAACATGACTTATATCAACTGTGGATATCAAAATAGGACACTCGTCATGTATGAGTAGTTGCTGATAGGCCAAAACTCGTCTCGGTTTCATTTCACATTGTATTAATAAGCTATTGTCTCAATTTCATGTCATTCAGACTATTCATCAATGAGCTCGTTAACAGATAGTTGCCGAAGATTGTCACTCAGTAGCTTATATTACGGCAGCAATCTGAAGAGCTGAATTTTGAACGCTGTGGGTCACTAGATAGTAATGCGAGAATAAGCTGAGACGGGACGCTTTCTGTGACAATTGACATGGGCTCTTGAAGAGAACGGCTGTGGTTCCTAAGCTGTAACCACCACCCACTTCATGGGACCCAAGAATCTGTAAGAAAATCTTCATAGTTTATAATAAATTACTGTGCAAACGGTGCAGTCGTAGTCCAGCCATGCTAAAGAACAACTTGAACTTGAAATATTCTATTCCTCCACTTCCCCAGACTTTTGACATGACTTACAAGGATTGTGTTTTGCATTGTGGAGACAGATATTTCCATCCTTTATTGAAAACAGCTTCATCACTTGGTTTCTGCTCAAGAGCTCATCCGCCAACTTGCAGAGCTTTTTGGTCCCTCCCCTAAGTGGAGCACGATTCCCTTCCATAGGCACGTTTGAAGTGCTTTGCTTTTAGCCTTAGTCAGCACTGGGGACGAATCACGAATCCACTTGACGAATCCATCCGTCTACGGTGATGTTGGATTCGAATCCAACGTTTATAATGATTAAATATTTTTAAGAATCCGACACGAATCTGAAAAACTAAATGCTAACGCGTTTCGCAAAAGCATGAAACCATCCTTTCTCAAAGCTTCTCAGACCTTTCGAGCTCACGATGTTATCCAAAAACCACTTCCTTTATCTCGGGTATCATTTACAGAACTATGTACAATCTTCGAGAAAAAAGGAGGAGAGACTATAAAGAGTTAAATAATGGTCTTTGGAAGAAGCAGAACCTGCAAAGCACACCATCTCTCTCTGATGTCAGCTCTGCTGATACACTAGTTAGTGAGAGTTTGCAATCGCTGTCAAGTCACGAAGAGTTGATTGATGATAATGAAGCCTTATTGAGCGATGACGGTTGCGAACAGACTGATGAAGATGAAGGGCTAATTAGCGAGCATGAACAAGGACACGTTTCTTCTGAAGTCCCTAATGAAACGGATCCTCAACGTGGTCGGTCACATATCCAGGCTGATTCGACTACTGATCTTGCCGTCAGCGCTCGGCAAACCTACAACAGAGGCTCCAGTGAGGACTCAACCCCCGCGATAAGTCAAACATTGCAAATACCTTCTTCTACATATGCCAATGAGCCCATTATTTGTCAAAATATGTCTGGTCAGCCTTTACAAAGAGCCAAAACAGCAACTATCAACCAGACTATAACGATTCCTACCCATGACTGGATCTACCCTAGTGGGCCTAAGAGAAGCGTTCATGATTCTAGCCTTCAGCCCGAGCATTTCTATCATCATAGTGGGTCTAGTGACTCAGATGAGCAGCATACAACCAGGCTTAACGATGACTCCTTTAGAAGTGTTCTTGAGGATCAAGGTCCGAAACCAGAAAGGGCTTTCATAGAAAAATTCGGATTTGATTTTGAAGAGTTTTCCATAAATCCCTTTGCTAAACCGTCCATTAGCGGAAGCACACAGCAGATCGGTATTAGCAATCAGGACAAAAAAAGGTTTGAGACTTGGCTAACCACATCTCCATGGCGTATTTGGGTTACTAAAGTTTATAGCCAACATCCATTCGCATTGTGCAAATTTGATAAATGCGAGCACCGGTTCACTTTACATGGCAATCCTACTTCGTCTAATATCATTAGGCATCTTAAGCGACAGCATAATAACGACTATGAACTCTTCTTCACAGGCCTGAAGGGTAAACAAAAAACATTGGAAGCATTTTCAGCTGTTCGTACCATCGTTTCGAAGCCCTTCCCCTTTGCGAAGAGATTTCTCAAGTTCTTGTCCCTTAACAATTCGAAGCTTCATTTACTTAACGTCTTTATTGAAGGTTTTATACCTTTCAGCTTAGTGGAAAGCCAAGGGTTTCGACTTCTTCTCGATAACTATAACAGCGTGGGGCGTTCTTCAATTTCATCTAGGAAAGGTTTGGTTAGCCTTCTCGCACAGTATGAGACCGAATTTAGTTTACAATTGAAGCAAACTCTTCGGCAATCCTCCAACTTTAACCTTTTGATAGATATGTGGACTTCCTCAAACCAAAGGAGTTATTTGGCTAGTTATGGTCTGCTTTTGTCCCAACTTGAACGGAAAATCAAAGTTAAGTAAAGATGATGTGAATACGGGCAAGAGACCTAATACTCATATTCTCGATTTCATCGATTTGAGCAGTCAGAGACACTCGGGTGATAACATAAAAACGGCTTTGTTAAGCTGCCTCACAAAGTATTCCATCAGTCATAAAGTGAGCAGCATTACGTTGGACAATGGTTCAAATAACATCTCAATGCTTGAAGACTTGGATAAAGAAATTCAAAATGGTTTTGGATCAAATGGTGTTGGGAGTATTGTCAAGGTAAGATGCATGAATCATGTGTTGAATCGAGTTTTTCTCGACTTACTGAAGGGCTTTGAAATGCACCACAAACAATTACTGTCAAGAATTGACAAACTAACTTACTTTACAAAGAGTAACGTTTATATTAGGAGTAAGATCCAGACTTACATTCCGTGCACTATTCCAAAGCACAATAATACAAGGTTCATCTCGCGTTATCGTCAGCTAGATGCTTTTTTGAAGGTTTCAAAAGGTGCCAAAGAGTTTTTTTTCGAGAATCGCTTCGATCCTGAATATCAGCTTACACAGGAAGACTGCTCTATATTTTGTTATGATCAAGCAGAAATAGAATCCATTCTGTTTTTGCTGCGGCTCACTCGAATCTTTTATGAGTTCACGATGTTGTTACAAGATGATTCCATGAACTCTTTATATCATGGAATTGAGTATTACATGCAACTCAACCAGTATTTTGATTCTTGTGAAAGCATTAAAAATGGTTCAATGGATAGCGATCATTTACAATCCGCGGGACTGAAGCCAACTCATTTAGTGCACCCAAAGAAACACAGGATGAGATCCTAGGTGCAATTATAGCGGCGCGTCCCAAATTTGAAAAATACCTGAAGGTCGCCTATGAAGAACCTGGCTATTGGGCAGCACATATCTTGCAACCGCACTGCAAATCGCATTTGTTAACTAATGTTTTTGATCAGCCGTTCTCAAACCATGTTTTAGAATTGGTTAATGGGTATGTCACCCTGTATATCAAAAAGTTCAACGAAAATTCCGATTATCATTCAAATGATGAGCATCTGATTCCAGCAAGACTCAGACCCGTCGAAGGCAAGAAGTTCAAAATTATGAGAAACCTGTCTAAATTTTGTGAACAGAACCTGGCAACCTGTAGCCGTGCAACAAAGAATGAATGGCAGATTTATTTGAACGAGCCATTAGAAACTGAAAATAGCTATTTGGATTACTGGCTCGCGAACCAAAACCGATTTCCAGCTCTCTGCTCTCTAGCGCTTTCTTTTTTCCACACAAAGATCTCGACTGCTGACGTTGAAAGGTGCTTTTCTATAAGTAAGAGGGTTCTGGAGAGTAGGTTTTCACTTGCGAGTCGAGAATTTAAGACGGACCATGATTTTAAGAAACCGGATGAAATGCTTCAATATCTACTCAGAGATGTTAGTGGCTAAAGATATTGCATGGGATGCTTGGACTGAGGATGAAGAAGCATTCGAATCTACCAGTGATTTAGCCTCAAGTTCCAAAAGACCTTCAAAAAATAATTCAAAGCCAATTTTGATGGTCTCATCTAGTGACGAAAGCGATAATAACGAGCTAGAAAAAACGAGCGATCTATATAAGAGTGATTAACAGAATGTAAGCAGATTGATGGTGTTAAATGGCCTATATAAGTACGTGAAATCTACAGAACGACTAAATCATATACGCTGACCACGATAAGGATTTCTATACCCGTACACAGTGCCCAGATTCGTAAGTCTTCGCGAATCCGGACCGTAGTAAGCTACTGGATTCGCGAATCACTGGATTCGTGGCCCAAAAATGCGGATTCGCCGGATTCGTCCCCAGTGCTGGCCTTAGTACAAATTCAGCAATTGTGTGATGAACATCGGAATTATGCACCCGTATCATGGATTTCTGATTTTTGTTGACGCGTAGAGCGTACCTCGTGGTTTTTTCTAGATCTCTTGCTATTTTTACACAGAGCTGTAACGAACACTGAAATCTCACGGACTTTTCACGGGGTTAGCGCACGTCCCGGAGAGCGCGGTGAGACACATTTCTGCAAGACGGGTCTAGTCCTGCATCTATTCGCTGCTTGGAAGCTTTGCGCAGTGGAGGACTGTTAGTTGTAGATCGAGAGCATTTCGACTTTTGCTTTACCTTGGAACAAAAGAAGATGCTGCAAATCTTACTTGCATCGCGTAGCTTCCAGGATAAGTGTACTCGCACATATCATTTGGCGGCAGTTAGTAACAATTGTTGGAGATTTGAATTACGTATTATGTGTAAAAAAAAAGCATGCACCGACACCACACCTTAAAATTACAGCTGACTATCAATGAATTACAAACGCCGACTCAACTTCTAGCAATTATTCTTCACTTTTCTTTCACTTCTTGGGGCCCTAAAGATCATTAGTGGCCAAATATCTTTCCCAAGATCTTTCCCAAGCCATACCAATGTACGGTATTTGTCGTTATCAGTCTGCAGCAGTCATGGAAACACAATTAGCCCTTGAGCACTGGAACAAGCCATCGATCCTACACTGAACGATTGAATGATCGACTTGTTTTGTCCGTAACCCACCGACAACACGGCAATTGCCGCGTCACTGTCTTCGTGAACGACTAGTGACAAGGCGTATCCATAACTTCCCGCGGCAATCAAATCGATGTAGCCGGTGGCATCATTGACGCTAGCGGTGTTAACAACGGAAATTATGGAAGCGTCTGCCAAAATTAACTCCGCTATGTGGTTGACGAGAGGAGCTCAGAAATACTATCGCTGCGAGAACGTAAATGAGGACACTCATTTATTGTGCTTCCCTTGATGTATACATTGCAAGTATCAAGATCGTTGACAGAAATGTAATAAACGCATACAAGATCATGTTTTGGCAAAACTGAATTAACAGCCCTGTGTAAACTTTGAAATCCTTCAATGCATCTCATACAAAAGTACAGCTAGATTCTTGTTGTTCTTCAATAGACTGAGGTCGCTGCTTTGATCGCGCTTGTAAAAGATTCCGCTCACGTTCATCCACGAAATGAGGGTTTTCTACATCGATTGGAAGGCCAAATATATCCATACAGCGGCTGTAGTAGAAATGAGTCCCTCGTTAATGTATAACCACTTCCATCCGTTGAGACCTGCCGCATTACGAACCGCTGCCAATCCTGTCGCAATCAAGTCACCAAAGGCGCCAGCAAGCGCAGCACCGAAAAAAAAAGCAGTTCTTTTAGTGTGCTCCTCAGCCTTGTAAATCATGCTAACTACCAAGACCATGGCTCGAAAATAGCCACCTTCAAAAGCTCCCAAAAGCACTCTAAGTGCTACCAAAGAGTTGTAAGAATTCACAAGTCCGCTGCACAAAAAAATTATCTGTCAGGATCTATGTGCTACTGTTAAGATAGCGTCGATTGCATGGTGAAGAGCCATGACATAATAGTACAAAGTGATACCGTCAAACCTTGATCAGTCGGTCAATTATTCGCTTCATCTTCTCAAACTGAAAACAAGTACCAGATGATAGACTATAGTGGTCTGATAATTGATCGATGACTCATTGGATACTATTAATTTATCATACGATGTATCGTATGTTTATTATAAGCTGAGTAATTGTTTTTATGCCCAGCCGATTTCTATATAAATACCGACCAGTTACTCTACTCGACGAATTATCCTCATATCCTAGAGATTCACGGAGAGATAAGTAAATTCTAGATTCCAATAAAAGTTGTTTAGTACATCAGAAACGAGTTAAATGACCAGTTCAACTAATGACCAGTTCAACTACTACTGACGCGGACGTGCCTCATTACATTCATGCCTGTTGAAGTAGTTACCTCAATAAAGTCGCGTCAGATAATTGAGAGCCAGTCATTTTTTTGATTCGTTTCGTTGACCCGTCTAGGTTACTTGGTTGTTTTCCTTCTCTTCTGAGGCACTTGTTCACAACAGCACTTTCTGTCAACAGACGAGGACAGACGAATAACCACTCCAAGAAGACAGATAGGCTTCAATTATCTTTCACACACAATATGGCACGGATTATTTTCAGGTAAATGAAGTGACATAGATGCTGTAGAAGCGCTAATAGTCTGTGAATTTGACCAGTTTACGAACTCTGGGATAAATACTTCATGGACTGCTGAGAAATGATTTTCGCACTGCGGTTCAGGTTAAGAAGTTCTCGATGATATCAACAAAAACTGCCAAAGGATTTATGTAAAGCACATAGGAGATGGCTTAGTGGTTGTAGAGCAAGAGGATGCTGCGTTTTTTTGTACAGTTTCTGCGACGTCTTGGGAATCATCCTACGGTGCCCCCAAGATAGCCTTCAGCTCTGATAAGTACACATAAAACAGCTCCAGGGCATAACAAGCCACTGCAGTGAGCTTTAATGTCCAATTATTTCCCGATTTGCTTATACGAATGGTGGTATACATGTTTTTTGTTATCTGCAAAGTAAACCCACTGGTTCCAGAGCCGCAAGAGCCACGAACATAATGGGCAAACACCCTAATCGTTGCAAATTTATCTAACAGCCTGAGTCCTGAACCTCCCAACCGAGGCATCTGTGACCTATTTTACTTAAGGCTGGGCCCCAAGTAAAACAGAAACCTGTTGTGCAGTCAAAGCGGCTAGTTGCCTGGGTATCGATGCCAATCCAAGCAGCTCAGTAAACAGAAGTCACGCCCCCACCGTATCATTTGTACAATCATTGACCTTGGCACAAATTGTTATAGTTTTGAGCGCACCACTGTCCGTCGTTGCAGTCTTGAGGGGCATCATAACCACTTTCAGAACGGTGGAATGCTACCCAACAACCTGTTGCTTAGGCGCACGATTGTGCACATGCAAGCAACCTTTGCCCACTCCCATCCACACACTCCAGTCATGGTACTCAAGCATTGTATCCCATTCGTACCAAACTTCGGCGTCGTTATTCCAGTGTTCCCAGTTTTCAACATCGTTTCAACCAGCAATGGTTCCTTCACTGTAAGACTGGAGGTACAATTCACCGTTAGGTTCTTCTAATCTATCGGAGCCATGTCTTTTTTTTGATGTTATGTTACTATGCACCAATGGGTATATGACAGCATGTGTAATATTAGTCTTGACGTGCACTATAGTCTGAAGGTTCTTATGGTCACTAATATTCGTGAAGTGCAATGGCCAATGATCAAGTTATCGCTTTCCTAGATTCCCAGAGCGGCGTATCGGGTACTTTACAGTGTCGTTAGTGTCGATAGTATGACTTTCATTGAAAACCGCGGGAGCCGTGAAAAACTGAAAATCAACAAACAGGTCAGTAGAGTTCACGTTTGCATGTAATTGAGCAATTGTACTGTACATCTCAGCAGCAACATTTGGGGATAGCATTCCATCGCTTTTCCACCACGCTCCCGTAAAATACCTGTATGCCACTGAGAACCCTTTGGCAAAAGAGGAGGCCAATACCGATTCAGCGCAATCACGCGCTGACACAGACTCACCATTGGCTATGGAACATGATCCTACCATGTCCCATATATGTCCTAAAGCACCAGTACCAGCAATTAATTATTGAAGTAATTTAGGATCATTATTAGGATTATGTTTAGTTATTCAAATCTACATAATATGTCTATTAGAATTTATCATTTGATAATCCTTTAACTTATTCCCCTCATTAATTGGTAGACACGATACTCTTTACATGTATTACTTTATAGTATGAAGGTTCAAGTCCTTCAAGTAGCATAATTATCAAATATTCATAATATAAAATACCTAAATATTTATCTCCATCAATTAAACCTGCTAATCATTGATTAAATTTAGTATTATTTGTTATTATCATTTCTATTATATGTATTTAATAGAAGTGAATCAAAATTAAGAAATAATGTCCGTAAAGATTTATTAGTTAATATCATAGGCTGCCAGTGCTTCTTCCCCATTCTTCATGGAGAACCGGGCTATGTATTGCCAAACGGCACCCGCTACAAATGTTATGCCAAAATTATAATGACGCTAGCTGCGGGAAAGAGTCGAATTGATCTGAAGAACATTTAACAATATGAGAAGACTAGTGATTGACAACAAAGCTAGTGAAAAGATTATCACGCTAGCAAAGAAGCGAGTGTCGTGAGGCCTGTTTGGTGCACTTGTCGGATCTTGAACGTGAAAAGATTCCATGCCGCGAGTAAGAAAGTGCACTTGATCGGTATAAAGATCTCTTATTCATAGATTTCGGAAGCGATTTCAGGATTTTAACTTTTTTATGCGAATGGCTTCCAGAATGATGAACTACAAAAAGGTACGAGGGAGATAGAAATTAGCTGAGGGAACGTATGCGCAGATAACAACATCCGGTGATGCTGATCAGCGAAAGTTCAAGGCATTTTCTGAAGTGCGCTGCTTTTTCCCTAAGTCATTCCAACTACTTAGAAGCAAATACCTCTATCCCTTGGAGCTTGTTTACACATGCGCTGTAACTGGCCGTGGAGCAAAACGAAGCAGTACGGCTGCAGTGGTATGAGTGTCAACGCTTAGAGGCTCCTAGATGGCGTGCATCTAGAATTACTAAGTGAGTTTGTACAAAGTCAAATCTCACAGAACGCGCATACGTTGAATTGGGATCGGTGTGGGGACATAAATGTTTTGCGTTGCCGCAATGCATTACTTAAGTTAAGGTCCTTTTTCGTAGCGCAGTAGAAAACAGCACTCCTTACACTTTTTACCATGGCTCCAAGTACATATAAACCTATAACGTTTGGTCTCTATCGACCGAGTTCAAGCCTTGGTGATTACTGGTAATGTTGTCAATGGACATGTTCAAGTAGTTCTTACTAGTAAATAAGCGTTAGCAGGATGAATATATTCGTAATTTTCTGTATGAGGATATAATCTCGATATTTTTGTAAATAATCGTTTTTTTAATACATTTAATGGGTCTGCCGGATGCGCCCGTCTAATTAATCCTTGTGAACAAACTAAATGTGGCTATTCTGACAAGATAGAGCCAGCTTATTATCTAAATATTACTTTACAATTGTAATAAGTGCCATATAAGATATTTACAATATCTTCAATATCAGTTCGGACTATTCTGACGTAGTAAAGAGTCAGACACTTCTTGTGATTCCCATTAGTTTAAGCGACAGGAGAAGCACACGTAAACGGTTGCGCGAAATTTGTTTGATAAGCTGCAATCGCCCCCTCAATTGCTGAATAGGAGCACAAACCACAGGTAGCAAGCGAGGCAAGGCAAAGTAATAATAGTGAAATTTTGATCAAAGAGCGCTTAATGCCTCCTTGTCCTAAAGCGCGCTTCCAGCGCGACAAACCACTCCAATATGAGTCAGCTTTCTCAACGGTGAGCGTCAAAGGGTCGAAGCGGTCAGTCAATCCCGCATCCTGGCGGCATAACAAGCAAAAAGCGAAGAGAAACGGGAATGTGTAAGAAAAGTTGAAAATGCAAAATGCACCAATGATCGATACCAACGCGCTAACAGATGGGATGGCAGTACCAATAATATAAGCGACTGCCCAATAGATAACGACAAAGCTTCCCCAAGCGAGCGTGCCCTTGCGTGAGTCAAGACTGGGAAACTTAAAATTAGAGACCAAAAAGCCTTGGTAGAAAACTTTGACACCAACGTTTCCGTAGAGCACTGCTGCGATGATTTGTGTTATAATGTTCAACACATTACCAGCATTCTGCAAGCCAATGGATCCAATACCTTGATTTGCAGTAACGTAACTAAACTGTCCATCATATCCATACACGAAAAGTCCATAGAAGAGGTAGACCACCAAAATGAGTATTTGTGCGCAGATCATGCCCTTCCAAAAGTCCATTGGCCGTTTCATTTCTGCCATCACCTCGCAAAAAATCGTGGCACCGCCCCAAGCAAAAACCATATTGTTCATGCCTGAAATACGATCACTAATAGTGCCCGGAGCGACAGCGTACTGTACTATGGGCAGCGGGTCAAACGTTCCAGTCTTAAAATATGGAGGTCCCTGCCCATACTGTTGAAAAATACCGTAATAAGGACCGCCCACAGCAACACCCACCATTGTGATTATGCAGATTGCAATGTTCATCCATACTGCGGAGTTTGCGATATAAGCAAACTTGCCAAGGGACTTTATTTGCCCTAGAATCATACACAGGATGCCCCACACTAAAATATCAACCGTGAAGCAAAGTCCATCGTGGCCCCTGGTGACAATCTGCATCTGTGACACTGCTTGAGCAGTACCAAGAAGTAACACTCCACAGTTCAGTATCATTTGGATAAACTGTAAAATTGCAAAAGGGTACTTGAACCAAGGAGCTACAATTCGACCAGCAAGGTCGGAGAATGTGCGGATCGGATAATTGTTCGAGTCGACTTTGCAATAGCAACGGTTGAGCAGCCAGCCGCCCAACGCAGCGAAGACACCAAAAAGAACGTAAAGAATAACACCAGGTGCCCAGCCCATCTGGGCAACGGCATAGGGAGCATTTGTTGGGCCTAAAATGTCTGTAGTGATCAAAAAGAAAACCGAATAGACTTTCGCTATGCGCAGCGTTCGATGTGTGTTGAGCTTTGCAGTCGAGATGTTGCTGTTAGGGTCAGTGGTCATCTGTTCCTGCTGTAGAGCATATAAACCTTCGCTGTCGTCTGCTTTCTCATATTGACGCTGGATTTCAGCGTAGTGTATGTAAGCTTGCAAAGGTAAGTGCCCGCTCCGCTTCTTGGACTCGTTAGAGATGGCGTCGATGCCAGTCACGTAATCTTCCTTGCTATCGTTTGTAGATAGCGGGTGCTCTTTTTCTCTTGTCCCTTCATAGTTACTTGTGTGTAGCCCAGGACTGGCAATAGGGACTAGTTTTGACATCTTCGGCTATAGGTTCAGCCTTTTCCGTAAATCCAATCGGTTGTTTCCGTTATGCGAAAACCGGTATATCGGTAAAAAATCAACAACTTTATATATTTAGAGCAGCTGCTTTTCGAATGTGATTCAATTCAATTGCTGATTCTCTGTTGAAACTAGGCACTACCATTCTCTACTCTCGCTACCTTCTTTTTTTATAGGTTCGGTCATGCTAGTCGCAACTCCTAGACCTAGATAGCTAATTATTGTGACCGAGATATTCAACTCTATCCGGGGGCGTTATCGATGGTGCCATTCACACAACCGGCACATCCTCACTGCTAGTGTTGTCTCCACACTTAACAACACTGGCCGTACGCACTGCTTTTACTGGAATTGTCTGCTATCAATTTTTTTTGGTCACTGCATGCATTGTTATTTTTTTCGATAAGCCATTAAAGTTCTCGCTTCATTCATGCAGTCGAATGTGCCAAGGCTCTTTAAGACTTGCCAAGATATCCGTGCCTCGTACGGCAACATGGAAAACTGCATTTTTTTGACAAACACTCATAATAGGAAGGAGTGAGGTGTTGCGTTGTCAGCTACAAGCGTCTGATTGTGCTGAAGATGGGTTGACTTGCATCGAGGCAACCGCAATATGCGCGAGAGAAAAGCGTCTATAAACCGGCAACGTTGATAGCAATCTGTATCTCGACGCAATGAGTAAGCTGACAGGCGTTTCTGAGTTGTGTAGGGCAGCTGAGGCAGAAAAATGATTGGTCAGGACGATGGCGCGGGAGAGATATGTTGCCAATAACGTTGATAAAAGCTGACAGGCCAGGCGGCTTCAATCGTGTTAGCGTATAACAATGCTAACAGCGGATCTGAAGGGCAAAGAGATTTAGACCCCACACATTGCCAGCGTTGCGGCCTTGAACTTCGGAACCTTGGCCTACCACACGACCTCTCGTGACCTGAGCTGCTATGAGGTCTTCCGAGCACGGCTTTCAAGATCCTGGAGTGAGCGATAAAAAAGTTCGTTGTATCGCCGCAAACTAGTCTCTAGCTATTTAGATTTTCGGTTGCAATAGAATACACAAGTTCAAGTTTGGCATCTCTCGCATCTGGGAATGGGCATCATAAGTTTCTCCTGAAGTATAGAATCTGCCGAGTGGATTTATTTTATACACCACAAGACTTCGAGAGTATTTCTATGCTTTGTTTCCTCCTGCACCTACACACTTATTTTTCGTGCGTCATACCTATTGGAATCAGAAGAGCATATTTGCAAGAGCGTTTGTAGGTTGATGCATTCATTCAATCCGAAACCACTCATTATAGCGATCAAAAGGAGTCTGTCGTAGTATACACCACGTCAGAATAGTATGAAGTGATATAACATATAGTGTATACTGCATTGGTCTCGCTCGCAACTTGATGTAGCGGCAATAAGCCGACTAAATGTGAAGTACCAAGAGCATTTCAGTGTGTTGAGATTTTCTTTTTCATACAAGAAACCACGTAGAAATGTGTCCATCTAACGCTTAAATACTAGTAACGAATTTTTAACCATGTCCATTGACAACAATCCAAGCCACCTCAATGTATATGAACATTGCGGTTCGTCTTCAACAGTTGGGACAAGCGGGAGATTTGGCGGTTCTATTAATGGTGGCGAATTTCCACGCATTATTGAGGTAACCGTGCACTGAATCACGTTCCACTGTCACCAAACTGCAACATCTGCAGCTAACAGATGCGTTGCCGTTGTTGTGTCTAAATCGCGTCTAGAACCCAACGCAACCCTTCTGCATACATAGTTACTACGGGCTTGCCAGTCTTTTCCTGTGAGCTGCTCTTTCCCGTGCCTAGCATTAGGTAGGTCGCCATGCAGATTATGGTCTCATGGGTTTGGCCGATTTTTACACAAAGATACTATCTTTTCTGCGTGATAGTTTTGTTGTTGCCTAGCAAGCTTGAAGAACACTTGGCGGCATAAAGCGGCATTAAGACAGGAGATGGGAGTGACAGCCGAGAAAGGGGATACACCTACAAATTCGACAGGGTCAACGAGTTTTTTTGTTTGCAAATGACACAAGGCAGTTATCCATGGAGGACAGATTTCGGCTGCGTTGAGCAGATAGAATCCCATGTTGTTAGTTTCTTGAAATGTGTATCCAGTGCTCTGCTGTAGGTTCTGTCGTACGCACTTAAATTGTATGAACAAGTTTTATACTCTACTTTCTCTGGCATACGTAAAATGTTTTTGAAATGTGTCCTGTTTTCAATCGCGGCCCGTTTGACATACATTCGATCTTTCCTCTAAAGTTTCAATAGATCGTCTCGTATGTAGCTGGTATCCACAGTTTGTTTGTTCGCAACTATTGTTAAAGACCAAGGACATTGCCAAAGCCATTGGCGACATCCTTAATGTTCCCGTTGTTTCCATCAAAGCAGAAGACGCACAGGAGCACTTTGGATTTTTGCGTATGTTTTTGGTAGAGATAGCCCAGCTTCCAGTGAAATTACCCGCAAGGAGCTAGGTTGGAAACCACACCATCCCGCACTTCTTGAAGACTTGAGGACAAAATATTGTTCATAACTCTTTGGTTAATTATTAGAGGTCTCACGGAAATATCCTCAGATGATTGAGGTCCGGAAAGTTTGTAAAAGCTTTACCAACGCAGCAAACTACACAAACTATGGGTCAATTGTGAGTAAAAGACTTATGTCGTGAAACGAGATGACCCCATACCCTTGCCTAAAACGTATGTACCCCCTGGCTTATACCATGACCACGACGGTCTACGTCACGATTAACGCGGCCATGCCACTGTGTTTGAAAATCGTGGTTTCATCGATCGCATTTCGATCAAAGCGTAATTATGTCGTTGAAATTTATGCAATTTTTACTTCGAGGGGATGCCCCAATTACAGCAAAGTCTACCACAGTCTCATTAAAGAAAATATCTGATACAATAGTGCAGTTGTCCCTGATCATTTAGCGCCGCAAAATAACGCCGCAAAAAATGTTTTGCTCAAGTCATAATTCTCTCGAACAAAAACCGCGGCATGCCACATATATGCTGACAGCTACCCCTATATTCTAATGTATGATAAAGCGCATGTCAGTATAAGACTAAGTAGGTTAAAGACTTACGTATTCTAAAGGACGTAATTTTTTATGTCCGTACATGACGACAAGATGCGATTATGAAATGCACTTATTCAATGTTAGCAACTCATACCGAAGACATCTATAGAAGAATGAATGAGCGGGATGCGCGGAAGCAAAGTAGATCACTTATGATCGAGAATGAATGACCAAGGTATGACTCAAGTCATGTCTATTATGTTTTGAAAATCCAGCGAAGCGACATTCAACAACCTTTAGCGCAAGCGATTTTGAATGCGAACAACGGATTGCGCTAGAGATATTATGTAAAAGAAATGAGCGAAGTATTATTGAACAATCATGAACGAAGTAAATCATACAGTTGTGAAAAAAAGCTCACGAAGTGGATAGGACATCAAACAAGTGGCAGCATCCGCGAAACCCGAGTCTTGAAGTTTAACTGAAAAATGGTGAACTTTATTGGCCTGTCAGACTATCCTGATTGCATGTGACTTAGTATTATGATTTCTTGTCACCAATCAACAAATTATGTGCACCGTGATGCGAGCACAGCGGCATGTCGAAGCATTCTCAACTATTATGATTTGTGAAGCATCGTTTTTGAACATTCTACAACACTTCGGATGCTGAATTTGAAAAGTTTTTGTTCCATGATAATCGTCTTGGCGCGGCGCGTACTCAAGCTCATCAGAGTATTTGCAGACACTCTTTTTCTGTGTAAAATCATCATTTATGTCCTTGAATAGGCAACTTTTCTGAGTGGTAGAACGACGGCAAGTCATACCAAGCGGTGAATCGATGGCTAAAGAGAGGAAAAGAGCAAGAAGAACCATTATACTTTTTGCAAGCACTCTTGTAGTAATGGTCCAAGTATGGAAATCGCCGGCAAACAAGCAGCGACTGAACCATCCAAAGCTTCTCAGGTCTGCGGGCATGAAACGGCCTCATGGGCATAAAGTTGAATTTTGAAAGTCTTGCACGTCTGTTGGCCAGAGCGTGCCCAGAGTTTCGAAAGTTGAAGCTGAGTTGATTTTAGTCTCCTTCAAGTTTACCCACTTCACATTATACATGGCAACGTAAAGCTGCCAAGGTCGAATACTCGTGGATGCTTTTTTGTAAGCCACAATTTTGGCTTGCGCCCATTATACTTCTTAGGTCATCATCGCTGTGAACCAAGAATGTAGACATCAACCCCATCAGGCCAGACCAGTGGTTTTTTTCTTTCCTCCCTCAAATGCCAAATTGATACACCAGGTTTCTTGCTCAACGAATGAAATTTTTGTCGCTCTAGGAGCTTCAGCTTTTGACGGCATTGACGCTAACTAATTTTATTGCTGATTGCAAACAATGCCTTACTATTTCCTCATTCGATGCCCGTTTTGAAATTGAGGGGAGCAGGTCAGCAACCTAGCTGGTTCTCCTTTCATCGGAAGGTCCGTAGCTTGCATTGTAAAACTGCAATCAAATCACTTCTGGGTGGGAATGAAGTCGAGGCTTGACACGAGCTCGTTCCAATGCAACAAATGGTAGCTCGTAAGTCAATTCTGAATGAAACAAGTTTGGCTCTGCTAGGTCATTTATCCTCCCAGCTGAAACACTCAAAAAGTTCGTGCAACCCTGTCGTAAATGATGTCAGTTTCAACCATTCCTACTCAAGAAACACACTTCCTTAATCATGCACACCAGAAAGCTTGCGTCACTACGAGTTCTTAAAGGCAGGCAACTGAGATGCTTACTACTCCTTATTTCTAAGAATTAGAATTGAATCACTTTCGCGCTACCGTTCTGAGTTCTTCTCATTATCGCCGTACTCCGTTGTGCGCGAAGAGAACACTAAGCAATTATCGCAAGAAACCTCTATGAGTGTACAAAATCATAAACTCTCACTGAGATCTTCAAAAAATAGCGCCAAAGTAAGCACGTTAACAAATTGTGTTGGGATGACTGCTCTGCCAGGGCTTTTGATTGGCGATATCTCATACCGAGAATTATCTTGACAATCTGCGCCTGGGAGTCCTCGATTAATGAACGAATACATTCAGATCACGTTACACATGGGATCTTGAGTACTTCTTTAACGCACCTCGCGGAAGGAGACAGCGAAGGGTACAGCAAAAGAATCAAAACAAGGTACATAGTGCAGGTCTTAGCGAAAAGCTGATTATTACCATATCTTGTTAACAGCTTTAGGGTAAAGTTGTGTCGCCAGTGGCTCGGATCTCTGGGGTCAGCGAATCTATTATCAGTTGAACCATGTTTCGTTCCTTTTCATCAAGAAAAACGGAGGCCTCGGCTGCGATGAGTTTTGCCAAACGACTTTCTGAAAGATATAAAATCAAGTTCAGTAAATGATATACTTGGGTGTGATGCTCATTTGGCTCTTGGCAATATCACTGCTTGAAGTTTCTGTGGTAAAGTAACAATGTCTTTTACCCTAAAAAAGGCTCTCGTTGAAGAAAAGAGAAGATCCGTGTCATCGAGCGTTGAACTCCCAGAGAGAGGATCGCTACAGGAAGTTGCACACGAAATAAATGATGGAAAGGTTCCTCTGGAGGAGAGAATTGCGCGCAGAAAGTTGCTGCCCCGTCAGGTTTCTATGATTGGTATTGGGGGGGCAATCGGAACTGCGCTTTTTGTTTCAATTGGATCCAAGGTTATTGAGGGCGGTCCTGGTTCGCTTTTGATTGCTTTTTGCCTATGGTCAGTTGTCTTCATTGGCCTCTCACAATCTATGTGCGTAATGGTATCTTACCTACCTGTGACAGGTTCATTTGTTCATTTCGCTGATAGATTTGTTGATAGATCATGTGGGTTTGCTGTTGGCTGGACCTATTTTGTTTGCCAGTCCTCCAATGTTTGTTTTGAGATTACCGCAGTCTGCTTGGTAGTTGAGTACTGGACAGACAAGATCCCCAAGGCTGCTTTGATATCTATCTTGATTGTTCTCTTTGGCTTTTTGAATCTCTATTCTGTATTCTTTTTTGGGGAGGGCGAGTTTTACCTTTCGATTGGCAAAGTCGTTTTAGCCATTGGTTTAATTATATTCACAATAGTGACAATGTCAGGCGGAAACCCTCAGCATAAGGTTCTTGGCTTCAAAAACTGGGACAATCCGGGTGCCTTCGCTGAATATCTTACGACGGGTTCGTCTGGCAGATTTAATGGGTTCATGGCATGCATGATATTTGCTTTATACGTATTCTGGGGTGTCGATTACTTGGGCAATGCTGCAAGTGAAGCTATGAACCCAAGAAAAGTGATTCCGTCTGCCTTCAAGAAGGTTTTTAGCAGGCTTATCATCTTTTACATCGGTGGTGCGATATGTGTGGGCATTCTTATTCCATTTAATGATCCGGAAATGATCAAGGCCATCAGCGAGGGTGCAGTGGGTGCTGGAGCTTCGCCCTACGTTTCTGCAATGAATACAATGGGTATCAAAGTACTACCCCACATTGTAAACGTACTGATTTTGTCGTCCATCATATCAGCTGGAAACTCCTCTTTGTACTCATCATCGAGAGTGTTGCACCGCTTGGCACTAGAGAATCAAGCACCTGCCTTTTTGAAGAAGGTAACGAAGAGGGGGGTGCCGCTTTATTGCTGTATAACTGTTCTTGTTATCAGCGGGTTGTCTTATCTTTCTGTCTCCAACAGCACTAACAAGGTTCTAACTTGGTTTCTGAATATCCAAACTTCTGCCATGGCAATTGTTTACATCTTCATTTGCATCTCCTACTTACAGTTCTGTCGGGGATGTAAAGTACAAGGTGTGGATATGAACACCTTGCCTTATTACAGCAGATTTCTACCATATTTAACGTGGCATTCACTATTTTGGCTGACAGTCATGCTCTTCGTCAGCGGATACTCAGTATTTTTGAAAGACAATTGGGATGTTCAAAGCTTCGTGTTTTGCTACTTTATGATTCCCTTTTTCATTGTTTTATTTGTGGGGCATAAGCTCTATTTGAGAGGCACTTTCGTTAAACCAAAAGATATGGACTTGTTCAGTGGCTTAGAGGATCTTGCCGAAGAAGATGAATATTGGAAAGAAAATCCTCCTAAATTGAACTGGCTGGATAAATCATTCGGGCTTTTGCTTTGAATTTTGCTTTGAATTATGTTACCGTCAGCTTACTTCTATTGTCTCATATCCTTTTTAATTAATCTGTCTAGAATTTTTCAATAGTATTCTTCTATTGAAGAGAACATATTACAATATTGCACTGTGACCTCTTCTCGCCTTAAGTAGGCTTCTTGAATGCTTCACGAACACCAGAGACTATAGTTGAAGCCAAATCATACACTAGACGATTATTTATTTGTATCGGAAAAGAATGTAGTAAACTTTTTAGGTTCTTTGTTTACGGCCCATCTCTTGAAGTAAATCATAAAGTTCCACATCAAGCAACCATGAAATCCAGCCGCGATCCAGAGTGTAGAACAACGAAAATTTGGCTGTTCAAACATACGAGGAAAGTCTTGATAATTATTTGAAGTCGAATGAAAACTCTGTGAATATGACTAATGATAGACATAAACGGCCTAAAGAGATGTATCCTTATCGGCTCGCGTGGAATGCAACAGCTGCCATGAAGAAGGGTTGATGCAGGTTTCATTTTATGTCATCATAGTAAGTTATTGAAATGGCCCTCTGTAGTACTCTATTGGAATCCCTCCTTAAATCCTTGCTATATTGCTTACCTTTTCCTATTGTATCGGTCTGGATGGAGAGAACCCCACTTAACACACCGCTGCACAATTTGACGTTTTCGAAGTAAAAAGCGTCAAGAATCAGGAGTGTTGTTGAAAAACGACACAGTAATTCAACATTTATGAACACTACTTGTTAAAGTTGAGCTCCTGATAAGACCGCGGGTTTTTATTCGATGGGGGGAATACTGCCGTTCAAAATTTAGTCCATACAAGCAGCAGTCACCAGTTACCAGATGCCACGCAAAAGAACTTCTTACCAAGAGCTTACTTCACACGCCGTAAGAAGTACGGCAGATCCTCAGTTTGGTAATGCTAACCCAATTTTAACTCAAAGCGTCCCATGTTGGAGAAGACTTACAGTTGATGGCAGCCAAAATAAAGGCCCCATTAATAATGAAAGAATAAATACTTATAACTTATAAAATACCAAGAACTCGGTCCCGCTTTCGTGTACTCATGGTTCAGGTTTCAAGGTTCAAGGTTTTATCCATAGAGTTTTCAATATGAAAGGTCATCTTGAGGTTCAAGGTCATTCAAATAGTATGCAGGTGCGAAAGCTGACAATTGCCAATGAATTGGAACCATAGAAGCCATAAAAATTTTGCTTACATGGACTTGTCGAATATGAATGCTGAGAATAGCAATTTTCATAATGACAGGATAGTGGGAAGTGATATGAGTAAGATAAGAGCGCTAAATGATACCTGATAGTTCCACACTCAAAGTCAGTGACCAACAAGGCTAAAAAAGTATTCGACCCTATATCAGTAATTAAAAATAATTTGGCCGTTGATACAACTGCGTTCCGCTTATATCTAATTCTTTTGCGCCCCGCAAGATTAAAGTGCTGGTTGTTCTTCTTAAGAACAGGTATATAATCTATAGAATAACAACTGCCGACATATATTCAAACAGCGTTTGTTTAGTTAGTAGAACTGCCAAACTATGTTCATTGACAGTACTTGAGCAACTTTCAAGACTTAAATGTGGTCCACAGCATTTTTTCTCGAGATTTCTACTATGCCGGAAACACAATTCTTATGTAGTTGGCCGGACGCTCCGCCCTTAATAGGATGCTATACTGTCGCGGGAAGCAACAATTCTCAATCGAGAGCGGAACACTGTCTTAATTTCCCCAAAACCACAACACCCAAAAAAGCATCAAAGTTATTTAAACGTTTACCTATTTTTCCGCTCTCGAAGCCTCTCAAAGTAGATACAAAAGATCTTGGATTCTCATAAGTCTCAACAACTTCCACGAGATTATTCACATCATTGTGAGGATGCGTTGCGACGTGATTATGCATACCTGACAGAAATTCAAAGCATGAGAATGGTTGATTATTATTTTGCCGCCTCTCTTTTGTAGAGAGATATCATTGTACATTAGTCAAAGTGAAAGAATTTGAACCACTTGCGTCAAATCTGTCCTCATGAAGGGTGAGGTTTTTAAAGGTACTATGATAATAGTCAGTTGTGCCGATGGTATTAATACAAGCGCCCAAACCAATCCAATAACGTTTGGCGGCCACCGCTATTAATCCGACTGTTGCAGCACCTTGACTTGCATCTGCAGTTCCTAAACCATGGGGCGCTCCGTATACTACCGGAATTTTCAGCACTGATCCAGCATTGGGGAGAGCTAAGTTCGAGGTACAGGCGTAAACAGAGAATCCACCTGAAATTGTTGGTACTGCAACGAACAAAACTTTCAAAGTAGCATTAGCTACCCACATTCGTGTGAACCGTTTACGCAAGTGGCTCAAACAACACCGCCAGTCGTAAAGGCAGCTGTGGCTGCTTCTGGTTGATGTAATTGATATCTGAAATACAAGGTTGAAATAATAAACAAAATCACATACGTGACACAATAAACCTAACAGACGTTCAGGGTTATTTAGGGTAACCTCGAGTTTCTACAACTTAGGCCACTTAATTTTTCTATTTCACTTGGCCGGCTTTGATTAATTAAGTATATCTTGGAAAAAGAACTAGTTATACAGGTTCGCTTCTCAAGGAACTCGACGTCCTTTTATATAATTTTCGAGGAATGGTATTAATGATAAAATTGTGCCGGACATGAGACCTTGAAGATTTTGTTCTTACTTTGATCTTATCGGAGATAGTCCAAATGGTTGGGTATCTTGGCTGAGGATTATTTATCTGCCGCCTGCAGCTCCCTTGATGATGTGATTATCTCATAAGAAAAGAAAATAGTCCTGTAGCTGACCAAACTTGGAAGGATTTCGTAAGAACCCGCTCGAAAAAGTAATTCTTTTGAGGAGTACTGATGGTAACAAGCAAAAGCTGAGAATCTAAATGATAGCTCCACCGGTGCTGAGTTCTACTGGGGAATGTATAACATTTGTTACTTGCAAGTTGAAGTTTTCCCCGCTAAAGCGTATTCTGGAAGGAAGGCAGCAATGTCACACTTGACACCTTCAATAATACTCAACAAATTTTGCGTGATCGTATCCCTTCTCTTTTGTTGATAGTCCTCATCGATACTACTGAACTAACTCAATTTTTTGACATCATTGCACAGTCTCCTCGAAATCTTTACGCTCACTGCCGCAATTACTACAATTTTACTCTTCAGCATGATAACTTTGAATCATGCATTTTTGTTGAGATTACAACCTTTCGAGCATATTTGTTGGTATGACCCATGTTTATATCATATCGCTGACAGAATTTGACTCTGAGTGAAGCATATTTATAATCAACATCCATTGACAACAATTCAAGGAATCTCAAAGATCTGAACCTGGTCGATAGATACCAAGCTTAATATAAATAGATTGCCGGCTTCTCGTACGAATTACCAAGATACACATGAACTACTTCAATGACCAGTTCAGCAAGGTAACTATCATTAACGCAGATCAGCCTCAACGAAACTCGTGATTCCAAATCAAGTTTATTCTACCGCGTTGGTATATTCTCTGCGCCGAAATTTCACCACACCACACCTATATAAAAAAAGAAGACACACGGAGTCCTTAATTTACGAAATAAGTTACTCAATCAATTGAGTAAGAGGTAAACAGATGTACCAGCAAGGTTTCTGTTAATGGATCACCTTGACTCACTGCAAAATAGTGAATTGCTGACTCTGGCAGTATGTGGAAAGTAGATCAGAGGCATAGGAAACAAACCGTCAGCGTTTATGCGATAATTTTAGCCCAAGAGTATTAAAACAAGAAGCGGTTTATACTGAATTTTAGGTGCTTCACTTCTACATGCAGAGATGAAAATATGCAATGAACTATTGCTACCACTCTCAAATCTTTTCGCCCAGTACTCTGATTGGCTACTGGAACCAGCTTGCCATTGCTGACGTTTTCATTACTTGTCACTTTATACTTACATGTCATTTCCAATGGTGAACAATGTCATAAATTGAAGGTTTCTTGAATTTGAAGCTGAGCTTGATATAAGTTAGTAAAAGTTACAAAGGCAACCTGTTAGTGCTATCTTGGGATGTAGATATGAAAAACTATTTAGAATGAGAAGCCAATCAGAATGAAAAGTCTACCGAAACTCATTATGTAATAAAGTACTTCAGTAGGATTGTTCAAAGAATGGCTTCTGGTGCCATTAATATGCAGCCCTAAACATCGGATAACATCAAAACTCTTAGTTGCAATCATCGGACAGATTCCAATGTTTTAATTCATCTGAACTTCAGCTATTAAACTCAAAGGTTTCTTTCACTTTGATCTGGTAGCAACAATCCCAAGCCCGCTCTCATGCGGGCGACAATTACCTGAAGACCGGGGCCAGTTGTTGATGTTCCTTCGATGACATTGGGATCATACTGGTATACCCAGATTTGTGGTTGTTTGTTGTGGGGCCATGCTGCAACTGAATGCTCACTAGCGAAGCTATCTGTTCATATGAGGCGGCTGACTTAGTCAAGAAATAGATATTTCTATCTACTATCTTGTGCACTAATTACAACTGACGTGCGCTGTACAGGTAACTAGTCGATGCCGGCTTCAAATATGCGCCTTATTCAAACAGACATGAGAAGCTATTACCCTTTTAAAAAACGTCGCTAATCTCAAATGGACGTCTCTCTTTAATTCAGCTGCAAAAGACTCTGAGATAGTCCCTTTAGGCCTCGGCAATCAAAAACATTCGCCTAATGTAGTTGCTCCATGTAGGCCGCATTAAGTCTTTGTAGTGGTTTCTTAACCCCTCTTCGATATTTGTGTTATTAGACTTCGCGGTGAGAATTCTCCTCATCTTCAATTCTCGGTATGGGAACAGGCACAGAAGACCTGCGAAAAACATACAGACAACAAAGATTTGACAGCGCAAGTAGGGTCTGGGGGATGACGGACTTCTCAATCGTAGCGCGACGACTTCTGCGAAAAGCGCACCAATACCGTTGCCGAACATACCGTACCCAATACCAGCCGGAAATTTTTGTATGCCTACGACGTCAGATACCAGCGGTACAATGTTAACAGACCCTACGCCAGCACCAAAGCCAAGCAAGAAGCAAAACGGTACCAATTCACTGAATTTAGTGATTGTAAACCAGTAAGGTAAAAGAAGTACTAAATCATAAGCCATAATAATGATTGTGGCGTTGCTCCGTCCAATCACTTCAGCAAACCAGCCCATGAAGGGTCTTCCTATCGCTTGCGATCCATTGAATACTGCCAGAGCAACCGTCGCTTGCTGTGCAGTCATACCAATAGATGTGGCGTAGTTTGCGATAGAAAACATCAGGATCACATATCCAATTGTGCAAAAAGATGACCAAAGCGCACAGTAATGTAGTGGTGTAATCTTAAGAACTGATTTATCAAACGACTTCTTCAGGATTTCCATGGCGCTTTTCTTCTCTTGTTGGCCGCTAGCAGGCTCCCGTACTTTGATAAAGCACATAGACACCGCATTAATCAAGAATGTGCATGCTGCCAACATGCGCATGGCCCATCTGTGGTCTCCAGTGCGTTCGATCATGGCGTGTACCGCGAAAGAAAAAACTAAGCCGCCAAGACCAACGCCTACATGACCGAGCCCGTTCGCGAGAGCTCTCTTTTTCAAAAACCAGCTAGGTATAACTATGGTGTTAGAGCCGAATATAATTCCGAAGGAAATACCAAGTAGTACACCGTAGGTGACATATAGTACGCCTACAGAGCGAGCAAACGAGCTCGAAACAAATGCAACCACTTCTAGGACAATTGCGAATGCAAGAGTGGGCTTATAGCCGAATATGCTCATGCACGCAGAAACTGCCGGTAAGATCATCAAAGTGAGACAAATCACAATGCCTCCAATGATAGCGAAATCTGTCGGCGTTGCCCCTGGGAAGTAGTTGGACGACAGAAAATATGATAGGAATATCCCGTAACAGGTGTTGGGGCCCCAAGTGGCAAAGTTCATCATCGCAACGCACACGCAGCACACCCAGCCGTAACCGCCGTCCGGTGGTGGATCCAAGTACTCGTCCTTGGCGTACAGCCCATCGTCTTTTTCGAAACACTCTGTCTGTTCGCTTACTTCGTTCTCTTTGTCATTATTGCGTATTGCTTCATTATGCTGATCATCAAGTACTGCTTGCGTCGCGTTTCTCATATTCAAGCCGCTCATCTCTGGCGGTGCAAATTGCGATTTCACAGACTTTTCGCTATATCGAACTGTGCTTAGGGTTGAGCTGGTGCTTTGAGGCATCCTCTTTCGATACAGTGCGCAGTTTAGGCTTTCTTAAAGAGGCCGTTGCATATTACGAGCTTAAGAGTTGTCATTGAAATGACTCTTTGTATTAGATTAAATTTTGATGGTCGCGCATCTTGATAAACCGGTAACACTTTTCCGCCGTAAACTGTTCCATCCAGATGGATCATAGCATTAATGACGAGGTCGAAAGGTTGGGAAAGCAGACCAAGTCTTAAGTTGTCTGCTCTTGTATGGGAACTTATCTGTCATGATGCCCTCGGTTCGCTTCAATTGCCAATTCTAAGCGAGTAGTGGAGCTTCTGGAAATTCAAGTAATGAGCGTATGGCAAGCGTTGGAGATCGCGGTAAACACTGAGCGGTTGCAAATTATATTGCAATGCGATTGGCGGTCGGTGGGGTATAGCAACATTTAGCCTCGACAACCAGCGGTGCCTGTGGACTGTTTTACCAATAATTCAGTTTTCAAAACTCAACCACAGTGGTATGGTCCGACCACTCTTAATAATGTTTTATAAAGCGAAGTGGGTGTTCTGAGGTCATTTATGGTGACTATTTCATAGGTCAAGTTAAGCTTGATGCCCGGTGCAATTATCAAAAATATTGCCCGCACATCAAGAACCATGCAATGCGCCAATGAAGCTCTACACAATCAACCATAACTATTTTGAAACACTATAAATGGCATGAAAAGTGGCAGCCTCCCAGTTTTTACCTCTGAAATTAAATTGCCCGCCAAGTCAACTGATCATCTTGCGACGAGGTTCCCACAAGTAGGCGTACTATGGTTGGCCTGCTCAAATACTGGTTTCTGAACACAATCCCAAAACTACAAACAAACCCAAATGCAATGTGCCAGACACTTCGTGGCACAGGATAACTACGACAAGAGCAATCTAGAAATGTGGTCAAAAAGGGCAACCGTATTATTTCCCGTAATTCAAATTGTAGAAACGTTCAACAACCAGCGATTCAAACGGCTTTTGTTTTTCTGTGCTGTTTTTGATGCAATGCGCAATTCCTAGATATCAAAGACCTGCGTAATTTTCTCGTTTAGATTTCAGGTAGCTAGTTGCATTTAGAGAGACGTGCCATAAGTTTGGCTTGCTACAGCATCCAAAACTTCATAAATGATTTTTTAATTGATCTACAAACGTACTGGACTGCTTAGGTCCCACCACATTGAACTCTCTCTCGTATGTTCGAGAGCTTTCGCTTTTGCATTCCATCTTGGAAGTTCTCTGGACTCAACCACAACTCAAAGACCTGGCGAACGGCGGGCCACTCGTCTTCTACAATAGAAAACCACTGGGTGTCTCTGTTCCGGCCTTTGTATATAGCAGACCTACGGAAGAGTCCCTCGTACTTGAAACCGAGTCGCAGTGCGCAATTCCTTGACGGTTCGTTCAAAGCGTCGCATTTCCATTCACATCTTCTGTAGTCTAATCCGTCGAATACGTATTTCAGGAGTAGATATTGGACCTCTGTAGCAATGACAGTGCGCTGGAGTTCAGGTGAAAACATCACGAAACCTATTTCGACGGCTCCATTCTGAACATCAATCCTTTGCAAACAAATGCTTCCACAGGCGCGTCCGGTCTTTCCATTTACAATGGCATAATGGACACTATGTTCGGTGTTCAAGAAATTTCTAATAACCTTTTCATAGTCGTTGAGGGTCTGAAACGGAGCCACGGCCAAATAAGTTAAGAGATGGTCAACGTCTGCTTTGGAAAACGCCTCAAAAATGTCTTTACTATGTCTTTCAACATTCAGAGGTTCCAGTCTGCAGTATTGGCCTTCTAAAACAATTGGTTGCGGTATTTTTCTCTCAGCACAGTTCAACACATTGTCACCCACCACTTGCCCATATTTGTTTGTTTGGACCATTTTCTCAAGTTCTCTTGATTACTTTATCATGCCTCAAGACTTGGCATTTCTATGTTTTCAAGATATAGGAGCTTTAAATAGTACTTGTCAAACCGTAAAAAATAACAGATTTCCCAACGCTAATTGGGTGTCTCCCTTTCAAGTGTTACCTGGTCACGCTTCTATCGGGAGTATGGCCAATACCTTATCTGTCAGCACCATTGCTAGCATGTATCTGCGCATGCGGACAAAGCGGAACGAGAAAATGTTCATCAGTTTACGTTAAAAAGTTGAAGCGTTCGTGCCACTTTAGTGGCTTTCACTTGCCTCCAGGGAAAGTTACAGATGAGTCTAGTGTAATAGTTCATGTTATGTTTTTAAGAACTTGGCAAACTAGTTATGCGTGAAACAGGCAGCAACAAACGAAAGGTTCTCAATGGTGCGTATAGCAACTGCAACACCTGGGTAGTAAAATTGGTCATTGAACAAAACGTATTTGAACCAAATTGTGCTTGAGCTTGTGAATTTCCAGCAGGACTGGTGCACTGAATGATGTTGTCTACGATTTTCTTCAATCATCCTGATAAGTCCATATAGGGCACTTTCTTCCCTTGATGGTGTAAAATTGGAGGTTCGGCTTTTTTCACAACTTCTCACCAGTCGAGAACTCCGGATCTCCTAATGAAGGTACATTGTTCTATCAAATGTTGTCAATTTCAACTCTAGTAATTGCTTAAAACAAAATTGATTGAATTATATCATGATGACAATTGACGGTGAAAAGCGCAAAGAACACCTCTTTCAGGAGACTCGCAAACGATAATCTGCTAAAACATTTTAGCGTTCATAGAAGCACGCCCGTTCACTACGCATGTTATCAGTCACAAAAATTTTGGATACGAGATGCTGCGCGCTACTGAAGGCTGGTGAACAATGACAAATGAACTAGGTCGAAACATCCAAAAACAACGAACCGTTGCCATTAGCCTACAGTTTGATCTTCGTTATACTCTGATTTTCAAGCCGCTATGTGGAGTGACAAGTGAACTCGATATGATGTCTAAATAACTACGGCTACACATGTCGCCTACAAATTTGTTAAAGCCACCGGAGTTTCTTTGTCGTATATGGTCTGAGTTAAGCGTGACTCAAGGCGCACAGTTTGTCAAAGGAATCCAAATATTGGAAACACCGGTCGGATCTCCCGCAGTTTTTTCTTCCAAAGTTCGATCGATATATTCTAAATTACATCGGAGTGAAAAAAAGGTAAACAAGATCGCTTTCTGAAAATCTAAGAAGCGACAAGTCGGAAAGCTTACTTTCAATGGAAACATCACACTGATCAACCAGAATGTGTTCTAAACGACGGCCAATAGACGCGATTTGACTGTAAAATTAATTCTTGAGTGACTGAACAATTGTGGTACGACATCACCATCAATGAAAGCTTACGTTTCTTTTTGGCGGTCGCGAGCAGCCGCTGTATATATTATCGCGACTCGAACTGTAGAAGGGAGCCGCCCAATTGATGAGTGGAAGGGTACATCTTCAACCGAATGAAGCAAAAATTCATGTCATCCGGTAAGGGCGAGTATTTAGTCGAAGATTTGGAGAGGAACCAGTCCCTTTCCTCCAAGGATGAAATTGAATCCCAACCCAATGTAAAGGCAGCCAACTTTACTACTAAAATATCTGTTATTGACAGATTTGCTGCTAAGCTAAAAGCGGAAACAAAAGGTATTGAGCCCGTCACTGACAGTGAAAAGGACGACACTTCCATTTGGAGCGCTGCCTCGATATGGTTCTCCGCAAACATGGTTATTGCTGCTTTTGCTCTAGGTTGCTTAGGTCCTGGTGTTTTTCACTTGAACTTCTGGGAGTCAGCAATCACGATCGTTTTCTTTTCTATCTTGGGTTTACTTCCAGTCGCGTTTTTCTCCGTCTTTGGCGTAGAGTTAGGCTTGAGACAGATGGTTTTATCTCGTTTCCTTTTAGGCAACGTTACCGCGAGAATATTTGCACTAATTAATGTTATTGCTTGTATCGGTTGGGGTGTTGTCAACACCGTCGCTTCGGCGCAATTGCTACACATGGTGAACTCTACAGGGGCTAGGTGCCCTCCTTGGGCAGGTTGTTTGATAATCTCAACATCAACCATCCTCGTAACTTTTTTTGGCTACCGAGTGATCCATGCCTACGAGCAGTTTTCTTGGATACCTAATTTCGCCGTCTTCTTAGTCATTATAGCTCGTTTGACAATTTCCGGTAATTTTACTGTCGGAAAATGGGAGGGTGGAGATACCACTGCCGGTAACGTATTAACATTTGGTGGGATCGTCTTTGGTTTCGCCTCTGGTTGGACCACATATGCTGCTGACTATACTGTCTACATGCCAAGAGACACAAACAAAATCAAAATCTTCCTAACCATTGCTGCCGGCTTGATGTTTCCATTATGTTTCACCATCATCGTGGGTGCAGCCGCCGCGACTGGTACTTGGACGAGCCAACGATGGGCTGAAAACTACAAGTATGAAGGTGTTGGCGGTCTAGTCCACGGTATTCTGGTCGAAGACTCCTTGCACGGTTTTGGTGAGTTTTGCTGTGTTTTGTTAGCCATGTCTACTGTTGCTAACCTCATTCCAAACATGTACTCTATTGCCCTGTGCACTCAAGCTATGTGGGAACCTCTCGCAAAAGTTCCTAGAGTTTTTTGGACGTGTTCTGGTAATTTGATTACATTAGGTATTGCCATTCCTGCCTATTACAAGTTTAACGAGTTTATGTCTAACTTCATGGACGCCATTTCTTACTACCTGGGTATCTACATCGGGATTGCATTGAGTGAACATTTCATATATAGAAAGAACTTCAAGAGTTACAACAGCAACGATTGGGATAAGTGGGATAAACTTCCTATCGGCGTTGCTGGATGTTGGGCTTTATTCGTGGGAGCTATCGGTGTTGCTTTGGGTATGGCGCAAAAATACTGGGTGGGTGAGATTGCCGCCTACATTGGTGATTATGGGGGCGATGTAGGATTTGAGCTTGGTTTCGGTTTTGCTGTTGTAGCGTACAACCTAGTAAGGCCTTTCGAAATTAAGTACCTGGGACGTTAGTTTCCTAGCTGTACGTTCTGCATATCAAGCTTTTTTAAATCGTCCTTCTGCATGTTGATGAAAAAACATAATTAATTGCCATTAAGATTAAGTAAAATCTCTCGTCGAATCAGAAGATGTTAAAGAGAAAAGGGTGCTGAATCCCTAGCTTTCTTCAGTTGTGCAGATGTCTTCACTCGTTCGACATAAGCCCGGACGCGAATTTTCTAACTTTCAAATGCCCGAAGATGAACGCATTTGTACTTACAGTGTATAGCGCCGTGCCACGCAGTGGTTGTGTGCTCGAAGAAAAAGAGAAGAAGGAAATAATATGATCATTTATAACTCATGCAATAGCGGCGGCCTTCCATGCGCTAAAACAGTAGTTGTTCAGCTGGCGAACACGGTACTCATAATTTGTGCAAGGTGTTCTACAGTAAAAAGAAGTACCTGAAAGCTCAAGAACTAAACTATTTAGAGACGCTCCAGATAGTACTGTTAGACATGAAAGACACAAAAATCACCTCTTGATGGGAGACGGTCAGAACAGTTGGTTTTTGTGTTGAAGGCAGCATGAAACCAATACCAACTCGAGCCAATGGTCCAACTAAGCTACTGAACATCGTCTCAGGTTGCAATTCGCGTTAATAAATTATGCAGTGCTCTAAAAGTACTAAGCACAGCGATTCGAGCATGAGGAGAACAAATAAGTATCTGTTTAGCGCCGTGGCCCCTCTCTGGTTGGCGGAACAGTTGCGCTGATAGAAGGCAGAAAACCGCATATGAGAAAACTGAAGATTAGTAAGCAGAAGGTAATCAATGCTTAGCATCCAGTGACTACACTTCACATTTAAAGGAACTAATTGCGGCTGTTTAGATAAGAGAGCTTCACTTTAGTGCCGTGTAAAAGATTTGAAAAAAGTACTCGAGCCGCGCGCGATTCTCGAGATGATTTGATCCACGTCATTTTATGATTCTTTGACGCGGTAGAAGATCTCCATATGGGGGAATATCTGACAGCTATCGTAGCATCCCACTCGTGTGTCTCATGTTGACAAAAAGTAGGAAAGCGTGAAATAGTGAAATACATCGTAAATTGTGCTAGGTATCACTCTGGTAATTAATGAATTTAAAAGAGAGCTTCGACACGCAACGACGGAAAATCCAAGACGTGTGGGATACTTGACGACTTATCTAAACCAACGGCTAAAAGTAAAACAGCTCGAGGGATTACATTTGTAGGAGTGAACACTAGCTAATGAACGATTTGTGGTAGGTGAGGGAAATCTTGAATAAATAGTAACTATTGCATCAGCATGAAAAACAGTAGCAAACAAATTGAGGAGCGTCGAGTATTAAGGCCCGTCATTCAATTGGCCGCAGATCCGACCCCACCTGTAGTACCTGGTAAAAAAAAGTAACGTTGGACAGCCCAACATCATTGTGGAAGGCTTACCATTACCTCAGGGACAATATGCAGTTGATGAGGACAAGTGCGACTCACATTAAATCAAATAAAAGTACAAAAAGGGCCGCACCAACTCGGCGATGAGCACCTTGTTTTTATGATTCTCAAATTTCAAATTAATTAGTATTCCAATTTACTATATTGTTTTCGTCGGAGGCTTTGCCCTCACGTATTCCCTCCAAGGTCAAACAACCTAAAAGTGTATTAAAACTTGCACATTCTAAACCCCATGCAAATATTGCGTGAAATCAAGAAGCATATAGATCCTGCAACCATCATAATAGACGTATAAATAATGAACTTGTTGTAATTTGCGATGGACCCTGTGCTAATAATCGCACCTCCTACAGGGATAACCGGGATGGTCATTATAGCCTCTAACATGTAAGCAGAGGCATATCGCTTGCCGAAGTCCGTTGTCCTTGAGATTTGACCAATGCACACAGGTACCAAAGACAGAATAGAGCCTGTGGCAAACCCATAGAGGATGGAATATGCCCATAACACTTTTACATTACCTCCAAATGGTAGCCACATTGCCAAATTGAAGACAGCAGCCATAGAAATAGTAATTATGACCATGTTGAATCTTCCAGTGTACTTGTCAGCTAAGTAGCCAGGGATATAACGTCCTAAAACACCTATAGCATTTGTAGTGGCAATCAAAGCGTAAGATATCTTTTCAGAATTTCCCTGTGCCAAAGAATAGGACGCAAGGTATGTAGATGACGCCGTCAATGAGTTTTCCGCAAATCCCATGCCTAAAGCAGCAAACAGAAACTTCCAGTCCAGAAAGTATCGCCAATTTAGTGCTGATGCCAGATACCATTTCAAAGCCTCGGTTTTAGATATGAAAGGTTCAACAACGAGTTGCTCCCTCTCGCGCGCAAAAGTGATTGAAATTGCAAGGCAACAAAAACAAAGCAATGCTAGGATCCGCAACGCCCATTGAAATCCTACCTGAGAATACAGTGTTCTCAGCATCAAAGGAAATACAACACCTCCAATAGATCCCCCAATCGTGGCAACACTGGTGGCCATTGCACGCTTTTTTACAAACCACGTCGCTACGCAACTTACTAATGGGGTCATTAAGATTCCTGAAGAAAGCCCTCCAAGTATAGAAAACGCTAAAACAAATTGCCAAACCGTTTCACAACTAGCGGTCGCAAGTATTGAAGCGGTAAACATGACTGTGCCCACGCACAAGGGAGCTCGCCCACCATTTCTATCAAAGTAGCCGCCCGCAAAAATGCAGCTCAGAGAAGCTACCGAAAGAAAGATCGAAAAAATCCAAGAAACAACGGACGAAGATTCATTAACTAGTTGGTTTTTAGAAATCCAAGACTCGATGGCTCCGAGTGAGTTAACAGTCCCGAAAACAGGAACTAATCCCATGAATGATCCGAAGACAACCAACCAAGCCTGGCGTCCACCCTCTGGCAGTTCCAACACTTCGAATTCTTGCTCTCCTCCTACCTCATGCTTGAATTCCTGCAGTCCTGTCCGGTCGCCGAACGTTTCAGAGTCAGTCAAGCTGTGTTCAAGCTTGGCTTGATAGCCGGACGTTAAGTGTGAGTGACGATCAGCGCTTTGAGATATCCCATTAGACAGCTTACTTGAACCGTGAATAGTAGCAGGTTCTGTGTTTCCTATCATATGAGGAGCTGATATGATTAGTGGAAACTATCAGTACATATTACTGAATGCATGCGAGTTTTTCTTTCCTTGGCAGTACCAAAAAAAGAAGATGTGCTGCTGATCGAGAATAATGACGAACCTTCGTTAACACCGGATCTATCAAGAGGTCACATGACGTATGTGATACCAGTGGCTTAAGAAGTTAGATTTCGTTATCGTAGTATCATCAGGCCGAAGCATCGTTAGATCTTTCATCCTGTGAGCCAGAGCATTGCCGCATCGAAAAGATCCAAGCTAGACTTAAAAAAAAACGAAAACTGAGGACGAGACTCTAAAATTCTACGCTTGTGCAAAGTATGTATAACAGGGCTGCTAACAGTAGTGTCCGTTTCGCTGTAAGCCACAATATAAAAGCCTTTATTGCAATGTTCTTTACTCAGGAATCTTGAGAAGTGTATTTATAAACTGTTTTAATTGCAACCACCCAGGCACTAGCACGTTAAGACTAAATCATATTCTAATTTTACGTGATAAAATTTGGATTTCTACCACGATCGAGACCTTGTCACAATCTGCCAAGAGCTGGTATGTCTTGAACTGTCCAACCTCCACACAATGGCAAATTCAAAGGATTTCATAGTATCAAAAATTCATCGAAGTAAAAGGCAAAATTGTAGAAAGTTATTTCGATTGCCAGCTCAGCAAAGTATTTAATCTCACGTCCCTCTATCTTTCTCGTATTGTCTATTTGCGTTGTTTCCAGGCAACCTTGCCATATATTGATTATAATATTTATTTAAGCACATTTATGACTCTTTAGCACTAAGAACCGTGCTGTTATAAAGGGCTTGATCAGAATATCTGTATTTGACCTTGCACAAAACCTCTTACTTATATTAGGAAAAGTTAGAGTGTCTTAGGCTGGCCTGCTTGACCTGGTCATGCTCGTTAAAGCTAAAAATATTTGACGCTTCATTATCAAAAAGTCATCTAATTCTAGCACCAGAATTTGTACGAGCGGTACCAAAAAGATTTGGTGGCTAAAATTGCTCTTTCTTCTGCCAATTCTTTCTTCAAATCCTCGATGTTGACATCTCTTCTACCTGTATCGATATCAATTTTGTCGGCTCTAATGAACAGTTTCCAGTTCTTTTTGTAGATTTTGTGTCCCACATACATGACCAGAACAATGAAAAAGGATAGATAAGATTGGAAAAAGTTGCTCGCATTAGGCTTGGCTCCCGGTGGGAATAATGCAACATAAAATTGAGCAATGAAAATTAGCACAATCATAACAAATCCTATCCAGGAACCTATGGTACCAACTGGAGATTTGAATGAAAGTTCATCAGTAGTTCTGTTTTGGTACGAAAGACCTCTCCGGAATCTGATGTGGCACAGGAAAATGTTTCCCCAGTTGAACAGCGTTGACAATCCGCATAAGGCCATAAGCCAGTTGAAAATATCGGTCTGCTTATCAGATTGGGCAACGAAAGACAAAAGACCAAACACGGAGGTGAAGATGATACTCACCAAAGGTCTTCCCTTTCTGTCAATGTAAGTGAAAATGCGTGGTAGAGCTCCCTGTTGGGCAAGAGCAGTCAAAGTTCTGGAACAAATATAAACGGCAGAGTTACCGACAGACAAAACTGCAATCAAAATCACAACATTGATGACACTTGGTAATCCCTTGATTCCATGGTTCTTGATTGCCAATACGAATGGAGAAGCGGACGCATCGACGGAAGAAGATCCCAACAATCTGTCATCGTTATAAGGTACTAGGAGTCCGATGATGCACATCGATACGATGTAGAATAGAGTGATTCTCCAGAAAACCTGCTTAGCAGCTCCTGGTAAGGTCTTCCTTGGGTTTTCAGTTTCAGCCGCAGCTAAACCAATGACCTCAGAGCCCGAAAACGAGAATGCTGCGGTCACGAAAACTGTACAAACACCTTTGAATTTTTTGCCAGAGTCATCACCGTAAAACGCACCAGGATTTTGCCAGTATGTTCCGCCGATGTAGCCGCCTACCGGTCCACCACCGCAAATTAGGATGATTCCCAGAATGATGAATCCGATCACAGTAACGACCTTAATGAGGGAAAACACAAACTCGGCTTCACCATAACCTTTGACACCGAAAAAGTTGATTAGTACGATGACAACGTAGAAGAGCGCAACAAAACCGTCCCGGTATTTGCGGTCAGTGCCCCAGTAGTCAACCGTGATGGAGGCTGCGACAATTTCCAATGGTAAGGTAACCAACCAGGCAATCATGTAGTTCATGTTACTTGCGTATCCGAAAGACTCGTCCACAAACCTGGTGGCGTAAGTCGTGTAACCGCCCGAGACGGGGAAGGTGACAGCAAGCTCACCTGTGGCCATAACCATGGCGAAAATCATGACACCCATGATACCCCATCCCAGCAAGATTCCAGCAGGGCCTGCTGTGGCAAGTGCTTTCCCGGATCCTACAAACAGTCCCGTACCGATAGCTCCACCAATGGCGATCATTTGCAAGTGTCTGGTTTTCAGACTACGCTCTAGTGGCGACCGTGCGGTCGTCACAGCGATTCTCTCGGCCTCCGTGAGGTTGGGGTCCAGCTCCTCGACCTCCCTTCTCTTGAAACTGTCTCTGAACGATTCCCACCGGGAAGCGTCTCTGGATGACCCTGCATTCTGTGTTTCTAATTCTCCCACTACCAGTTCGTGTTCCTCTGCAACAGGCGAGTTTTTGGACTCTGACTTAGACCATGAGCGGGTAGTCATGTTGCGCTGCAATTGCTTGATGACAAGTGTGGATAGTCTGGAAAACTGAACGTCCTGGAATATCCTGGCTCTCAACCACTATTTATGGGGCAGCTGTCCTAATCGCAGTGCGCTTTGTTCAAGAGATAGTCGAATTCACTGATATTCACCAGGTAGTCACTTGTAGTCACTCGAAGTCACTTGGATGCTTAACGGCAGGTAGCTCCGAAATCGAATTTCACCAATTTAGCCCAATTCCTTAGAAGCCTGAGTGCTGGTAAAATTCCGTTCAGGGCCTTTGAGGCTTTGAAAAAAGATTAAAGGAACGCTCTGTTTGGCGCCAAAAGTTCACTAAAACGTAAGCGTTGCCGTAAACCCATCAATCAGGATTTGAGATAAGACCTTTTGGGACCGCAAGGAATTCCGTGATGCTGTAGGAGCCGGAATTTGTCCAGCACATGTGCTCATTTTGCAACATCAAGCACTTCCAATGTTAAGAATTTTCTTCGCAGCAGGTGTTAGATCGGCACGTTTTTCTTTTTTCTAATCCGACGTAGAAAGAGATCTCACATAATCTGCACAGAGTGATGTAGGGTGTCGATGTCCGAAGCTGAGACGGAAAAAGAAATTTTCCAACTGGTGGGGGGAGGGTTCATCGATATGGTGAATCAAACAACGCACAGGGCATCGCAGAGAGAAATGCGATTGAGAATGCATCTGAAGTTGTGATAAGCCGAAAAAGCAGTTCCGGCCGTCCTCGAGACTGTTGGTTGATTCTTTATCAGCGTGGGAAAAGCCGTGTGTAGCGTGCGCGTAATGTTTGATGAGCCTCAGTTTGACACTTTGGGATTTGGCACTTCGTACCATCGCACAGTGCTTGTAGCCGTAGTGTGGAGGTGGTGGAGGTGGTGTATTCCGGTTTAAGCAGCAATCAGGCGCCAGTCCATGGAAGGTTGAGTGGCAGGCGATTGACACAACCTGGGGGTTGGGTTGAACTGGCGAAGCTTGCGAAGCAGAAAAGGGCTTTGACGAGATTTATCATAGTACTTGGTGATCTCTTACTGGTCAAGCTGCCCGTAGTATCGTCATCTTACTGACTTCTTTCCGTGTTGGTCAAGCTGCCCGTAGTATCGTCATCTTGCTGACTTCTTTCCGTGTTGGTCAAGCTGCCCGTAGTACCGTTGCAGAAAGGGCTTTGACCGGGTTTATCATAGTACTTGGTGATCTCTTACTGGTCAAGCTGCCCGTAGTATCACAATCTTGCTGACCTCTTCTTGATCATCATACATTTTGCGACCTGACGTTGTCAAACAGCCCAATAAACACATACACCGGCAGTGATGAATCTGCAAGCCATTGAATCCGAATTCAGAACCATCGATTGCTTGTGAGGATCCTCAATCCAAACCACCCGCTGCTTGTGAAGATTCTCAATCCAAATCCATAAAGTCTAGTTTGCATTGGATAAGCAGCCACCGTATGCGCCTTAGGTCGGCATTCCCAAACTCGCACGCGGAGGATTTCGTCTTTTGCACTTGCTTGCCCCCGTATCAAACCTCAGCGACTCCTTGAATGATCCGTATGTGTTCAAACATAGCTTCGTTTGCTTGCCTTCAAGCTAAGGGGATTCATGTTGTAAAGACTTGTCTCTAAACATATATTAGCGGAATGTTATATATCATCAAGTGGTTGCTGCCAGGCAGCTCTCAATAACAGAGGCTATGGCAAGCACCTTCTCCTCTTCAAGGCGCTTACAGACGACCTGAAGGCACACTGGGATCTTGTCAAAATCCTGGGCTTCATAGTATCCATGCATTTTTTGATCGTCTGGAAGAGAAGGCAAATGCCCTGACTCTACGCTGTCTATCTCAACATTGACTTGGGTAACGGGGAAAACGACGCAGCTATAATCTAGCACATTGAAAGGTACAGTGTAGTTCTCACAACCAAAATCAACCTTCCCATCATGAAAGCCTGCTGACGGCCAAACTGGACAAAGAATTGCGTCAATGGGCTTCCCATCAGAGGTTACGTTTTCTGTGTTCTTCCAATACTTCAGAAACTTTTGTTTCAAATGCCGTATTTCTTGCGAAACTTCCCACCACTGATTTACATCCAATGCATTGCCCGAATGACCTTTTCCTCTGCTGACGTTCCGAGCAATATTCATGTAATCGCTAATCGGCTCACCGGTCTTTTCCAAAATCTGTTCTACCTCAGCGTAAAAGTCGGCACCGTAAACCTTCTCTCCAACATCTACAAGCTTTTCGTTGTCTGGAAAACTCCATTTTACAATTTCATGGCCACGGCTAGTCAACGCATGGCAAGTTTCCCTGAGGGCTCTCAAAACCGGAGGGTGTGGCATGACCAGTCCATCCCAGGTCATCAGACCAATTCTCAACTTGCGCTTTGTCACCTCACTGGAGTCTCTCCACGGTACCGGGACTACCTGGGGATCATAATTCCAAGTCTCAGAATCAACCACTAATTTGGTGAAAAGCTCCAAGTCCTTAAGCGAAGAACTTAGGGGCCCTATAACAGAAGGAATCAATTCTTGTCCTTCGTACGAATTTGTGACGTCCATGTAGGGAATTCTTCCATGAGAAGGTCTCAGGCCATACAAACCTTGAAATGCTGCAGGAATACGGATACTGCCGCCTATGTCAGTTCCAACGCCTAACGGAGAAGCCTTCGCCCCGATCAAAGAACCCTCTCCACCAGAGCTACCACCACTTGAAAAGGCGATGTTAATTGCGTTCAATGTCCGACCGTGTAAGCTAGACACTGTTTCTGATGCCAGCATTGCGGTTGGTACAGTGGTTTTCAAGAAAAAAACCGCACCTTGATCTTGAAGCACTTTAGCAAGCAGTGACATTTTGTCTGACTTCTGGCCCACTCTTGAGATATAGCCGATTGTTGTTTCCAGTCCAATCAAATTGACTTGGTCTTTAAGCGAAAACGGAACACCGTGCAAGGGCCCCAGCAGCTTCCCAGTGGCTGCAAAATAGCTGTCCAGCTCACGAGCTTTCTCAAGTGCCTGCTCGAAGAATATTTCGATGCAGCAGTTAAGAATCTGATGCGCTAACGCGGCTCTATGACAAAAAGCATAGCACACATCGTAGCTTGTCATCTCTCTCGATGCTATTTTACCAGCCAGCTCAGTTGCTGTAAGATTTGTTATACTCACCTCATGTTCAGGAAGTACGGTATCTAAATATCCACAAGCACTAACGTACCCGTCTTTGTTCATGTTTTGGATCAAGTTAGGCTCAACCCATCCTTTTGGAATTTGTGACAAAGTCTGTGCTCGCTTAGCCGCGGCAATTTGTTCCCAGGTCGTCATGACAGAAACAGTTGAAACAATGGTAAAGCAACCTCTGTAATTGCCAACTTATCAGTCTTATATAAATAATTGAGTTGTCATAAGATATCGAGCTAACTACCGCCAAGTTATCTTGGCATGACTGATAAGAAACCCGCCCAACAAATCATCCAGGATTTTTCGTCCATTGTTACATGCATGCATTTGCTTCATTGTGTCGCGTGCTGAAATTGATCTTATTGTCGTAAACGTAGCCGATAACAACGCATTATATGACCAAACAAGCGGAAGACACTAGGAAATAGCCAGATAATGTGTATGAAGGAAACTCAGTGCGGTTGGGAATAGTAGCTCTCGAGAAGGTAAAACAATTTCCGTGTTTCGCGAAGGCAAAATATATATATTTAGTGGTTTTCGGGAGCTTCCGCTCGCTCAAGAACTGTTCGAAGTGCACAAGCAGCAAATCGGCAACAGATGTTTGGTTGCGCTTCTTATAATTGATGCAACTTCTTATTAGCTCCTAAGTAACGAAGCCAACAGCTTCGACACCAACATGCTACCAAGTCCTTTCCATGAAGTCTTGCGCCGAGACAGTATGCGTGGTTTAGTCGATTAGGAACTTCGCCCGAGGAAGCGAAATTTTCAGACTTATCTGAATCGGTATGTTGGTCAGGCCATACTGTCATCCAAATAACTCACCGGCAAGCTCCGTTCCCTGGGAGATACTAGTCATACGAGCAATTAGAAACGTGAAGTCGTTCGAGGATTTTAATACTTCTCATCCTCGAGCTTTATTCAGTTAACCAGTAACAACACTTCCAGCTACACGATCCTAACTTGCGGTCCAAAATCAAATAACATGACTGTTGTTATGCTTTTCTCAAGACCTTCGTATCTCTAGGTGCTACAAAAATGCTATTATAAAGCCGACGCGGTGATAAGCGACAATCTACATCAAGAATGATAGTCTCATCTGCACCCTTCAAGAGGTTCTGTGCTGAGAACTTCCAGGGTGCACTCTATCTCGAGCTAGCGCTGATAAATCAACCAAGTCCATCGGGGAGAAAAGTTGATGCCAAGATTTGTTCAAAAAAAAGTTTCATCAAGGCTCGCACACAAGGCGGCTAGATACAGATTTCAACAGTCCCTTCCGCAACATCTCACATTCTTCTCATGTCCGATAACCTTGCGCAACGAACCTGCGGATTCGACCCCTATTAGCCGTAATTGGCAGTGAAATATTCGAAACGTGCAATCTTAAGATTGCAAATCATCATTGCCATCTTAGATGACCACGTCAGATCACTTACAATTGACAGCTGAGTGAACGATATGATAGATACCGGAAAATTGGGTATAAATTAGGCCCCCTCTCGAAAGTTCCTAACCAATCGCCTCAGGAATTTATCTACCGACTCAAGTCTCTAAGATGTTACAAGCTCAGCTACTTTTATTAGCCGCCGCTTTAGTCGAGGCAGCCCCAGCCTATAAGCCAAAAATAGCGGATGTCACAAAAATTGGAACTCAAGAAAGTATTTTCCCGTTTCTTGCTGGCTCTGCGCCTCATTTCTCATACCCTGTCTCTTTCGGTATTCCAAAGGAAGTCCCAGAAAAGTGTACTATGAAACAAGTTCAGGTTTTTGCAAGACATGGCGAAAGATTCCCCACTAGCGGAACTGGAGATGCAATTACTTCAACTTACTACAAATTTTCGAACTACACTTCGAGCTTTAATGGATCCCTGACTTTCTTGAACGATGACTACGAGTTCTTCCTTTTCGACAGAGACGATCTAGAGGAGGAAACTAGTTGGGAAAACACTCTAGATCCTATAAACCCCTACACGGGAGAACAGGACTCACAAAGACATGCTAGAGAATTTCTGTACCAATACTCAGAGCTACTAGAGAATACCACAAGCTTCCCAATATTTGCTGCAAATCGAAAGAGAGTTTACGATACTGCAAAATACTTCGCCGATGCGCTTGGTGTTAAGTACAACGTGAGCATGCAAGTTATTGATGAAGGGACTGATGTTGGCGCAAACACCCTTACTCCTAGCTTTTCTTGTTCCGCCTTCAATTGGAGCGAACATAAAGATGTCTATGGAAACTTCTCCAACCAGTACCTCAAAGACATTTCTGGTAGACTAAATAAGCAAAACAAGGGTTTGGAGCTGAACACTACTGACGCGGCCAACCTTTTTGACTGGTGTGCTTTTGAAATAAATGCCAAGGGTTACAGTGATATATGCGACGTCTTTACCCAGGAGGAATTGGTCAAGTGGTCGTATTATAATGATATGCATACTTACTACAGAGATGGTCCTGGAAATTCTCTAGCGCCAACCATGGGAGCGGTGAATTTCAACGCATCCATCGAGTTATTGAAGCAAAGCGACCAACTAGATTTGAAGGTATGGTTGAGCTTCACACATGACGTCAACCTTGTCAACTACTTGACAGCAGTCGGCCTCTTTGATGATGGTAAAAAACTAACTCCAGACAACATGCCTTTTCAATCTCAATTATTTCATGGATCCTGGCAGGTACCACAAGGCGCTCGGATTTATACGCAGTTGTACCAGTGTGGTGATCAGTCATATGTCAGATATGTTGTTAATGATGTTGTTATTCCTATTCCCTCATGCGCGTCAGGCCCAGGATTCTCCTGCGAATTGGATGAGTTTGTGGAGTACGGCTACAATAGAACCAGTGGTACAGACTACGTTGCTAGCTGTGACACCACCAAGAGTTCGAATGAAACTGAACTAACTTTCTATTGGGATTACACAACGAAAAATTACAATGCCAGTCTAATCATTGAGTAGGTCAATGCAATGGTAACCTACTTTGTCCTATGCACTAACAAGCATTGAGGCCAGATCTCCAAGTGAGGTAAGCGTTATTTTCGAAAAGCATGGACAAGAGCAAACAATGCCACAACATTCCTATAATGTGGCTACTTTCTTTTCTTGAATTGCTTGATTGATCGACCCATGTAAAATTATGTAACTATATTGAAAAACCTCCGGTGCGCGAATCAAATCTCATCGGGCCAAAACTGAGCTAGTCAGTTCAAGAAGTATAATTGTTCAGTGGTGCTTCATCTTTGACAAGTTCCCAAATTTTCTCGATCTCGGCCACACTTTCAGTATCTAGAGGGCCATCGTGTATACCGTCTAGCGTTTGAATAATGGTTTTCTTGCTCCGTCCGCCTATAATTACAGCATCTCCTAACTCTTTCTTCAGAGCAGAATGGTGCGTTATCCACCTGTACGCCAAATCTGCGTTTGATATCCCTGCCTTTGAGGCAATTTTACCCCATTGTTCTAACGCTTCCATTATTGAAGGACGATTGTACAGAGACGAATACATCTGTCCGATAAAGGTACTTTGGTCAAATCTTCCGGCTCCCTCTTTGACTTCCTCGGGAGTTTTAGCTAGAAACCCGCCTGCAATTGGAGAGTATGCGTAGAGCGACATGCCGAGCTCGCGGAGAACTGGGAACAATGTCGTTTCGATTGTTCTAGCAACTGCATTGTAGTTGCCTTGATAAACAGTGGGCTTCACGTAATTCTTACTCACACAGTATGCGTGTATTTTCTTGACATCTTCGGGAGTAAAATTGGAAACCCCAAACTTCTTGAACTTTCCCTGTTTGTACAAAGCGTCAATTGCATCTACAGTTTCTTCCAGGGGGGTTTCTGTATCTGGGGAATGCAAATAAAAGATGTTCACACTCGCAACCCCTAAAAGGTGAAAGGATTCATCGATGGACTTGAATATGCTTTCCTTGCTCAAACACCCTTTCGAGAACCCTACTGCCTTGGTGTCAATTACAAACTCATTGGGCAATTTGAATTTTCCAATCCACTCTTCACTTCCAGGATAAATCCTGGCAGTATCGATATCGTGTACCCCATGGGTTTTCAAGGCGGCCAAAACTTCTTCAATATCAGTTTCTGGAATAGATGGTAAAGTGTATCCACCGAAGACGACTTTGACAGATTGTGACATATTGTTTCGATGATGGTTATATGTTCAGATCAAGATGGCTCAGTCAACAAGTTGGACATGTTAAATCCCCCCTTTTATATTCATGAGTTGCCCTGTCTTTAGTAATCAATGTCTTACTAATGTGAGAAAGATACTCTTTGTCTTTGCCTCGTTATTCAACAAGAATCACAAAACACGTTTTGTTGTAGTCGTACGAACTCTTTTTTGACGGCACTTCAACAAGTTACAGGTTAGAGCTCCGCCACATAGGTTTACTAGTAAACATCGATCTGGACTTCCTATCAACAAATAAAATTTGGCCTAAGGGTGGCAACACATCAAAATTTCTTTGCGTACCCTCATTGGTGAAGATGATTTTAGTATTTGATGTAAGAGTCCGTTTAAAAACCGGGACTTATTTTAGTGTTTGATCTGAGAGTTCCGCCACCCGTTCGAGACCCGGAGCTCTTTTTGTATATGATGAGAGAGTCCATTAAAAACCCGGGGCTTTCCCCCAAAGTGATATTGTTAGCTACGAGTATAGCTGGCAAACAAGTACCACCGGCCTATAGGCCTCGATATTTAGGTGTTATCGCCTCTAAGTTCATCGTTCAAGCAATAAATAACATTGCATTACACGATAATCACGCAATATCTGGCTCGCATTGACCTTTATCAAGATCAAAAACATCCTCCTCGTCCGTATGCAGTAGCACAAGAATAGCGAGCGAAGAACGCTTCGAAAAACATACAATACGGCCCCTTGACTGAGATGGGTCTTTCCCGATCAAGTCCAGGTCTCTTAGAGAGCTTTCAATCTTGTCAATGAACACAATGAGTAGCGTTGAATAGTCAATTTGTCTACTTTTTACAATGACGTGTAGGTATAAAGTGATAAATATTTTAGTTTTGGCTAACAGGTCATCTCTAGTTACAATAGCCGTCAAGAGCACCATTGGCTGTAACAATTATTGTTACAGCTATGGTCGAATGCATATTCTAATCTTCAGTGGTCCCAGTACTCATGCTGCCCAATTAAAAGCTTTGTCTCGAACAAATTCATGTCGTTAGATCTCGTCGAATTAAAATTCTTGTCTAAAAAACACCGATGCAATACTCTACTCCTTACATGGAAGTTGTACTACTCATTTTCAGAAAATCTGCGGCAGTATTTAGAGTTCCAAACTCATTATTAGTAACTGTTGATCAAGTGAAATGTTATGTCCAGAGACGATATATATTGGTCTCAGCGTCAAATCGACAACTCTCTTACCTCATTCGTGCCTTAACAAATAACAGTCGAAATGGTAAGAGAAGATTGTGATCCTGCGTGGAGGTAACGTAGGAGGGTATAGGGCTCCAGCCCGAAGGAATTCATTCACTAATTATGGAATCTAGATCTCGCCGATACAAAAGCTCATGCCAAAGATGAATAGACAGTTTTCTGTAATTAGGTAGCGTGCGCTTTGTTACAGTACTACCTTCTTTTCAACCGGGATTTTCGCCCGGAGATATCTTGTCATAAATGATATCTCTAAATGTCTAGAATTGCGCATTACGCAGAATGTCTCTAGTTCGAAGAAGCTGTCACTTAGGCTTCTGTAACATATGCCCTTTTTGCACCCTTCTGGTAACACGACCTATGCACGGCCTTTTTCGGAAAAGGAAAGATTATGAATAAGCGCGGTTATATCGTTGATCGCTATCGATGCGTATACTGGCCTGCCGTTGTTTTATCTTGTTTTTCATCTATTTATCAAGGTGATGTTGGGTTGGCTTCCTCTACACAGCATCTAAAATACATTGATAAATATAATATATTGGATAAACATATTACAATTGTACTCAACACGATCAGTCCTCAGTTACTATTCCTGTCCTAAAATTTTAGCATTTCAGTAAAACCGCCTCGTTGGCGCTACCGATAAATAAAAGACAATTCATTCCTCTAAAGCTTTTTCGTTAAACTTCACGGCGCAGACCTTTGCTGCCATGTGTTGATTATTAGTGCTTTGTGTTTTATATCGACCGGGGGCGCTACGGTAGGATAAGAAATTTAGCGGCAGATATTGTTTTGCTCTTTTCCGGTATAAACGGTAGTCATTTTTTTACTTTTAGCTCTTAGAGCACCCGAGATATGAACATTGCCCGCTTAATTTAATTAGCGAGATTTATTTTTGATGTGCTACAATTAAAATGGAGAAATTAAGATAATTATACTCTAGCGCAAAAGGAAAACAATTAAGGCTATATTGTGTCCATTAGCTTTCGAATTAGAGTTATAATTCACTGCAGTGGGCTGCCTTAAGAATAAAGTGCCAAAAAGATGCCACTCAACTTTATCAGAACTTTTATCTTTTCAGAATTTATCTCTACAGAGGATGCGAAGAACTAATACGGTCCTGAGTAACTATTTTAAATTCATAGTATCAATTAATCTGGATAAGCTTCTGCTCCTTCAATACTGTGACTTGTACTCGGCAGTGTCTCAACCCAGAGGAAGGAAAGCTCGGTGACGTTCCTGGCGCTTGAAGTCTTACACGTTTCAAAGAAAAGTTAACCGTCCATTTTATGGTGAGCGTATTCGTTGGACATTTCAGCTTCACAGAAGGAGCCAGGTCTAGAGGCATAATAAAAAAGCGAATTCACTGTTTCCGTCAAATAATTCTTTAAATTGCGCTTAGAATTGATGTGCGCGCTTCTTGGCATCCATCTCCCTATTTATGCACTAATCGCATTGATTGAATTCTGCGTCGTAGTTCCCAATTCTAGATTAACTATGTCTTCGATAAGAGGAACTCATACTTAAGCTAAGTTGCTTTTACATGCGCCGGCGATTGACCAAATTTCAAATTTATGTTTTTATTTCTGAAAATGCTTTTCACACTTTACAAGTGTTCTCCGTTTATTATGCCTAATGAGCATCGATACGCTCTGTCATGTTTTTCGCGCTGAATAGGAATGGGATGTCTCGGCATGATGTCAAATGTCGGATGAAGTTTTAGTGCTCGCCAAAAAAACGGCGATGTCAAAGGTAGTTTGAGCCAAGAATCACATTAGAAAAAGTATGAGGGCCAGAAAAGGTGTAATGCACTATCAGTATAATACTAATACACTCGGACGAATAGATGATAGAAACTAGTTTGAAAAGAAATTATCTACGCTATTCAATATTATGTTCTTACTTAGCAGTACAAAATTTCTTCTGCTCATGAGTTTCCTAAGAGAACCACCGTTGACTGTGTAAAGTCGGATTTTCCAATTTATGGTTATTATTATCATTATATCGTTACATTTCTCTAGTTTACAAATTGAAGTTAAGATTCAATTGATCCTCTAAAAGTTATACTTTTTCAATAGCTACCACGACAGCTTTTTCGGAGTCTGAGGAGTTAGCATTGTGAGAAGCAAAGCCTTCGGATGGAACGAAAGCCTTGGAATGACGAGCACTTGGGCAAGTTTCGAAAAGTTCGTCAATTTGTTCAAGCGTGAGACCCTTGGTTTCGTAGACGAAGAAGTACACGAATAGGAAGCACAAGAAAGTGCAACCTCCCCAGATGAAGAAAACTTTAGTCTGTAGGTTTCCGTATTGAGTGTCGACAAGGTATGGAGTAGCATATGCAATGGCAAAGTTGAAAAGCCAGTTAGAAGCGGCACACACGGCAACAGACTTAGCTCTGACTCTCAAAGGATATATTTCACCAACAACAACCCAAGCGAGTGGGCCCCATGTAGCAGCAAAGGAAGCAATAAAGGTGCAAGAGAAGGCAATTAGAGTCTTACTTCCAGCGACACTATTAGGCAGCGCAGTTCCAACAGCGGCAACAATTAGCTCACTGACACACATACCAATAGCACCCCATAGAAGCAAGTTTCTTCTACCAGCAATTTCTACCAAAGCAATGCCTGGGACCGTCATAACAACATTGACGATTCCCATAATCAGTTGAACGATGAAAGGGTCTTTGATACCCGAGTTCTGGAAAAATTGAGTTCCGTAGTAGAAAATGAAATTGATACCGGTAAGTTGTTGTAGACCTTGAATTGCGACACCAATCACAATTCTTTTCAATTGATGGTTAGCAGGCTTGAAACAATCGAAAAGGGACGTAGAGCCAAATGATCTTTCATAGTTGTAATTGGCAACAATTTCCTCTAGTTCGGCTTCGATAACCTCGTGGCTTTCTGGCAGTCCTCTTAGCTTTGACAGAGCTCTGCTTGCCTCAGGAACCTTGCCCTTCATGATGAAAAATCTAGGTGATTCAGGAAGAAGCACCATCCCCACGAACAAGATCAAAGCCCAGAGAAGTTGGATAGCAATTGGGATTCTGTACGATCCGGTGTCATTCCTGGCATGCGTTCCCTGATTAACACAGGCAGCGAGCAAGAGCCCGATAGTAATGGCCCATTGGTAACAGGAGGTTACAGCACCTCTGATCCATTTTGGAGAAGCCTCGGCTTGGTATAGAGGGACAATGGCTGACAAAACACCAACACCGGCACCGGCAATAACTCTGCCCACAATCAAGAGATTTTGTTCGGTTGCAGCAATTTGAAGAACGACGCCAACGGTGAAGATAATGGTGGAAATGATGAGACCAAGTCGGCGACCCAAAGTGTCAGAAGCGAGTGGAGCCAAAAGTGCGCCGCAAAAAGTACCGGCAGACAAAATAGCCGTGATGAGCGAGGTTTCCCCGGCTGTGAACTCGCCGGTGGATGTGAAGTGTTTTTTAACATAGTCCATGGTCAAGACACCAGAAATGGTACCGGTGTCGTAGCCGAACAGAACGCCGCCGAAGGCTACAAATAACCCGATGAAGATGGCCCGAAACTTGGAGCCTTGGATGTTCTCTTCGGCATGGAAGAGAGTCTGGAGAATACCCATTGTTTATGATTGATAGGCACGATGCGCTCGAAGATTAGGTAATAATTAATTACCTAAGCGGAAAGTAAAATGATTTGGAATGAAGTCAGTAAGGTGGAAGCCACTGAACAGTTATAATTGTTTGGTTTGATGAGATATGAAAAAAAGGAGTAGAGTACTTCAAGTTCTCATCTAGTTCAAACAGCTCTTCCTTTTATAAGAGTTTCTTCCCCACACTTCTCCACTCGCTAGCTATCAGCGTAGCTCCCAACAACATCCGCCCAAGTATAATCGTTTCAGTCTCCTCAGATGCGAGAAATATGCTATTTCACCTAGCAACAGGCATCTTGTCCTGCTTGCTAGCCATATTTTCTGCATTAAGAACCCTCTGTCCGGAAAAATATCTTAATCCGGAAAAACTTTTTTCCTCGAGGATAACCCGCTGCGTGTTGGCTGCGATCTATTTCGGGATTTTGTAATTCCGGTAAAAAAATTGCATTTATTACATGGTGAGTATCTCAAATCCTTGGCAACTCAAAGTCAGCGAGCGGATTAGCGGCTTGGCATTCGAAAAATCAGGAACAAGGGCAAAGCGTATGAAGTTTGGACAGCCGGATAAGCGCTGTCCAGAAGTTGGAAGTCGTGAGCGTTAGCGAATGGAGAAGATTGGATACAGCGGCAGTTTAACAAGCTCGAATATGTGATTGAGATAAAAGAGGGTTACGAGCAATCTTGTCTTGCAGTTAAAAAAAACAACAACATGATCCACAGTGTCTGGGATCATGAAGGCTTCATAGTACGAAATTGGAAACTGTACTGGTGTCTGGAATTCCAAGTATAGCAAGTTCCGATTATTATGGCTGTTGCGGCGTTGTGCCACTTCATTAACTACTTAAATAAGCTATACAAATCACCAAATCCTCGGTTTCGACGCAAGTAGAAAGACGCGTTCAATATGAGATTCGTGACTTCTCCAAAAGAGCTTCGGATTCGGAAATTATCCACTCCACATGGTGTTTGGTGAAACCCTGCGAATATATGGCTTGGCCTTTGCTGTTGAAAAATGCGGGACTATGACTGTCCACATCCGGAGTTACAAGCAGAGGACCAACGTGCTTGGCGTACTCTTCAACACTTTGAAACCAATACTCAATGAAGCCCTCCACCATACGTGACTTCCAGCTTCCTGCGCCTAAGAGATTATCACGTATGTTTGTTTTGATAAGTCCAGGATTGAGCCCAAAAAAGCTGACGTTAGGGTACCGTTTTGCACAGTCGAACACCAGAGCTTCATTTCCCGCAATCGTGTTCATATGCGCACGCATGGCACTGTAGTATTTTTCAGAATTTAAATCATTGGGGCTCCCTAGGATCCCAGCTCCTGGGTACCCAATAATGAAGACCCGGGGCTTCGATAGGATGTGAGTTTGAGATTTCTCGAGTTTTGGAAGTATCGTGCGTAATAAGATTAATCTGTTGAGATAACTAACAGCCAAATCACGTTCGATACCTTCCACGGTTTCTTCACGGGTTGGGGCCGCTACAATGCCTGCTGAAAAGATTATCAAATCGAAAGTTTCCTCAAGAAGCTCGCGGGCTACTCTTTTGGCCTCAGACATCAGCTCAAGGTTGGCCTCAATAAACTTGATCTCGCTAATGTCCTCTTCTCTGAAAGTTTGGCCAACCACAGTAACATCCGCTCCTTTAGAACATAGAAACCGGCTGAGTCCCTGGCCTATACCACCGGTCCCACCAAAGATGAGCACTCTCAAAGATCGTAAACTAAGTTTTTCTGGAGGTACGTGTCTCCACCTGAGGCTCGTGTTGCGTTTGGCTGCAACTCGGATCCCAAAAACCATGATGTATTAGTGTAGTTCTTAAGTGATGATATCTCAAAGCGCCTTAACACAGAAGGACTGAAAGGTAAGCCTTTATATCCTCTACCAAGGAATAGACAGGGGGGGATGTGAGGATCAATCGCTGATCTACCCCACACACGCAGCACGCCGCGTTGTTTCTGTAAACCACAGTTTTGTGTTTCTCCAAGCGCTCAGACACCACTGCGAACGCCTTGCGCCAAAAGAGAGGCTTTGGCTATCATCATTGTTTGAGAACCCTTAAATTACGTCTTGACTAGCATCTAAAATGAAGGAACATGGATATGGAGAAAGTCAGGCGTCCAGTGACCGCAGCTGATGACATTACATTGTCGTTGAGGCGCAGGGACTGCGTTCTTGCGCCAACGTTGCGGAAGAGCTGCAAAATAACATGTATCCCTAAATTACTCTTCACACCCATCGTTGCAATATCAAAAAAATCATTCTAAACTTTAATCGATGCCGGCAAATAGGGCTACAAGCAGCTCTTGAGAGGTGACAAGAAAACAAGCTGGCATCACCAGTTACTGTCTACGTCTCGTGTCCGTGCACTTCAACATTTCACACTTAAACATGGAAAAACAGTTGCAGCGCGTAAAATGAGCCCGAAACGGTTCAATTCACGTTCACCAATGGCAGCAGTGGTGTAGCAGTGCCCAGTCTTCGCCGTTAGCTCTATCATATTTCAAGTAGAGATAAGCATTCATTGAAAATTGAGTCTTATGATGATAAAGAAAAAAAATCCAACTTGGCTTTTGAAAGACAGATATCAGAACAATCTTTTCTAGTTTTATTGATCGCTTTCTAGTAAAGATCAACTCGATAAACTCAGTACCATGTCTAACGAACAACAATCTGAATTGAAACTATGGGGTGGTAGATTCACCGGTAAGACGGACCCTTTAATGGATTTATACAACGCTTCGTTGCCATATGATCAGAAAATGTACAACGCAGACTTGGACAATTCGAAATATTACACCGAAGGTCTTTTGAAAGCGGGACTTTTGAACCAAGAGGAACTCAGTGAAATCCACAGGGGTTTGGAAGTCATCCGTGGTGAGTGGGCCAGCGAGTCATTTGTCGAAAAAGAAGGTGATGAGGATATTCACACCGCCAATGAAAGAAGATTGGGCGAGATCATTGGCAGGCACATTGCTGGAAAAGTACACACTGGTCGCTCCAGAAACGATCAAGTGGCCACCGACTTGAGAATTTACTGTCGCGAGGCCCTTGAAAAAATGGAAAAGATCTTGGGGGGTCTCATTGGGGCCATTCTACAGAGATCAGAAACCGAAATCGATGTTTTGATGCCAGGTTATACTCATTTGCAAAGAGCGCAGCCCATCAGATGGTCGCACTGGCTCAACTTGTACGCAACGTATTTTACAGAAGATTTCAAGAGATTGGAACAAATCAAAGAGAGACTCAACGTTTCTCCACTAGGATGCGGTGCTCTCGCTGGCCACCCATACGGCATTGACAGAGAGTACATCGCGGAGAAGTTAGGATTTAATGGCTGTATCGGTAACTCTTTACAGGCTGTCTCTGACAGAGATTTTGTCGTCGAGATATTGTTCTGGTGCTCCCTCTTTATGAACCACATTTCCAGGTTCAGCGAGGACTTGATCATTTACTCTACCGCTGAATTTGGTTTCATCAAACTATCAGATGCCTACAGCACAGGTTCTTCTTTAATGCCTCAAAAGAAGAACCCCGATTCTTTGGAGTTGCTAAGAGGTAAGTCCGGAAGAGTTTTCGGTTCTTTGTCAGGTTTCATGATGACTTTGAAATCAATTCCATCAACTTACAACAAGGATATGCAAGAGGATAAGGAGCCTCTGTTCGACGCCCTTGTCACCGTAGAACATTCCATTTTGATAGCCACTGGTGTGATTTCTACTTTAGTCATTAACAAGGAGAAAATGTTCAATGCTCTTACTATGGACATGTTGGCAACCGATTTGGCTGATTATTTGGTTAGAAAGGGTGTTCCTTTCAGAGAAACCCACCATATCTCTGGTGAAGCTGTTAGAAAGGCGGAGGAATTGAAGCTCTCTGGTATTGACAAGTTGACTGTTCAACAGTACAAGGAAATTGATTCCAGATTCAACGATGACGTAGTTGACGTTTTCGATTTTGAAGTTTCTGTTGAAAGAAGAACCGCGACTGGTGGTACTGCTAAATGTGCTGTTATGAAGCAAATCCAAAACTTGAAGAGCCAACTTTCTTAGACCATATGAACTGAAAAAGCTTACTGGCTGCTTAAAATGTATCAGCATTTTGATACAACTAATGTAGGAAGATGTATAGAATCTTCAGTTATTTGATAGGATCACCATTCTACATTCGTTATAGACACAATATTGAAACGCTTGATTATTATTTAAGTGCGCTACGCGGGTTGATCGCTCTTCAACAGATTCAAGAAGGCTTCCCCAAACAATTTGGTTTGTAGCCTTGGAATTTGTATGCGAATGTAATCATGCCAGCCAACATTCCGTTTTATTATTATAGATGAAGAATTTGATTGAATGCTTCAATAAGAGCTTTTGATGGTCTAGTCGCCTTTCTTTTCGACCTCCAACCGACAATACCATCAGGTCTTACCAAAGATGCTCCATACCGATCAATACCAAAGATTTCTTGGAAGTCCGACGCTTTAGCAAAAACAATATCTTTGCCCGCTAAAACGAAATCGATTTCTATATCGAGCTGCTGAGCAACGTGTTGTGTAGCTTCCAGCCATTCTTCATTCTCTGATAGCACAACAAAATTTTTGTTGAAAAGGTCAATAGTGGATAACACCTCGCCACGTTTTGAGACCCATGAATGCGGAGCACGGACTCCCGGCTGACCTTTCCATAAGTCAGGTTTTTGTGCAGCAATGTCCACAACATCAGCTCCACAAATAGCTTTAGATGTGTGCAGTTGACCTAGTTCCATACCTGCATCATCAATGATTCTCTCATTGGCGGCAATGCCTTGAGATTGTGCAGCGTAGTCAGGTCTTGCAAATGTTTGTTGGTGTCTTAACCACCCAATTGGCTGTCTTTCAATTGAGTAAGTATCAAGAAGTGATTTAGAGGCCTTTTGCTCCAAAACAAGCTTCAGTTTCCAAGCCAAGTTATGGACGTCATCGATACCAGTATTGGCGCCGTATCCTCCACGCGTAGGAGGCAACGCATGGGCGGAGTCTCCTGCTAGAAACACTCGACCTTTTGAATAGTATTCGCAAACTAATGCACTCAAATCCCATTTTGCCGTTGTGATGAGGTCTATGTGCGCGTTTTCATGACCTACAGCCTGTTTGGCAGCCTCCAGAAGTTGCTCTTGAGTCCTTTCAACGTTGTCTCTGAACATTAAGGCCCATCTTCCGTCACTATAAGTTGTCATAAATGCCTTTAGGTTAGGCTGGTCGATCTCAAACTGCACGACGCCCTTGGAAAGCACTTCGTCAGCTTGCGGACATCGAAAAAGAACACTTGTCAACGTCTGAATGTATCCGCGACCTTTGCGAGGAATTTGGAGTGCTTCGCGGACGGCACTCTTGGCCCCATCAGCAGCAATCATATATTGTGCTAAGATTTTGTAAGTGTGGTTATTCGATCTGTCACGAACAATTGCGACAATACCAGATTCGTTTTGCTGCAGGCCCAAAAAGAGTGTATGCTGCAATATTTTACACCCGAGCTCTAAGGCTCTCTCTCTTAAAATCGGCTCAAGCTTGTCCTGGGGTATAGCCGCGCCGTTGCAAGGCGAAGGATTTGCTGGCTTTGGAGTATCTGGTTTTGGAACATCTGGCTTGCCACCCCACGAGGTTTCTCCCTGCCACTCACCAAACAGACTGGTAACTTTAGCTCTGCGAATTCGGGTGTCAGATTTCACTTGTGGAATTTTATCTGCCAGACCTACACAACGGAAAAACTCCATCGTGTGTGCAGTATAGCCCATCGCCCGGGGATGGGGCATGGAGCCCAGATGTTTTTCCACAATAATATTGGGAACGCCTGAATTAGCAAGAAATATCCCTGCACTTAAACCCACCAGACTCCCGCCCAGTACCAGCACTGGAATCTCAATTTCTGTCATCTTTCCGCTTTCAAGCTCAAACTTCATCTCTGATCCCTAGCGCTACTAATATAAATACATAGAATGGTGACTGAATATTCAGGATACTCAACGACGCCACTACTTATACATATACAGAGGCGATCAACATGTTTCCTGTTCTCATCTCCAAGCTTTTAGATATTTTCATTTCCGTGAAAATCCATGTGCGTTGGCGTAAATTAATTTGTAGTGATATTTACAGAACCTGATCATCATGAAGGTGTATGTTTACTCAAAAAATATAGAGAAAATCACTAAAGAGAAGATCTTCAACCTAGATTTGCAGTTCTTGTTTTGTTCTGGATGCTTTAGATTGACCTGTGTGCCTTGGACGGAAAAAAATAGAAGTAAGTAGCTATGCAGTTGGGAAAGCGATTGATTGGGAAAGCGATTGATTGGTTATTGAGTGAAGACCTGGAATTTTGGTGAACTACAATATGTTTCATGTATATGCTTTTACGTCTGGACGAATTGTTGTAGGACAGAACTTCACACAAGGTCGGTTTTAAATGCTGATAAACGAAGACTATTCACAGTATTCGGCATCTGTAAGCTCAAAAAAGGAGGCAAATATATGAACATGACTGGAAGAAGATACAAACTTCACTAGTGTCGTTTATTCCATCGTCAATACGATGAGCATCAACTTCTCAAGATCAATCACGTGACATTTAAAGGACTGTTGATGTCTCTGTTATCAGATTCCAAAAGTAGTAGCCCATTCCCTGATAGATTACAGTCCGAATTTGTTTGCCAACGGGTAAACGGACCACAGTTTGCCGCCTGAACGATGAACGATCCAAATTTCTTTCACCCGTCAGTCAAACTCTTCAACAAACAACTGCGTAAGGAACATGAATTGTATCTTTTGAAATATGCTTTGCTCAATCACAACGACCAAACTCAGGCGCTGGGCCCTCTCGACAAGCCTCCCCTAAAAGAGCCGGTCATTCCCAATTTTGTGATTAGAGAGCGGATAACAGGCACCGGTGACAGCTATGTAATAGCGAGGGGTGATCTGCAAGGCGAGACAAAAGTAAATAAGTTCGGAAAACTTTTGGGCAACCGTCATTTCTTGTTCTCCACGTTTACACCTCCCACAAGACCTCATTCTGTATTTGTTCTAGTCCGAGATCTCTTGGAATGCTTGTCCCTGAGTGTAAGCCCAGAACAGTTTTTACAAGAGTCTCAACAGCTCTATGGAGTTAAAGCTAGTCCCGACGAACTCGTCTTCCTGAGGGAAAACAAGCTTCTTGCCGAGTCCGCCTTGTCAGAAAACGAATATTATGTGACAACAAAATCTGTCTACATGTTATATGGAGCCAGAGTTCTCGTAGGGGGGACCAGACTCGTAGACGACTATTGGGAGGAGGCCGTCAAGGAACAAGGCTTTTTGCCTCACTACAGAGTTTTCGTCATCGACAATAAAATACTCCGAGTTATGAATGCCTTAAAAACAGATACACCAGTCCAAGAGCCAAAGAGTGACGAAGCCGCCCTGCAACTGCCAGACGAGCCGCCGTATCTAACAATAGCAGAACAAACCTCATGGGAGGTGAAACAAGACTACTTAAAACGACTTGGCCGTGGTGAACATTTGAATGTAATCATACCCGGCCAAAATATTACTGGATCGCTTGAGCTTAGCGCGCAGTCTAAGCTGCCGAAATATCACAGCAAAATTTCTTTGCAAGCAGCTATACAAATGGGAATTGAAGACACGCCTATTGGAACACTTCCACAGCCGCAGTCTAATATTCCCACAACCTCCATCGAAACCTCCAGCAAAAGTGATAAGCGGCTTTTGAGTGGAATTATTGATCCGTTGGTGATTTCTAAAGTAGATAGAAGCGGAGTTACTCAATGGACAACCTCTGGCATAGTGGCACAAGACGTTTCTCTAAACATCAACGGTTGGAAATTTGACTCCCTTCCGGTGAAATCTATGAAAACTGCGGATTTAAACTACTCGGTTAAGGGCCTCCCACTTTACGATAGCACTAAACTTGCCGAGCGCCTAAAGATGCTAACTCCGAATGAAATCAATGAGATGCAGCATCTCCATGATTCTGTCTATGTAGACACAAAGCTACAAAGCGCCAGAAAAGTTAGAAAGACAAAATGGACAAAATATTGGCAACATAAAGCGGGGCTTCCAATAGGTATTACTAAAAATGATACTGGATCCGTGCTAGAAAAGTACCTTAGTGATGTTGCCAATCACGTTGACGTTGTCAGCACCATTAATGGGACTTTGAACAAAGAGGAGATCAAAACTTTCAAAAGAATACCTAATGCTAATTTCAAGGGATACTCTAACATTACAGGCTTGAAGCCACCTTACGTAAATGAATGAATAGTTTTAATACAATTGATGTCCCAATAAGAATGAAGGACGATGAAATGTTGGGGTACATGCAGCAGGCCAATGGAATCATAAAAGTTTAGTTTTCACTATTTCTTGGCGAATTTTGAAAGTGTAGTAAGCCATAACCATCATGACAGCTACCAATGGCATCAACCAAATGGTTAATTTGCGTACAATCTCATCAATGTGGGGTCCACCATTCTCTCCAAAAGAGTTTTGCTTCGAAGCATCCCTGATTCTCTGTTGTTCGAGCAACAATTTTTCGAGCTTTTCATCCATCTTGAAGAACTCTTTGAAACTCTCATCAACCACTTCGCTATCCTCGCCATCCTGGCCACTGCTTGATTTCCGAGATGCAAAGAGAGCAATTACCTTGTCAAGCTTTCTACTTTGCAACGTTTGAATTTGTATCAGTTCATCAATTGTCTTTGACAGCATTCCAATGTCATTTGCCAAAACTTTGCCCTCAATCCTGTTTAGTTTTAACAACAGGTCGAGATTGGAAACGGAGTCTGCCCCGCCGTTCATTTCTAGTGCCGTCTTTTCAACAAGCTCCTCTTCACCAGTTTTTTGATTAATGACTTTGGTAACAAATCGAGGTTGCTCCATGACGTTTACATTTGGCAGCAAAGACTCCTCTAGAACACTATCGTAAAGTTCAAATTCCAACAGTTCGAAAGATTCTTCGTTGTCAGCGTTCTCAGCAGTGATACCGAACTTGTAGCTTTGAATTGGAAACTTCACCATTCTGGTTTGAAAACAGACTCTATTGTCAACTTGGACTTTCAGGAGATGGTTGTCGGAGCTGTCGTAAGTGAGTCTGACGGTCAGAGGAACCGTAGAATCTTGATACGCAAGCAGACATGAAGCAAAGGTGTCACCATAAACATCACTGCTTGTGAGTTGTTTGTTGCCGTCATTCAAGTGTGCACGCAATGTTCCACCTAGTGCGCCATTATTGTCAATCAACAACTGCAGTCCGTCAAATTTCGAAGGACCATTGTACAGTTCGGTGTCGACAGCACCTTTTGCACCAACAAACCACATCGCCAACCCACCCTCTGACTTGCCTTGGTGATTAGTGCTTCTTATTGTCCATTCTGCAGTGAAAGAGTTATCCAGCGGATATTCGTTTTGAGACCATACAGAACCCTTAGTAGCCTTCTTCGGAGTCAACACAACTCTGCCTTCTTCCAGCAATGCCTGCCCTCCGAGAGCCCAAGTTTTTGGCAGTTTTTTGGCCTGAATCAAGTCTGGCAAAGAAAAGTCTTGATTTAAGGCCGGGCCCCTATTCTTTTCGACTGCATGTGAAACCGCTTGCTGAGCAAAAACTGCTAGTGTGATAACATTATGGAAAAGCATGATAATCAAATGATGGTATCTTAACTACGCTCCTTCCCTACTTGAACCCTTGCAAATGTTCAATGTCTTTGGGTCAGTTGAAGAATTTGAGAATACAAACAGTCACCGTTTTAAATATTCCAAAAAAGCTGTGTGAATTGATTCAGATTTGCTCAATCACTTGAACTTCTCAGCAAATGTAACTCTATAGTTAACGAAAGCGTTCTTATTGCATTCACTACAATCATTTTTTTAAAGGTAGGAGTTTCATGCATTTATCTCCTTTTGAAAAATTTAGAATGCAAATACGTGGATAATAATTATCTGTCAGATGTAGTAGATCAACAAACCCACATCTAAAGGTGACAAATATGCTTTTTCGTCCTTCGATCTCTACGGTTTGATGTTTTCTTTAGATTCCCAACGTCATGTATCACTAAGAGACACAGTATACATTCTCTACCGTTATATGACACGTTATATGCAGAAACAGGTCGTGTAAGCCGCTTTAGCTTAACATAAGGCATCCTGTAAAATGGTGAACGCCAAATCCAATTGCACTTCACAAATCGTTCATTCGATAGCACCCATAAACGCTCTATGAGATTCTACGAATGGAGAACGTCGAGGTTTCTGGAAAGTGACAAATGTCTACCTGCTTTGAAATGTAGATCGACGTGCCTTTGGTAGTTCAACTCAACTTTATCCTGCTCTTGACATAAAGCTTACATGGCTTCAGTTATGTGGCGTATTCCACTCTTGAGCTGGTTTTACAAATTACATTTTCGATCAATTACGGCGATCACGATGTAACGTATATAATCAACGCATGGTCGGCATCTGTAGCTCACAGCGGCTAAGCACTATTTGCTTGTATCGATTTAAACACACTTCACAATCAAGCTCATTCTGTTGTTTTCAATCTCCTTTACTCACCGATGTTTGCGATTTTCTTAAGATATTATATAAGGAATTCGATTTATACACAATCTTGACAATGTTCTGTTGTTTCGTCATCTCTGTGGGAAATGAGGGTAGCTGATATTGCCTCTCTTTCTAGATGAGCGCCAACGCTGCTAGTCTCCAGCAGTAATTGTTTAACCCTTTGCTTTAAGAATTTACTGTCAGGAAACCCGCCGTCAGTTTTGCGATCCCAAATTGTAATCTCAACACCCTCTGGTGCCGAATACCCCAAAACTCGGAACTCACCCGATTCACCAGGAACCAAGGATACTTCAGCTAAGGAATCTTGAAAGGTCTGTAGAAGCTCTTGAAGGTACCAAGCACTTCTTAAATTCCATTTGCACTTAGTACAAAAGTGTATCGAAACTTTAGGGAATGGCATACTCCAAATTTTATGAAAGTTAGGCGTTCTTTGTTTTCATCTGATCGATCAACATAATCTACTAAACTTAGCATTTGAAACAGTTTGGCAATACTTTGAAAACAAAAACATAAAAAGGAGCGACGGGTGAGCAAAATGCCCTCATTTGCTGATAGCTTTTGGTCTGATGATTTTTCCGTAGGTATAGAGCAGCTATTTCGCGAGCTTCACAAAGGATGTAGTCAAAACGCGCTCTTCATTCAGTTATTCGCGTTGAGAATGCAATACGAGGTAAATTATGGGCGTCAGCTCTGCAAGACAACTTCTAGTATCGAAGGGCTTGCTGCAGTTGCAAACTCAACGCAGTCGCTTGACGTTGCTCTCAGTCAATTGGTCAGCGTATCCGAAAGAGAAGGTAATGAGCATTTGTCGATTGCAGCAGATATCGAGGTCACTGTGCTGCGACCTTTCAGCTCATGGTGCGAGGATCACGAAGGAAGAGTTGATTATTCGGAAAAAATACTGAAAACTAATGTGTCGAATTATCAGAAGTCAGAGAAATACGTCGAGAAGCTAGAGCAGAGTTATTTTAATAAATGCAGACAGCTTGAAGATTACAAGAGGTCTCATTTTAACGACGATGAGCTGGCGAAAGCCATGAAACAGCTGGAGATTTATCAAGAACAGGAAGAAGCGCTCGCCAAGGAGCGAGAGTATGAACCGTTTGGCAAGTTTGGTTATCTTGATTTTGACGTTCGCACGATGCGGGAGACAGTGGCGCTTCTCCTCACCAAGTTGGAAAAGTCCGAATACAAGGTGCCCTTTATCAATTATCATTTTGACAATACGAATAATGGCAGTGAAATCGTTAAGTTCCTGATGGATAATCTAACTTTGAAAGACGTAGATCAAGCTGAGACTTTCGGTCAAGATCTTTTAAATGGTGGGTTTCTCAAATACTGTAATGGTGTAGGGACTACATTTGTAAATTCCAAAAAGTTCCAATATAATTGGAAGCCCTACGCCTACAAGTTTGCACAAATTCAACTACCCAACGCCCACGAAATTGGAGAAGAGCAAGTTGAGGAAGGCCCACAAGCGCTTTCCGAATACTTCTCAGATCTAACTTCTAAAATATCTAGCTCGCAACCTCTGACAATATCTCCAGCTGCTGTCTCAAACAACGAACGGGCCCTTTTCAGATTTATGAAGGATATAGATTGGGCCGATTCAAAATACAGAAAAGAGTGTAAGAAGCTCGATGCTCTTCGTTGCTCCCTAGAAGAGCTTTTGGTTGATCATTTTACATTCATGGAAAAATGTGAGTTAGATAGACTTAAGGCTCTAGAGAAGGTAATTTTGGACTTTTCTCCAATTCTGTCAAAAAATACTTCTGCCTTGAACCACTTGCATGATGCAATCTTGAAAACAGGAACTGAAGTTGACCCCACTTTGGATTTGCTAAAGCTAGTGGAAAGATCAAGAACTGGTCCTTTTCAACCTCGTGTGATAACTTATAATAATTATTACAATCCCGGTGGGTATCAAAATTTTGGCATAGATTTGGAAACGCGGTGTCGTTTGGATAAGAAAGTTGTACCTCTGATCGTTTCTGCCATTTTATCCTTTATGGATCAGGTATACCCTGAGTTACCAAATGATAATGTGAGAACAACCGTTTGGACGGTTCCTGTCAAATTACTCTCAACGCATAAGCTGAGAGAAGCTTTAAACGAAGCACCTTTCCAAGAAGAGATTGAGGTCACCGAAAAACTAAAAGCATTTTCAAAAGAGCCAAGCACAATAGCAAGTGCTCTTAAGGTATATTTGCTCGAGCTACCGGAGCCTTTGATTTCCGACGACGTTTATGACATTTTAAAAGCACTTTATGCTGAGTTTCCTCCTTCCGAGGTCGAGAGTCCTCAGCAGGCAGCGGTGGACTCTCAAAGAATAAATGGTATTTCTAATGCCTTTAATTCCTTATCCAAACCACACATCGCAACGCTAGACGCACTCACATCTCATTTCTCAAGGTTAGTTAAAATCTTGAAAATGGGTTCCTCTGCCTCCAGCGGAACTTTGGCCAGCGAATTCGTTCGATCTGTCTCACAAGAATTTGCTAATTGCATAATTAGAGTTAGTTTCCCAAATGGTAACGATCTAGGATACAAAATCTTCTCGGATCTTCTGCTCTTCAGAAAACCTGTCTTTCGCGAGTTGAAGCGACAAAGCTCTAAGGCGCAGAGCGACTTCGCCAGTTAGAACGCAATAGTTCTTTTTGAAAAATGAGCCTCAATAGGTAGGCCCGATTATGCTAATTCTCATTAAATACCGTTTATTGTTGTCATTATAAAATCGTTGCCGATAGATATTTCCCTTTCCCATATATTCAAATATATTAAAATTCAGTTCAATCCTTAGAGTTCCTTGCCAGTTCTTCCGCAAATAACTTTCTAGGTCGAAATCTTTGCTGCTCCTCTGCGGTCAAATGCCTTTCCTTGACCACCTTTCCATTTTTGTCAACGTATTGAATTGTATCTTCTATACCTGGATGTTCAGCTATCAGCAGTTCTTTGCGTCGTCTTCTGGTCTCTTCACTAGGAACGGAGCTGTCCACAAACGGGTTTTCTAGCGATTTCTGTGTTATACTTGTTTCTTCAACTTCTTCGTCAGAGGAGAAACACGATTGCGAGTTATTGTTCCAATCCTTGGCCAGCTCAAAAGTCACAATCCTATCACTGGGTGTACTAGGTGTTTGTTTGGCCACTTTTCTGGCATGAAGCAAGGAATCAGAATCCCAATCAATGGTATCTACATTTGAAATGGGTCTTTCATCATCGACTTGGTCTTCCAGGATAAAGGAAAAAGCCTTAGAAGTTGAGCTTGGCGGCAGAAGCCCTGGTGCCCCTTGTAGCAATCGAGATGCTGGCCCAGGGGCTAGAAAACCGTTTTGCGAGCGTTGCGGATTAGCATCACTGGTTTCAGGAAACAAGACTCTTCCGACGCTTTGCAAATCCTCAGTTTCCTCGCCAAAATCCAATTTCTTCCTCACACTTTCCGAGGGCTTCATGGGCGTGTATTCCGGCGTTCTGAGCCCTCTGGCGGGCGACCGATGCAACGGTGACCTCAGTCTGTTGAAATGCGACATGTTAGGTTTGGTTCCCACGCTTCCGGGTGTCACAGGGGCCGTTAGATGCGGTTGGCGTTGTGGGGACATGGGAAACATTTCGGGTCTTGGAGGCTCGAGCATTACTGATTTCCCAGCACGTCTGTTCCTCGATCGAGGAGGAGTTGCCGGAGCCATTACTTTATTAACGTCAGCCTGGCCTCTTGCGTCTATAGGTAAGGCCGAAAAACGCTTTTCAAGCTTTAGTCCTCTCTTTTATTTAGTTTGAGTACCGGAATTCCTGAGAGACCAGCATTAATTTTTCGACATCTCATTCTCTTGAGGTTATCATATCTACCAGCCTTGCTAATAAAAGGAATGCAAAAAAAAGAGAGGGATCAAGTATGAGAAACCAAGCCGTATGTAGACTCCTTTATTGCTATTCTCCGATTTAGAACGGTGCTGAGATCAGGTATGCAAGGGGATCACACCTACTTTGGGTAGTTAATTAATTAGGCGACGCTATGGTACAGAGTGATCTGGGAGAAATGCTTACCTTGTTGAATAAACCATCAGCGACTGTCCGCTACGATTTATGGTGCGGAAGGGCAGCAGGGTTCGATAATGTGCTTGGAATGCTCAAAAACAGTGAGGCGCCCCTGTCGCAATAATTTTGATGTTGTTGAAATCTGATAATTAAATTGTCCTCGCTGTCGAGATCTCCAATCGAAGTGTAGCACTGTGTATCCATGAAATCACTGGAGAGAATAAAAATGGTGACTAAATTTATTCTAATTTTCTTAGCAACTATTGGACGCTAACTCACCTTGAACATTTTGGATAATGAAATTTCTGAACTAGACGAAAATTGCGACCGATCTGACAAAGTAAAATCTCCTACTCTATTTGGCGTCAGTGATCGAAGTATTACAAAAGTAAGATCAGGTTTGCTAAAACTTGGAATCGGGAGCCTGACATCGCTCTTTGTTTTTTTTTCGCAAACAATTTCAGATAATTTCTATCTTCACGGCAGCACTCCTGAAGCAGCAGCCGCACGTCGTGTACGTTGTGGCCCTGGTGCTGTCCAGGGACACCATTCAGTCGACATGAACAAGGTCTTGAAAGTAAGGTTCTGATATCACGTGCTGTAGTCACTTTGTACTTCATCGTTCTTTCAAGACATCTCGAATAATACGTAGTTGTACGCATTCCACATCTAAGTTAAGCACACAAGACCGGGTCCTTCACACCTTGGAAACAATCGCGTACTGATTCATCCACGACATGGTAAGTTAAGTATTAATCTTGGCATTTGGAAAAGATATATCATACTGACAGCATTATAGAATGCGTTGTTCAATCATGCGACGAAGCAAAAGACTTTACTGCAGCGGGATCTTGCAAAACTGGAGCGGGATCTTACAATAGCTCCAATTTCCCTGCAAGGATCAATAGCATCCACGCTGGTGTCTTTGGAGAAAACTATTGAACAATACAAAGAACATTTGACGAGATTTCATGCGACCAATCCAAATGAAGATGAGAGCTCAAAGCTTAAATACCAGTCGCGGTTGGAAACCTTGCAAACCGAATACAACAGTGCCAAGGGACGCTTTCAGTCACTCAAGAAGCAGTGCAATGAGGTCAACTCTCGCGAAAGACTTATAAAATCCAGCAGTAATCCGTTTGACGAAGATTTCACGGTAAGTAAGCGCAGCACTGCCACGGCTGCTCAAAACCAAAGCAATGGAGGCAATTCCAGCTCACAGCTGCCTCTTTATCAAGGACTGCAACAGGAACAGTCCGTCTTCGAGCGTGGAAACGCCCAACTGGATCACATTTTAGAGATGGGGCAACAATCCCTTGGTGACATAATGGATCAAAATGCTGTTTTGCACAAAATGGAAGCTCAGATGACCAAAAGCATGCAAACTCTGGGTGTTTCCAATGAAACCATCAACAGAATCAACAAACGAGTCTTTAAGGATAAATTCATTTTCTGGATCGCTTTGGTATTGATGTTTGCCGGGTTTTACTTTGTTCTTAAGTTGCTGCGGTAGTCAAACATTTAAAAGCATATGTACAATAATAAACGGGAAATATTTACTGGTAGTGGTCGGTCGGATTAAATTTTCCAGTACAGACAACTTGATTTTTCACCTGCAACAATAGCTTGCTCGGGCGTTAGTGTGAGCGTATCAGAGAAACTTGGTGACTGCTCAGACATGGACTTGGAACTACTACCAGGTTCAAGCAATTTGGGAATATTTATAGGCTTGCATGTTTTGATCTTCTTACCGTTTCCCAACTGTCCCTCCGAGTTGTCTCCCCAAGCAACGACTTCGTTATTTTCAAGCTTGCAAAAAGTATGTTCGTTACCACAAGACCAACTTTCAATCTTAGCCCGTCTTTCAGTAATTGTAGAGCCATCTCCTGTGACGTCATTCACAAGTTTCAACTTGGTTGGATCCTGTTGAGAGTGTTTGTAATGGCCATTCCCCAACTCTCCATGTATGCCACTGCCAAAGGCAAAATAAGTTATTTTGTCTAAATCGTCTCTTAAAGAGACATTTCCTTTGTTCCTGAAGTATTTGTGGATATCCTGAGGCACAATACTAACAAAAGAGGTATCTCCGCCTGCGTGGATGTCAACGCTCTTTAAGTACGTGTCTCTTGAAAAGTGGGCATTGAATCTCCCCACCTGTTTTGGAAATGGAACGTATTCCATGTCATAGCTAATAGGTTGGCCCAACTGTCCGTAAGTATTAAGGCCAAATGAAAAGACTTCGCCAAGTGAATCGAGCGCTAGTGTGTGAAAGTTTCCACAAGCGACTTTTTCAATTCTCTTCGCAACACTTCCTGATTCGCCAACGCTACGGTTCAAAAGCTCTATTTCATAAATTTTGTTACGCTCTGGGAATGGATCAAACTGTGAGAGTGTTGGAACACCAAATTGGCCTTTGGATTTTACCCCTTCGGTGTGCTTCGTCCCCGTGGCACAGGTGTAAGCTTTGCCTGCATTCGAAATGAATACCAAGTGGTCCTTCCCGACATCAAATTGAGATATTCTGTTTTCGCCACGGCTAGAAAAAGCTTGTTTGGTGTCTAATTTCCGGTTGTACTGGCAATACGTTTTCCAAGGTAAAAGCCAGGATCTCTTTACTTTCAGAAATTTTGATCTTTCTGCTGAATCGGTGAGCGGCACAACCAGAATTTCACCTCTTTTGTTAAGGGTATAGGCTACTTCGTTTGATACTTTGACATCCATTAAATCTTGGTTAGGCAAAATCAAACTCTTGGAATTAGTGTCCCAACGATACAGATCGCCAGCAGCATCGATGGCTAGCTTGCCGCTCGTGGAAGAGAGCGATACAGACCTCAATTTCTGTCCATCAAAATGTGACACTCTCAATGGGAACTTACTGTTCTTGCCATCTTTACGATCCGCGCCCCAATAATATAGGCCTGGAGTGGTGCTAGGAGGCTCGGTCAAGGGTACCTGGGGAAACTCCATCAACCGCTTTTTTTCCTTCCGCTGCTTCAAAAGTTCGATTGCATCATCGTTTAGCTTCATGTCCGTGGTCATCCACCATCCTTTGATCTGTGGCCATTGCATGTATGCTGTGTAGGCACATCCTAGACCTGCTACAAACAATAGTCCTCTTAAAGCTGCCGATATTTTCGCCATTCGAGCCATTCGGTCATTATACTCTTCCTCCACCTCTTTAGCTGGTCTTTCCGTCCATTTGTATTGGTCTTTTCCACGCTTAGCGGTATAAGCAGCGTTGTTCAACCTGCTAGCAAGCATCTCGGCATCATCGAACTTGGGCACATTCTTGTTCAGTACTTTACAGCTCACAAGAGAGCGGCTCAACAGTGACCTCGGTGACCTTGATAGCATGCGTGTAACCGAGTCTCTTGTATATATAAGTTTTAGGATGGTCTGTCACATCTAATACGGCTAAATTCGACTTTTTAAATTATCTGTACATCAAAATTTCGTGATATTGTCACAGCGAATTAGCTTTCAGACTCTTCCCTGTGAACATGCTTGCTTTAATCAATACATCCTATAAATGCTCCAGGTTTTCTCGCTCTTTCAGTACTTCTATGAAGCTTTGGGATGATTTGGATCCGGTGCACATCAAAAACACCAATCGATTCCGACAGCTTCTGGTGGAAAGAGGAGATTTCGCACCTCAGCAAGCTAACACTTTGGTTGATATAATGTCTGAAGCGCTCAAAGGTGGTGTGGTACATGTCTCGCAGGACTTGGCCTCTCGGCAAAAGTTAATACAACTGGTATACCAACAAAGAGTGGACTTTGCCAAATTAAGGGATCAACTGCTGTCCGCAGATCGCAGCGAGTTTCACACGATAAAGAGTGAGCATGAAGGGATTCGGAATGACTTGGAGAAATTGCGCACAAGATTGAGAGAAGAGATCACCAAAACTAATGCTGGGTTCAAGTTGGACTTGTCGTTAGAAAAGGGAAGAATACGGGAAGAATCCAGCCATCACGATATGCAGATCAAAGAAATCGACACGCGTATTGACCAGGAAGTCAGTAACATGAAAATGCAGATAGATTCGGTGAAAACTCAAGTGATGCAATGGCTAATCGGGGTGTGTACTGGTACATTCGCTCTCGTTTTGGCTTACGTGCGCCTGTTGTCTTGATTTCAAAATTTCAAAAACCAAGTTACAGCATATGTATCTATTTATGATTAGGTAGTTTAGGTGGGCAAATCAATTACAAGTGGAACAATTCGCGCAAAATCTTCACGGTGTCCTCGGGGGTTTTGACGGAGTGACCGATGGTTCTAGGGTCGGAGTAGATTTCGTAGTCGTTGCCGCCTTCAAAGGTCTTATCACCGAAGAAGTGGATTTCCTTGAACCCATCTTCTTGAACGTGTTTTAGACAGTAAGTCTTGTCCCAGCCAGTAGGGAAGACATCGAAAGAGATTTGACCGCCGATGGAGAAAGTCAATTTCAAGTGAGCAAACTCCTTTTTCAAAGCTTCCACGAACTTGGCTCTAATTTGATGCACTTTGTCGTATTGCTCGAATTCGTTACGCTCAGCAGTAGAGGCGTTTCTGCCGATAGGAGAGATGTTGATCATACCGTTTCTGAACTCCAAAAAGGTACCTCTTCTCTTGGGCAACTCAATGCTCGACAAATATTTCAAAACGAAAACCGCAAGCTTGTTGTATTCCTCTTCTCCAATCCAGTTGATGAAGGATTGAGACGCCAATTTCTCGCCCAATCTGTAGGCAGTCAACCCGTTCTCAGAGAAAGCATAGTCGAAGTCGTTCAAGACATTAGGACCCAATTGTTCGAGTTGCTTGCTGAAATCGGAGCCACCGACAAAACCGATGACCACTTTTTGCCTTAGCTTGGCCAATGTGTCTCTGACTTCATTGGAAATTGTAAGTCTGGCGGGGGTTAGAGTACCATCAACGTCAAAAAGGACGAGAGTGTCTGGCTTTTCTTTGTAACTGAATTCTTTGGCGACCATTTTGAATAAGGGTTTTTGGTTCAGAGAAATGTAATCTCAGATAGCAGGGTTAAAAGGAGCTGGGGTTATATAAAGAATGATTGAGCTTTTTGGAATTAAGCGTTTCGAGATCGCGCTTCCACGGTGTCAAAAAAATTTTAGAAAAACACGACCTGAAAGTAGTAGGGTAATAAGATACTTGACGCGTTTTGAGCCGAGAAACGCGAAAACTTCATAATGCAGTGGGCATAGCTATCTAGAGCGCAATGGAGTGGACGATAGGCCTACTATTTGTTTTGAAGACTGAGTGGACGATACTGTAACACGCAACCTAAGCGTATAAGTGTCAAAATTTGATAGTAGAATGAAATCACTGCGCACATCTGACAGAAAAAGATATAACGACCTGTTTATAAATATCCTGAGAGATGGTAGAGTTTCTTGTCTGGGCGTTATCCGATTCTTTTGCTGCCCAACGTTTCCTGGTAATTCAAAGTATGGTTATACTGTATTTGACGCATTAGCCTAATTTGAATGGGAAATAAATGTTCTTGATAGAATTTGACGTTCGTTGGTTTTACTTAGATGGTATAAGGATGATTTAATTTCAATTGATTGCGGTGTTGCACAGCAGTCTGGCTGGATTTGTTGGGTTATTAGTATGCTGCGACAACCTCTTGCGACAACGGACGAAAACCTTAAATATGTGATATGTGAACGCAGATTGAAACCATTGTATTTGTGGCATCTCACTCATATTAGTGATGTCTTGATTATCATAGCTAGATACTTGAAGTGCCACTACAAAGAGTGTCCATCGAAAAGCAAGTCGCGTCTTGTGCTCCCCCGGACTTATACCTATTCTTGATTCAAATTTGATAGTTTGCTAATAATTGTTTATCAATAGATAAGAGCGTCACTTTACGAGATCGCGCTCAACACGTAGAAGCGAAACACTCCGATCATTACTCATTGAGAACTTCATTGCTTGGGCTTCCTCTTCGAAGTCACGGAATTAGTAGGTCTTGCAGGTTAGCTAGGTGAGTCTCTGGATGGAATCCTATCGATCACCCTAGAAACGTCCGGAAATGAGTCCTCGAATCATAACAATGGGTCTTTGTATGGGTCTCTGCATGGGTCTTCAAACGGGTCTTTATATAATAGGTAGATGAGTCCGGAAAGGAAACGTTTATCCTTTCACGGGGTCGTCACTAAAGACGTAAATCAAGTTGTGGGACCCATAGCTACGAAGCACATTTTGTAGCTACCAAAAAATCAAGTTGACACCAGCCAAGCTTGCTTTCGCAAGCTCATGTTTAAATTCCTATACAGATTCAAAACTAGAACGGTGATTATTTAAAAAGGGAGATCCAAACCAGGCTGCACGCATTACTGTTGTAAACAAGCTATAGCTCGTTAACTCAAGCTCTTACGCAACTTAAGCCTTGGAAAAGTAGTCTGGGAACTCTCTGACGTTTTCCTCCAAAGAACCCTTCTTGGACAAAAACTTAACGAAAGCACCGTCATCCTTGACCTCACCAGCATCTCTTCTTCTGACGTACTCAGCTCTGTTCAAGTTGGTGAAACCCCATTTCTTAGACATGATGATCTTTTGTTGACCTGGGAACTTGTAACGAGCTCTTCTCAAACCTTCAACAACAACGTCTTTGTTGTTGTCCTTGGTTCTGACAGAGAAAATAATTTGGCCAATGGCAACACGGGCAGCAAGACCGTGAGGCTTACCCCAGGCACCTCTCATACCTTGTTGCAATCTATCGGCACCGGCACACGACAACATCTTGTTAATTCTCAAGACGTGGAATGGGTGGACTCTGACTCTCAAGTGGAAAGCGTCTCTACCAGACACCTTGGTCATGTACTTGTTGGCACAAATACGGGCGGCTTCCAAAGCTTCGGAAGACAATTGTTCCAACTCGTTGGAGACCAAGTGGACACAGAGAGGAAACTCATCGACGGTAGCCTTCTTCTTACCCAAATCGTAGATTCTGATCTTGGAGTCTGGGACAGCTCTGTTGTATCTAGACTTTGGGTAAGGCTTGTTCTTTTGGTATCTGTAACATCTTGCTGGTCTTCTAGCCATCTTGAAAGAGAGTTAAGTACTGGAGAAGGAAGAAAATCCAAAAGAAGTAGTACTAAGAGGTAGAAAAGATATATTCGTGGGCTTTATTATTTTTCTTCGCCATCTCACCGTGCGATGCAATGACAAATACAAAAATATCGTCACACGCGACAAGCAGAAAATTATTTGCCAAAAAGCTTTTTTCGTGCCAAGGGATGATCCACAGCAATTTCCGAATTTTTAATTTTATTTTATTTTTAAAACCCAAAATTCAATGTATTTTTTAATATCGTGAAAAATATTTTGGGTCAGAGAAAGGAAAATCAAATGTAAATGTGTGGGTGCTATTAACAGTCCAATGTAAATCGTGGATCTCACGTGATTGTATGCTTCTTTCCTGTGGAGAATATAACCGCTGTATCCAGTCGATTGGTAGGATCACAGTTTGCTTAGACACGAGCTCAATTATCAAGGTATTAGCAACGTTATTTTCAGAGCCGTTTGCGATCGTCTATAAGTTATGGTAGTGCTACCGATTCGCAGCGGTTCACATACTGCATCGTAGAAAGGACATCCGCTTAGATGAATACGGGACAGTAGTAGCTCGCCAAGCGCCGAGCAAGATGCCAGAGGCCATCAGGTATGTGTTCTGCCATCGTTTCAGCTTGCGATCAAGCCAATGATATTGATGACATTTTAGTACATAGTGATGTATATTTATATTCCAATCTTCTCGCAGGCGGCCACACGCTTGATCCATCATTCATCTAGCAGCGTGTGCCCTGCCCTTGTCGTAGCTCAAGTTTTACGAGGCCGAATTCGCGATGTAAGTAAGGAGCCCATCAAAAGCACACTATGCAAGATAGTATTTATCTCTCTTTACAAGCACGTAAAGGACTTCGTTTCTTTCATCTTACATATGCTTGAATCAAGCATCTTACTGATTCTCCTCCCCTGATCATCGGCGGCTACAATCCGCTTCACTTACGCCATTTCTTAGCCAGCATTTCTTTTTTAGCCCGGAAAATTTTCCAGAGGGCATCTCATCGCATGGGAAAAAAGATTACAGCTCTGAAATACTGCATTAAGCTACAAACTTGGTCAGCGTAGTTGAAGTCTGTTTGCTAGTTTACTTTACCATAATTGTGAACAGCCAGTTGAAATCGATTATCCAAACAAGATGGGCAGATACTCGGTGAAAAGGTACAAGACGAAGAGAAGAACCAAGGATTTGGACCTGATATTCAATGACTTGACATCGCCAGAGAAGATTCAGCAACTACTCAACCAGCCTGTGGACGAAACAAAGCCTGGCTTAGGACAGCACTACTGTATTCATTGCGACAAATATTTAGAAACCGCTATTGCCCTCAAGACACATCTCAAGGGTAAAGTTCACCGCCGCAGAGTAAAAGAATTGAAGGGCGTTCCTTATACACAGGAAGTTTCGGATGCAGCTTCGGGTCTCAACTTGCAAAAGTTCTTGAACAGAGTTGAGCAAATCAATCAGCAAGTTGGACCACAAAAGGAGGTGAACGAAACTCAATTAAAAGCCCATTTGGACACAGCCCTGGCCAACGTTGCTACCACAGAACCCACACTCCCCCACCTGGTGGAACCAACAGTGCAACAGGAGGTTTTGGATGAAGATGGAGAAGTTAAAATGCAATAGAAGGTGTGCGTGCGGCCTGGCTGTAGAACAGTCAATGGGAATGCTTGTCACACTTGGATAATATTTTAGGTCCTGTAAATTAGATAGAATATAATAAACCGTTTCATGAGGTTAATGCACTAGTTTTACGGCCTGGGGTTACACCAGTGGCCCTTACGCTACTCCTTGCTTTGCCCGAAATCAAAGTGCCCTGTTTTCTCCGCATGGCGAGCTACGTCGCGCTCACCAATCAGCATTTCCGAGCAAACGTTGCATTTAATGCGATCTCGCGTGGTATTAAAGGAATATCCTTTACTTTTAAGCTTCGAAGCAACTTCAAGGGCTCTCGCTAAAACCTGATCTATTTTATCAGATCGACTATTCAGTACTTTAACTGTGCTGCTACTGGAATCATTTGCCACTTCCATAGCGTCGTAGTGCACCCCATTGAACACAACCATGACGAAGTCGTCAAAATGTTGTTCATTGAACTTTTCGAACTTGCAAGCATCCACATCAAGCACATAGATACATAATTTCAAAACCTTTGAAAGAATAGCTAGTTCAATGCCGCCTCCCCATGAGGTCTTCTTGAGAATCCACTGCGAGTATTCTTTATTTGGTTTGCCAAGTATAGCATCTGAATACTCGACGGAGTCAGCTGCAATTTCGGAGGCGACTATTTCGCGGAACACTTGCGTGTGCGACGTGTCACCATGGACGCAGTACGAAATTGCATGAAACATGCAGGAATTGTCGTCTGGTACAGCATGTATTTGTAGAATGCGGTCTGGCCAGATTCCGTCTAAAGAAATCTGATTTTCAAGCAGTTTTCGAGGTGTTTTGGGTGCTGCCATGGGCTCAATACCTCCAATTACTTTCTGTTGTACTAATGCTACTTTCTCACCTGAGCTCAGCCCAATGTCTTCAAGTTTTTTGCTTAGGTTTGCTTCGCTTGCCTCAATAACCTGTGGCGGGTACCCGAATCTCAAACATTGGAAAGGCTTGCTGCTTTGCAACTCTCTTGACACTAACTCCAGCAGCTCATATAAAGTACAGTCGTTATCCGCGCTGACGACTTTTGTGCCTAACCCAGTGCAGCTAACCTTGATCTTCATTCTGTTCTAGTGTGTGTTCAAAGAGTCCCTTCTTTCAAAATCACAGAGATTTACAATGATGCCATCTTGAATCTAACTGAGGATCATTCTACACGCACTATTGTTCTTGATCAAGCTCAATGTTTCTGAAATATAGCTGACCGTGCATATCACGGCAGTTTTCAAGCGACTGCCATCAGTTTCCCGTCACGCTAGAACTAAATGATAATTATCTATTCATGGCTAGCTCTCGGTCCGACTTTAGCTGCTTCCTCATTTATGAGACGCAGTTCATCCGACAAAGCCAGCCTGCTTTCAAGCGTTGTAAATAATCTATCCCATGATTATGCGGAGGGACCGAAATGCTGAGGAAGCTATCCTTTAATCAAATAAGTTGCACATCTACACTGAAATTTTATGCAGTTAAAAAAACACCGCTCGCCAGTCGTTAAAGTATCATTTCAAAGCGCAAAATTGACCTCTCCAAATTCCGAGTGCTCTTCCGATTGTCTGCAGAATTTAGGTCCCTTAAGATACTAAATTGATTGGGCTTGGATCTGTTAACTCTACAGATTCTCTCACCTCGATTAAATTTTTTTTTTCGTCGAATATCGCCTACAAGCATTCGCGTCGCTTTGCATAGCTCATCGCGCCGGTACAGGCGTCAAAATTTTCACAGGAAGCGATGAGGATCCCCTGTTGACAAGACCAGCGGTAAGGTCAAGCATACTCGTTCGTCGGGTTCCAAAACTAAAGAAACGTTTGACAATTGAGAGCGAGTTTTAGTTTGATTTTGAAGGTCGAAAATCGCATGTGGCCAGTCCTGCCGTCAAAACTATGAAATCCTGTCACCAACTAAGTCAAGCGGCTTTAGACTACAGATTCAACCCGCGGGTTCCGCTGAAATTGTATTTGAAAACCTGTGTCAGTTTGCTCGAGGAAGCGCAGCAATCTTTCCAACTGGGCAACGTAGAACGCTCCTACATCATGTATCTGAGGTACCTGGATCTATGCATGAAGAAACTACCCGCGCACCCACAATTATTTGAGGAAGAAGCCAATGTAGACCGCGGACTTGCTAAAAAGGAATACATGCAATTGTTGAAGCTGGAGGTGCCTGCCATACTAAAGATCTCGGAGGATCTCCGCATTCATTTGGACAGGACGTTCGCGCAACATACCACAACGTTAGCGGCAAACGTGCCGAAGCCGCGGGCGCTGAAAAAAGACAAAGTCGAAAGGACAGAACTTCCGTCCAACTTCGATGAGGCACGGTTTAAACAGTCCCTTTCAACGCTACAAAGGCACGACGAATCCGCCGCACCCTTGAGGCAACGAGAATCACATATAGTTTACCCTGAACTGCCACAACTGAATCAGCCTTTTTACGCATCTTTTTGAAACCCTACATTTCAAACTGTCATTAATGTCCATCCGCCATCACGTATTAATTAAGTACTTAACAGCATCCCTCAATTCCGAAGCGTTAACAACCCCGGAATTTTTTCTCGTACTGTTGACGACACTAATTAGCTTGTCGAGCTTGTTAAGAAAATTCTCTGCTTCGTTAAGCGAAATTTCGCCGCTGGTCAGTTGATCTACGATATAACCCATGTATCGTTGGTACTGTTTTTTCTTCTGTAAATCAAGGTTGTTCGCTTGCTCTGAGGAACCATGCTTGTCCAGCCACTCTCGAACAGACAAGCGTCTGGAGTCTTCATTAATCTTGTCGTTTCCTGATGACACCTTATCGGCGCTGGCCTCAAATATTGTTTTGAAATGAGACATCATTTGTTCTACAGATGCTGCGCTCTTGGCGGAATTAATGTTCTGACTGTTTTCGAGTAGGCTTAAAATATGCTGTTCGCGAATTAAGACCAATACCAGAAGAAGAAAGTTGATCAACAACAATATGTTAGTCAGGCTATATCCACTTGCGGCGTTAGATTTCTCGCTTTTAACTTGCGAACTTTCTATGTCGTCTTTCTCTACTGGTGTCAATTTCATTTTCGAGGAACGGCTAGAAATGCGGCTCACCCGCCTACTTTGAGGTTGTTTCTTTTGCGGCTTCTGCTTTACTTCCATTCTGGATTCCATAACGTACTTCTCAACGTAGTTTTTAGCAATTTGGACCAAAGTCTCTGTCGCATCAACTTGGCCGGCTTTACAACTTTTGTCAATCATTGCTTTAATCCAGCTCCCGCCTGTCCATTCAACCCAAAATGAGATTTTCAACATGCTCGTGTTTCCTGACGCCCAGCACATCATATATCTGGTTTTAACGGAGAAGTTATTGCCGCTGGGTACATCAGGAGTTTTCGTAGTGTTTACAACGTTGATGCAGTTTTCATAATCCAGGCTCAACACTGTCTCAAGAACGTTACACTTTGTAGATTTGGGACCAACTGCGAAATTTAAAGCCTTCGCATAAGAATACTCACGATACTGCTGTCCATCCTTGTTTACCTGGTCGAACGCTGGAATAGTTGATAAATTTGACGAATTTTGACCCTTCAAGAATTCCTGTAAGAAATCAGTTTTGTCACTACTAAAAATCAATTGATAGACGACACCAGGAGGTGCATTAAGCTCTACTTCTGCTAGAACGGTCTCTTTGTTTTCCTCCGGATCGTACAGAAATTTTGTTTCCTGGAAATACGCTGGTCCATCATACTCGAAGCCGCTATTTGGTTTCAACTCGAAAACTTTTTGCGTCGAAGCTGTTGCACTCTTTGAAGAAGACGTCCTACTTGTCGCTACAGAATTTCTCTCATCCCCTTGTGCTTCGTTTTCTTCATCGTCAGCTTCATTATCTTCATCGTCTTCATCGTCTTCATCTTCATCGTCATCGTCTGCAACAATGTTGTGTCCTTTGCGCTCGAATTCCTTTCGCATAAAAATAGTTGGGCTGAAATCATCTACAGATAGAATGGCATCCTCTATTACTGCATCATTCTCGCTAATCATAGAAGCACGGCTTGGCGGTATGTCAAAAGACGCTTCAGCAGGTGAGATAGTAGCAAGTAGATCACTTTGAGATCTTCTCAACTCTTCGCGTATGCTGGCGATACTTGGTTCACTGCCTAACCCAGAGCCCTCTTCATAATTGATTCCTCTGAATTTGCTCCAAACAGTTTTGATGAACTCAAACGTGGCATCCCGGGAAATGAAACTTACAAATTGATGCTTTCCTAACCGTGTTTCAATGGATATTCCGTTTGGAAACAGCCCCGCAGTAGATGTTTTTTCCATTATTGTTATGTCCTTTAAAGAAACGACAATATGCGTTACCCACCCCAATAAGTTTGAATTAAAGCATATGTTTGATTCTGTGATGTAAATTCGACCTTGAAATAAAAATTCTCGACTCAAAGCACAACTGAAGTCATCTAGAAGCCGGTCATTACTTGGGACTGATTTGAAAATGCGGTGAAGCTCTGTATTTCTTTCCTCTGTTGCATAATGGTAAATCGTTCCAGAAAAGCGCTCTTCCACATAGAACTTTTTATTAAATTCAGGAACTACCTCATCAGGTTTTTCCATCTCTTGTAGCGGAGACGTTGGTACATTACTTTCATTACTCACAGAACGCTTTGACCTCCTAGTTGGGGTCGCTTTGCGATACGATATGATGTTAGGCTTGGTCTGTACAACCGAATCAGATGTAGTTCTTGAGTGTGACACAGTTTTGTCATTAGTCGAAGCAGGTCCTTTAAAAGTAAAAGTTGTCAGCATGCTGTTCAAAAACGAGCTATTCGAAACATCAGCGTCATCCTCGAAGATCGTGGACTCCTTCAACTCTTTGTATTCCTTTGATTCCCTTGTATCCCTGCCATCTTTTGATGAGCCAATGATTTGATTCACGGAGTTCAGAGCTGCGCCGTCTTTGGCAGGTGGGCTATTGACGCCCGTGATGGGGTCCAGAGCAGTCAATTGAGGATCTGCCGGTGATGATTTTAGCGCCGTATTGTCAACGGAAGCTATTGAGTTACGACTAGAGTTTTGTAACGATCTGATAGGAGATTTAGAGACTTTGGGACGATCTATTGTTTCCACTGATATTGGGATACCGCTGGGAAGCTCTGGCTGCTCGCTGTCTGCAGAAGCTTCATCATTATCATCTACCGGTTCCCAGTTGTCAAAATCTGACATTGACATACCAGTACTGAACTTTCCGACCTACAGCCTAAATCGCGACAACTTATAGCTGTTATCGGGATGGACTATGCGCGACGTAGCACGTTGTGATGAAGACCTTGCGCACGATTTCGACTTCAAGCAACAAATTCAAAACGGTCAATATCAGCGGCTGTTACTTGCTATATGCAGCTTTGGTGGTCTAATAGCGACTTGATTTTCGAGTACAGACGAAGATATTCCACGTCTCTATTGTAATAGGTGCCTCGAATTCTCACCAGAGGTTGTTGAACACAGAGATTTGGGATTCTTTTGACGGAAAGATTTAATAGAAAGGAGAAATACCTCAGATTTGAAGTTCCTATGCTTTTAGCTATTAAATTCGTTTCCCCTTTGCCACGTTTGTGCCACCTTAATATTTGCCAAAGACTGCTCAACAAACTTCGGAACAAATCCAGAACTTGTTAAAGTACTTCGTACCTCTAGAGATCCTCAAAGACTTAACGTATACCACTCGAAAAGTAGCGAAAGTTGATATTTACTAGCTTTGTTATCTCTCCTGTCAATATATTTCAAATGGTGTGCCGTTTATCACTATTGAAAGTTTAAAGTTCTTGGTAGAAATATTCAAGAAGACAATATATAATCGTAAGGTTACAGAACGATTTCTCAGACCGGTTTCAACTGTTCTCAGACCGTAGGATTCATTTGCTGGATGACTACGGCGATCGGGATGCTACAGAATAACGGCTTGGCCAGTCCTGAGGGAAAGAATGCGGCAATGGGCAACGGGTTAAAAGCAGGCGAGAAGGTGAGCTCCGCTGGCCTTTCCAAGGAATTGAACAAACAATCGCAGCAGAAGCTTCTCGACGCTGCTTCAAAGGCGCCCAAGCTCCCGCATGTAGAGGTCAATCAACTGCCGCTGGCGCTTTTGATCCGTAACCTTACAGTTTTCTCCATTAAAGAACTTGTGCAATTCCTGAAAACTAGTGTCCACGAAGGCCAGGATGCTACAGTAAAGAAGACTGCATTTTTGCAACTGGTGGTTTATCTGAGGAACCAGTTCCTCAAAATCTACGTACTTGTGAAATGGTGCCGAACCATAAGGAACAACAACTTTAACTCTATGATCGACTTACTCAATTGGTTCCGAGGTTCTAATATGGTGGTCAATAACTGCATATGGGCTCTGAAGGCGAGCTTGGCCGGTATGACAAATGCCAAGCTACCTAATCCAGATTTGATCACCGCACTTGAAGTCTTGAGTCTGGGTCGACCTAATCTGCCGACTCACAATTTTACTCTAAGCGGGGACGAAGATTCTCACAATGGATCCAAGACGTCGGTGGTCCCATCAAAACTCATTTTAAAAAAGTTGAGGGATATGAATATCATCATGTCCGTCAAAGTATCTGTAATGGAGCTTCCCGAACAATTCAAACAATACTCTGTCCGGGATGGTCGACTTTCAATTCGCGTTGATAATGAATTTGAGATACAGCTCTCTACAACCGACCAAAGATCCCCTCTTTTCTTCGTTGATCTAAAACTGCTGTTCAACGAGTTCTTGCCGTTGAACAAATATAAGCTAGAAAAAGTCATCAACGAAGTGCTTTACAAAAGCCCACGTCCTCTTTTTGCTCTCTATCGGCTTCTCCATAACCACGTTCTGTCCGTCCAAATGTACATGATCCATGCAGAACTTTTGGACCTCGAATCCAACAGCAAATACTCCGGTGGTAATCTAGTGCATCACTACGATTCGAGAAAGAATATCATAAACCTCAAATACTGGTTACAAAGTCGACTCAAGGGTAAGTGTAATGCAACTATTGGGGTTGAAGGGAAAACGGGCAGTATTATCCTAAAGTGGAACGTTGAAGGCATAGTTGAGAACCAGCCTGATGTACCTGTGCCTTATACGAATGTCTTGACTAACTTGGGAAACATTTTGGACGAGATAATGTTTAACCACTCTCAAATGATTAAAACGGAACTTCTTTCTACTGGGGTATTGCAAGAGGATGAGGATATTTCCGACGCGTTGTTGTTCAACGTTCCCTCAACTCCGGCGTCAGTCATTCCCATTCAACTTAAGATAAACTTGATCAGTGGTGTGTTCTACGTGAGGAATCCAAGTGGCTTATTAACATTTTACATCAACCAAATCAACAAAACTACTACAACTGACGACTTCATCAAAGTTTTGAGCAGGCTTAAACTCGATAAGATCATCTCGATTTTAAGAAACATGTTTGAAAAGGTTGGCTGGGTTTGCAAAAACGTCGTGAAGTTAAGTGGACCAGTTTCAAAAGATCCAAGCAGGGCTCAAGAGAAGATATTGTCGCGTGACCTTTTCATCAGATTGAATAGCTGGCCCGCCAATTGGTATCTCATTCTCAGCGTAATATCCTCAAATACCGCGTGCGTTATTGAGAAGAGAATCGGTAAAATTACCGCCTCGAAAGGAAATTGGGAATTGAGGTACTTGGATACTGAAAATGTCGCCACCCTGAAGCTTGAATCCATGACTTACCAGAAAATAATTCATTTGAAGAAAACAAGCTTGCATACGATTGTCGATCATATGATAATCGATTCTCTCAATGAGCTACACATCCGAAACAAGATTTGCGCTGGCAATAACCTGAACGCCGTGCCAGACTATATTTTACGCGACGGCCAGTCACATCATCTATCGGTGTTGAGCATAGAGTTGGAGTCTTTTCTCGGCGGTTCTTGTGCACTGAACCATATACTCGAGAAGACCATGTTCCTGCGTATCGACTACCAAGATAGCAAGATAAAGCTATTTGGGAAGTTCAAGCACAATAGTAAAGTGATAGGATACCAATACAACGATATGCTGATGGAATTTACTGACAAAGGAGCATTGTCATTCTTCATGTCAGAAATTTTCACTGATCTGAACAATATCGTCCAACATTTTAGTGCTTTCAAACAAAAGTTGATGCAGATTGTGACTCTTACAGATGTAATTGAAAGATTACACGACTTCTATTCCGAGAACTTCAGCATTGTTGCTCTAAAGCCGAACGAAATCTCTTTCAAGTATTTGAAGAACAGTAACGATGATTATGACTGCAGAATTCACATTCTTACCAGTGATCACAGCGTTGAGAATTTAGACGTCAAATTGTCGCCGTCAAATCCGCAATACATTATTCAACCCTTTATTGAGTCTAGCAAGCAGGACTATCACTTCGTTTTCAACTACCTGCAGTTTACGTCCGGGTTCTTCGGAGTACTGGGGTCGATTTTAACTTCACCTGGAAACAACGTGAAAGCGACCAATGGATATACCACGGTGTCGCTCCAACTGCATAACCTGTCCGAGTACGAACTAATATATTATAATCCGGAGACAAACACTAAGATCACGTTGATGATAGAGCTGCGCAACGTATTTTTGAACGGTGTCAAGAAACTGCGCTATTTCGTACATTTCGCAGACGACGAGCATATTTCTACTAAAAGCCCTGCATACCCACTAGTGCATCAAGTACGCAACACTGTATTCATGATTGATAGTGCTACCCTGGTCACAAGTGACACCATCTCTGGCCTTGGGTCTCCCAAGAAACCTAAAGCCTCCTCTGTGATCAGACTAACGGAAGGTCTATGCTGTGATGCGGCTGATATCGAGCTTGTCATCAAGGACATTAACGATATTCTCAAGATCGATTGCATATAAGTAATAAGGCGGGATTTACTTCGAAGCCTAAAGTTGTTAAATACAAAGTGAAAGCTAAATAATTCGAGTAATTCCAAGCTGCGTTAGTACGTAGCCAAAAGCTTTCCTAATAGTCTTGTCAACTTTCTATCTAGCTATGGAATAGTACGCTGGCAGCCCACGTCCAATTGTTAGTTTTTTTCCGGAAAGCGGATGTGCGATTTTCATTAATTCTCTTGTCTTCTGTCAAGTGATGCGTTAGTTTCAGAAGAAAAGGTTGCCGAGTAAGACATATAAATAGGGGAGCAGCGACTGTGCTCTACTGATTTCAACGACCTATAGTTCGGAAAATGTTGTTATTCAAATAGCTGGTCAGGATCTATTAGACTTCAAAAGTTATAAAAGTTAGGCGCCCTATTACAACAAACTCATCGACTATGACTAAAACTCATAAAGCCGTTGTTCTCCAGCGTAAAGGAGAAATCAAGATTGAAGATAGACCAATTCCCGAAATTGAGGATCCGCATTATGTGAAATTGCAAATCAAAAAGACCGGAATCTGTGGGTCTGACATTCACTACTATCTCACAGGAGCAATTGGTGATTTTGTTCTCGAGCAACCCATGGTTCTTGGCCATGAGTCAAGTGGTATCGTTGTTGAAGTTGGCGAGAAGGTTACTAGAGTCAAAGTGGGCGATAGAGTTGCCATTGAACCCGGTGTGCCAAGCAGATACTCGGATGCCACCAAAGCAGGCCGCTACAATCTGTGTCCCAAGATGGCTTTCGCTGCGACGCCTCCTTACGACGGCACCTTGGTCAAGTACTACTTGGCGCCAGAGGATTTTGTAGTCAAACTCCCAGATCACGTATCCCTGGAAGAAGGCGCTCTCGTAGAACCGCTGTCTGTCGGAGTGCACGCTAATAAGCTTGCGAAAGTCGCATATAACCAAAAGGTTGTAGTATTTGGAGCCGGTCCCGTCGGTTTACTTACGGGTTCCGTTGCTAAAGCCTTCGGAGCTTTCAAGGTTGTGTATGTTGACATCTCACCTGAAAAGCTGAAGCTGTCTTCGAGCTTTGGCGGAACCGGTGTCGTCAATTCCTCTGAAGCCAAGAGCGACGATCAATTGGTAGCCGAAATTGAGAAAGCGCTCGAGGGTGACCAGCCAGAAGTAGTCTTTGACTGCTCTGGTGCCGAAATTTGCATCAGATCAGGTATAAAGGTTTGCAAATCCGGTGGAACTTATGTTCAAGTTGGTACCGGCAAAGAAGACGTCAACTTCCCTATTGCGGCCATTGGGCCTAAAGAATTGAAGGTGCTGGGTTGCTTTAGATACGCTTTTGGTGACTACCGCGACGCGGTCCACTTGATCTCATGTGGTGACGTTGATGTCAAGCCATTGGTGACACATCGTTTCAAGTTTAGCGAAGCTGTGGATGCTTATAATTTCAACGCAAAGTCTGGTGCTAATGCTATCAAGACCATCATCGACGGCCCAGAGTAGTGACGTTGACCTTGTATATTATGATTACCGGGCAAGAAAGAAGGATAGAGCAAGGTAAATGGCTTGCTGTATCGGAAATTATCTGATGCCGATTTATATGCCAGGACTGGCGAGTTGGCGTCATAGGCTGTGAGCAATCTGGTTTCTCGAGCGTGCCCACAGCGGCAACTGAACATTTTTATTTCATACTTAAATAATGAACCTCAAAGCACTGTTCCATCTTCCAAGGTAACCGAACTTGACTTTGTCCTTGCAGTTGCGAAAACAGCGTTGCTTCCCTCTTCTTTAACTGCTTCGTGATTGCGATTCTAGCCTTCAAGGTGCGTAGTCAAAGGGAGAGCGTGCAACCGTTAGTCTAAGCGATGTTCACCACTTTCCACCCAGCTTTGGCACTTTTAACTATTTGCGAGCTTCAAAGTGTGCAGCGAAACGCAACAATCAGCCTGTACATAACGACAGGTGTACTAATGATTGCTACGTCAATTAGAGCGTTCATTGGGCCTTAGAATGCTCACTACTTTGTTAGATTTCCCATACATGCCGTTGTTGACCGCTAAGGTTGGCAACTTCCTCCCCGCAATAAATAGTGAATGCCAATATAGCTTGCAAAATAGTTTACGTCCACGAACAAAATTCGCCCTGCTGAATCGCAGACGAAGAGTGACTCCTGTGGTTTACCAGTTTTTCGAGCAGCATCGGGTGATATAGCAACTCTCACGTCGATCTGCTAGTGCTAGCCGCCGTTGCTTAAATATAATTGAAATATCAAAGAAGGTATGTATGAAAAGCTAAAACTAGGTTCTGCTTGCTGGCGATATCTAGAGGGCTGTCGAAATTGAAGCGGAGCACTATAGGGCATTCAAAGATCTTATTTCGACAAGTTCGTCTATATTCCTCTACACTTTTATTCGTGAATGATGACGATTGTTAGTATTAATACTTAAATCCACCCAGATCTGCGTCACAGGTATAAAACTAAGCTATTGTGCCATTAGCCTTCTTTCCAGTTATAAGTATCGGAATACTTGATCTTCGTTAGGAAGCCGCTTCCTAGAATACCGAACTTTGAAGATGTCCCAACTTTTCAGCCTGTTGAATTGCCTATTACAATTGGTACAGTTGGCACAACTGGCACAGCTGGCGACGGCAGGCCAAACGCATGAGTACAACTTTACCACTGGTTGGGTACGAAAGAATCCGGATGGGATGCAGGAAAAGCAGATGATTGGTTTCAACGGCATGTGGCCGATTCCAGAAATACATGTTAATAAAGGTGACCGACTCATAGTACGGCTTACGAACGGGTTTGAAGACATGCCCACTTCGCTGCATTTCCACGGGTTTTTTCACAGGCAATCAGACGAGAACCGGAACCAGATGGATGGCCCACAAATGGTGACGCAGTGTCCCATTATGCCTGGTGACACATTTGTGTACAACTTTACGGTCGTCAATCAAGTGGGTACCTACTGGATTCACTCTCATTCCGGTGCTCAGTACACAGACGGGATGAGGACGGCACTCATTGTGCATGACGAAGACGAGCCGTTCGAATATGATCAAGAAATGGTCATCCAACTTAGCGACCACTACCACAAGCCTTATTACGAAGTCGTAGACGAGTTCCTCAGCAGGTACAATCCCACCGGCGCTGAACCTATTCCACAGAACATTCTATTCAACAATACCGTCAACGCTTCCATCAGCTTTGATCCTGACACCGTCTATCTCTTGAGGTTCATTAATGTCGGGAACTTTGTGGCACAATACGTGTATATGGAAGACCACGACTTTACCATTGTGGAGGTAGACGGTACATACGTGCGACCAAACACGACGAGCTTACTGTATTTGGCTCCGGGTCAAAGAACATCGGTCCTGGTCCACTCCAAGTCACAGAGCGATAAAAACTACGCGCTCATGCAAATAATGGATGAAACCATGCTCGATGCAGTACCTGACGACTTAGTACTGAACAGAACTAATCAAGTGCTTTACAATAAGAGTGCGCCTGAAGCCGGCGAGTTCTTCATCAACTCTTTTGAGGATGCCACCAATGATTTTTACTTGACCCCTTTGTCGGGGACAGAATTGCTCCCTGATTACGATTATCGCATTACGCTTGACGTAAAGATGGAGAATTTGGGTGATGGTGTGAATTACGCTTTCTTCAATAATATCACATATGTGGCACCAAAGGTTCCATCTTTGATCACGGCAGTTACTGCTCCAAAGCATCTAGTTAAGAATCCATCCATTTACGGCGACAATGTAAACGCATTTGTCCTGGAGTATGGTGAAATTGTCGAGGTTGTTTTGAACAACTATGATGATGGTAGACACCCATTCCACTTGCATGGACACAGTTTCCAAATAGTTCAGAAATCTCCCAGTTTTGCAGAAAGTCCTGAGGGCAATGGTGAACCGGGTTCTCCAACTCCCTATAATGAAAGCGCGCCTCTGATGAAATTTCCGGACATACCTATGCACAGGGACACGGTCATTCTAGAGGGTAATGGTCACACTGTGCTCCGGTTTGTTGCTGATAATCCCGGCGTCTGGTTATTCCACTGCCATGTTGACTGGCATCTCGAGCAGGGCCTTGCAGCTCTCTTCATCGAAGCGCCCTTACTATTGCAGGAGAAAGAAGATTTTACAGAAAATTACCTACAGGTTTGTTCTTCCGCAAATATAGCAGTTTCTGGAAATGCCGCTGGTCACGAAGATGACTGGTTGAATCTTGAAGGTCTTCCAAGACAGCCAAAGCCGCTCCCAGAGTCCTTCACGTGGAAGGGTTACGTTGCATTCGCTGTTTCCACCGTCGTCGGTCTGTGGGGGCTGCTAACAATAGTACAGTATGGTATCAGCGAATCTGTTCAAGACGACGAGGCTATATACAACAACCTACAAAATCTGTTAAAGGATGCAGGGGAAACGAGCTAAATAATTACGAGGGAATAAGAGGTGTAAATAAGGCTTCAATGCAGCATTGAAGTGTTGATGGCTTTTTTAACGAAGTTTGCATTATACAGAAAAATTTCATAATTCAGAACTGGAACTGCAGATCTGGCGGATGCTCTCTGTGTATTATCTATAGAGTGGCTAGACCGTGGCAAAAGGAAGTTGATGTCCATGATCAGGAGAGCCATGTTTGGTGGGATTACTTGTCCCAAAAACATATGGAATTCGGGACTTCTGAAAAATATTCAGAAGACCACTGTCTCTGCTCATCGACACATCCATGCAACTCGTACACTTAGATCATATGAAGAGGAGAAGGCCGTCTTGGACGAAATTGCCCCAAGACTAACGGACAAGGATCGTCAAACCTCGAGCATCCTGCGTAACATCGGTATTTCCGCCCACATTGACTCAGGCAAGACCACCTTCACAGAGCGTGTTCTATTCTACACTGGGCGTATCAAAGCTATCCACGAGGTAAGAGGCCGTGATAATGTCGGTGCAAAGATGGACTCTATGGATCTGGAAAGAGAGAAGGGTATTACCATTCAGTCTGCGGCTACTTATTGTTCTTGGGACAAAGATGGCCAGAATTACCATTTTAATCTAATCGATACTCCAGGCCACATTGACTTCACCATCGAAGTAGAACGTGCCTTGAGAGTCTTGGACGGTGCTGTACTGGTTGTTTGTGCAGTTTCTGGCGTGCAGTCGCAAACAGTCACCGTCGATCGTCAAATGAGAAGATATAATGTTCCAAGAATTACCTTTATCAACAAGATGGACCGCATGGGCGCAAATCCCTTCAGAGCCATCGATCAGATCAATAAAAAGCTTAAAACACCAGCTGCTGCGCTTCAAGTTCCTATTGGAGCTGAATCCGAACTAAAGGGTGTGGTCAATATCATTGACCGTGTGGCTTTGTACAATGAAGGTGCCAAAGGTGAACAGATTGTAACCGGTCCTATTCCTAACGAGCTCAACGACTTAGTTGAGGAAAGAAGAGCCATGTTGATCGAAACCCTTGCCGATGTGGATGACGAGATCGCTGAAATTTTCTTGGAAGAACAAGAGCCTTCGATTGACCAAATAAAGGCTGCCATCCGTAGAGCCACCATCGCGAGAAAGTTCACACCTGTTTTGATGGGATCAGCTTTGGCTAATAGAAGTGTGCAGCCCGTTCTCGACGCCATCGTTGATTACTTGCCTAATCCTTCTGAGGTTCTAAATACGGCTTTGGACGTGTCCCAGGGGGAAAGTAAAGTCAATCTTATCCCATCCGTACAAGAACCATTTGTAGGCCTCGCTTTCAAATTAGAAGAAGGTAAGTATGGTCAACTAACCTATATTAGGGTTTACCAAGGGCGTTTGAAGAAAGGTGGTTACATCTCAAATGTAAAAACCGGTAAGAAAGTTAAAGTCTCTCGTTTGGTAAGAATGCATTCTAATGATATGGAAGATGTTGACGAAGTCGGCTCGGGGGAAATTTGTGCCACTTTTGGTATTGACTGCGCTTCCGGAGATACATTCTCCGATGGTGCTTTGAACTACTCCATGTCTTCAATGTACGTTCCTGACGCCGTTATCTCTCTATCAATTACACCCACTTCTAGAGACTCGGCTAATTTCTCCAAGGCGCTGAACAGGTTTCAGAAGGAAGATCCCACTTTCAGGGTGAGATTCGATGCGGAATCTAAAGAGACCGTTGTTTCCGGAATGGGTGAACTTCACTTGGAGATTTATGTCGAAAGAATGAAACGTGAGTACAATGTTGATTGTGTTACTGGTCAGCCTCAGGTATCCTACAGAGAATCGATTACTATCCCTGCAGAATTTGATTATACCCATAAGAAGCAATCCGGAGGTGCTGGTCAGTACGGTAGAGTTATGGGCGCTTTGAGTCCTCTTGAGGGATCGAGCAGTAATAAATTCGAAACTGCTATTGTTGGTGGTCGCATTCCGGATAAGTATTTGGCTGCCTGTGGAAAAGGTTTCGAAGAAGCCTGTGAGAAAGGGCCATTAATTGGTCACAAAGTCTTATCTGCGCATATGTTGATCAATGATGGTGCTATTCATGCAGTTGATTCTAACGAGCTGGCATTTAAAACTGCTTCAATGGCAGCTTTTAAGCAAGCGTTCTTAGAAGCAAAACCTGTCATTCTAGAACCAGTCATGGCAGTGACAGTCACTGCTCCAAACGAGTTCCAAGGTAATGTTATTAGTTTGCTCAACAAATTGCAAGCTGTCATTCAGGACACTGAAAATGGTCAAGACGAATTCACCATTAGTGCGGAATGTTCTTTGAACACGCTTTTCGGCTTTGCAACCTCGTTGAGATCATCAACTCAGGGCAAAGGTGAATTTTCACTCGAGTTCAAACATTACTCACCCACCTCACCACATTTGCAGAAACAACTGATTGCTGACTTTGAGAAGAAGCAACAACAAAAGAAATGAGATGGTGCGCGATGCCGTCTTGTTCGTTACTGAACCAACGTAAAAATGACTTTATTCTTGTAAAAATTTGTAAATAGCCTGTATGTGGAAGATGTATCTACCTTTGAGTTGAGCGTGTGATTAATGCTTTGCTGATTTGCTACTTGGTGTAAGTATCATCTGCCTTTATCTTGCCGAGAAGATCTTCGATCTTTGGGCCCATTAGCGGTTGACCTGAGCGCGTGCGCTGGGTAACTTTTGAGGACCTTACGTTTCTTTGTTTTTCCTTATCCCTTACCTCTTTTACCTTGTCTTGTTCGTACTTCTGTCGTTGTAATGCCTTGTCATGCTGCTGTCTACCACGCATTTTTTTTAGCTCTTTCTTCTCGTCCAGCTTCTGGCGATTACCCACAGCGTTCTGTGCCTTTAATTCCTTGTAGCTAAGCTTTGCTTCGCTGCTTTTTTTGTCAGGGACCGCATATCCTTCTTCTTTCAAAGCTTTAAAATAGTCTTTCTTTAAACGTGCCTTCTTGACGAGATTCTTTTGAATCTCTCGCACTTTGTATTCTTTACTATGCTTCTCGATACGTGGCGGCATCCTGAAGTATCTACAGCTAGTGTTTACTCTTTCAACTCTTTTCCTCGAATTTTTGATAGTTGGCGATGAGCTTGATGGACCAGACATTTTTTTGAATAGAATTTTGGGAGTTGAATTGAATCTTAAAAGAAAACATCTGAATAGGAAAAACTCTTGGGTTTACCGCTAAGTACGAGAATTTAACGTTCTAGGTCTTCCAGAAGCCTTTACCGTGGTTATTGGTTTTATCTCGACAGCTTCAGACTCATAGTAGCAATAGCGGCCAACCATAGTGCCGTTTTTCTGAAGGCCAGTTTTTTCATATACTTCATGATAAATGGATGGAGCACGAACAAGTTTGTTACTAAACTTACGATGTTGGCGCAGTGGGTGTCACAGACGTCAAATTGGTAGCATGGCTACTACCTTACCAAAGGAGATTCAGAGAATTGTGGGAGAGCCGCAACAACAGTCACCATTACAAGTACAAGAACTCAACGCAGTGCTTACGTTCATGCGGAAAGGTCGTAACTTAACGATAAAACAGCGCGCTTCAATTATTCAGGGATTGTATCGACGAGATGCGCATCGTGAAGTTGTCACTGTAGCTAAATCAGCACTTTTTGATGGAGACCAGAATTACAGAGAAAATGTATCCGCTGTTGAACTCAAAAAGTTCTTTTCGTCGCTTATATCTATGGGCAGAACAATGCAGCTGGCAGAGAAAATGTTTCAAATGATCAAACAATTCTCGTTGACACGTAATACCATGGTTATGAGCGTCATCAATGCAACCTTTGTCCAAACCTCTACACAATATGACGTGCCAGAAACTCTACTCGTGTGGATTAAACTTTACAAATACCTAGAAGGGCACGCTGATTTTACGAATTACGAAATTGATAAACCCGTTTTGAAGACTCTCTTATTTTATCTTCGAAGTAAAAAGCTAGATCTGAGTACCATTCAGGAGACGCTGGAGTTGATCGGCGGTACACAAGGCCCTCTCATGGCTTCCCAATTTGCTTCTACTTTGATATATCTAACCTCGTACAACCGGGACTTTGACCTGACGGAAGGCCTCTGGAACTACAAGATTGAAAAGAAGTATCCAATTATTAGCTCCGATTTAACCCAGATCTGTAAAGCATACTGTCATTTTGAAAAATTTCGTCTTGTCCAGCAGACTCATTCCCAGCATCCAGAAGCTCACGATGACAACTCACAGTTTGATTATCTTCTGATCGCCTATGCCAAGCAGCAGGATTGGCAAAGTCTGCAAAATCAATTCAATGCCCTTTTCGGCATTGGAGAACTGCCAAATATAAACCATTATGGAATAGTCATGTTCTCAGTAGCGCGTTTGGGAGAAAAAGAAATGGTTGAAAAACTCTACCACCAACTTCTAAGAAGAAAAATGATTCCGACATTACCAGTACTACAAGCCTTGTTGCAAGCTTACTATAAAATTGGGGACTTTAACGGTTGTTTTCAGCATTTTGAACTCTTTAACAAATATGATATTAAACCAACTCCGTCTACGTGCCAAATAATGCTTCAGGTATACCGCAATTTATGCGACGTAGACGGGTCATTGAAATTTCTAAAAAAGATGACTGATTCCAATGTTGAAATGTCGGAGCGACACTTTTCAACAATTATCAATACATGCGCGAAGACGACAAATCATGCTATCGCAGAACAGCTCTTCCAAGTCATGAAATCTTACTACAATATAATTCCAACGGGTGCTTCAGTCGCAGCACTGGCACATGTTTACATTGAGAGTAACATGCCTCAGCTTGCACTGAAGCTGTTCAAAGAATACTGCAACTGCAAGCCACCGTTGGAAAATGAAATTGCCATCTACAATAAAGCTGCAGAGGCATATATGCGCATGGGTCTCAACGACATGTCTGAGAAGATTTTTGAGGAAGTTTTGGGAAAGAATCTTCCAGCAAACTCTGAATTTTACACAGTTATGATAAAACACCTGTCCTTGTACATGAAAGACTACAGCACTGCAGAGAACGTTTTAGATCAATTACTGAATCACCCAAAACTCAAAGCATCCCCTTCGCATTTTGAAGCACTAATGAAGGCATATGATAGAGTCTCTAATCGCGACGCAGTTCTAAAACTGTATCAAAAGATACTAGACAATAACGTACCAGTAAACTCTAAGATTCTCTATTATCTGATAAAAGCCACTTTTAAGATGAGACTGAGGTCTAAAGAAAATCTAGACGATGCAATAGATCTTGTTGACGACATCATGAATCGAGCCGCCAACAGAACACTCGACATCACTTTTGAGAAACTTCACCCGTCGGTGATGGCGTGGCCTATGAGGGCAGCAGCCAAGTTCCATAGCCCTATGAGAGCAATCGAATTGATGAATAAGTACAATGATTTGTTTTTCGAGAAAACGGAGTCAACCGCTAGCAACCTTGTTGTGATGAGAAGTCTTCTAGTCTTGTCTGCAGAGGTCCATCAATGGGATGATTTCCAAAAAATTTACGAAAGATATATGACGAAAATCTCCTTCTATCAGAATTTACCATCTGCAATTGTTAGAAATAAGAGACTAGACTCACTACTGATTGGTATTTTGAGTTACAAAATAAAGCATTTAGTAGCTTCAGACCGTGTCACTGAAGTTTCAAAATTGTTGAAAGACACCTCAGAGAAGAATCTGGTGATCGATAACGATGCTTGGAATGAAGCTATTTTGAGCATGTTTGCTGATACACGTACGATAGAAGATGGCATTCAATTGGTTGATTCAAAACTCATCCACGGTTTCAATGTAACCCACAAGTACAGGCTCTTGAGGAAACACGCTGCTGCAAATACCTCCACAGACAGAAACTCTTGGTTTTTAGAAAAGAAGAGACAAAATCCTAACAGTTTCCAGCCTAAACTGTACTTGAAATCTAGCGTCTTTGACAGGGTTACTGAGGCTATGGACAATTACTTGAACACTCAAAGTGATTTGGAGACAGAGCTCACAAGGCTTACAACACACTACAAGTATTTCATGAAAAGTTATTTGATGAGCCCAAGAAACAAAATTTCTGAGTGGGCAGACATCGAAACAAGGCATGCTCCATACTTGCAAAAGATTAGAAGTGGCAAGAGGGCGATTAATACCGGCGAAGTGCCATTTTGATCGTGGCTATAAAGACTAAGCGTAAGGTGAGCATTTACCATACCCCTCTCGTGTATATATTCGATCTTCACTCTTAAAGACAATAAGTATTCATGACTGTAACGAAATCCACATATTTAAAAACAAGCTCCTTACTGCGATTGTTGATTATTGGGCTTTTTAGAGTCTTTTGAGGAAGCTTTGGAGTCCGATATTTTAATAAGAGTTTCCCCTGTAGTTTCACCATATACTAAAGTTCCCACCCACGGTTGAATGTTCCAGTGCAGCTTGAAAGTCAAGTCCCTTTCGCTTAGCTTCTCTTCGATGTCCCAAATGGAGTACTTGGACTTTGCGTTCCTTAGCGTGATATGAGCGTTAGCCTTATCGGTGATGATAGAGTCCCAGAAAGCTACCTCGCTCTTGACACTCGGTTTCAAGGTGCCGTTGTAAGTGGCTGTGACATATGCGAACACCTGCTTGGTGTTCCAGTTAAAAAGGGGTGTCAGGTCTGCGTCTAGATCAAACGAGAGCTTCAGGTTTTCCTTAGGCTTCCCATTAATCGATCCGTAGTATCGGCTTGTTCTTACATTAATGTGGCTGGGTTAAAAGGATGTTTGGAATTAGTAAATTGAGCTCTATCGCTAGCCTGCTAGAGGGGAACAAGCGTTCCAAAAAGATTATACTTACGGTTGGACATTCCCTACCGATGATGGCAATGCAAACGCGTTGTCCTTGTATAGTTGTGCCCAAAATGTACCCACTACGAAAACCGCTGCGAAAATGGCAAAACTCAGCGCCTGGTTGCTAGTTTGCTGAAATCTTTGCGTTATCGAAAACATTGTTGTCTGTCTCACTTACAAGTTGTAGCGGCGATCTCCCAGGCAATTTGTAGTGGTTCACTTCTCAGAATTGTTGATTATGCTAGACCTTAAATTCTTGAGTCACGTAGGTGTTCGCTCGAATTTTTGTCTGGGTGATCCAAATCACTATGTCTGTCGCTGACGCGAGTGTCAGGTAAATAAAAGTATATTCAGCTTCCTTTTAAGAAGGGAAAGTAGGCCAACAGTTCTTGTGGTAACGACTCTATCAACACATATATTTGAGTTTGCCATAACCAGCACGAGTGTTTATTTCATTAAAAATTCATTGGTTTTGCAATGGTGTGGACGACTACGTATAAGATTCCACAGAGCATAGCCATTTTAGCTGTGGCAGGAACTATGCTGGGGATGGATATTTCATCAATGTCTATTTTTTTGGGGTCAGAGTACTTTAACCGTTACTTCAACTACCCCGGGCCGGTTATTCAAGGCTTAATGACCGGGGCGAACCCAGTTGGTGGTTTAATTGGGTGCGTGCTCTTCGGAATTTTGACGGAAAGAATAGGACGTGTCACCACGTTTCAAGTAGTGGCTCTTATTTGGATACTTGGATCGGTAATTTCTGCGATGGTACTGAATGTGACAATGTTGATAGTCGGTCGCTTGGTGCGAGGTATCGCCGTTGGCACATTGTCGGTTTTGCTGCCGGTGTACATCGGAGAGGTTATTCCATCTAATAAAAAAGGTGCTGCTACCTCAATAGTACAGCTAGCATTAACTTTGGCTATTTTAGTGACATTTTTCACTTGTTTCCTCTTGAATTTTCTCGAGAACCAAATTTCATTCCGTGTCGCATGGGGTTTAGAGATGATACCAGCTCTAGTTTTCTTCTTGTTGAGTTTTTGTCTGAGTGAATCACCCAGGTGGCTGGTTGCGCATGGTCAATACGATCGAGCACAAGATATTCTGCAGCATTTTGCCCAGGGAAAAGTTAGTAACGCTAATATCACAAAGATTGACATCCTCGAGATGTACGGAACCAACCAAAGAACTGGTTATTGGGACCTTTTGTCGAAGCCACTTTTGAAGTACACTCTTATTGGAGTTACGGTTCAAGTTCTGGTGCAAGCTTGCGGAATCAACATTCTGATGTTTTACATCGTGTACATCTGTGAAATGATTGGCCTCAAGGGAACCAGCAAATTAAGCGCCGCTTCTGTCCCGTATCTCATTAACGTGGTCTTCACTTGTATTCCAATTTTAACCTTAGACCGTCTGCGGCGGAAGCTCGTTATTGTGCACGGTGGCATTTCTTTAGCATGCACCATGACCTTGATCGGCATTATGATGGGTTGTTTGGGGCACAAGGTCCCCCCAGTAAATGGAAACAGCACTATTGTATGGGAGGTAACCGGGACACCTGGGCTAATTGTTTTGGCATTGTGCTTTTTGTTTGTAGCCATTTTCGCATCGACACTATCGTGCTGTGCATGGCTATACACAAATGAGGTTTTGCCAGCTAGGGCCAAATCCAAGGGTATGGCTTTGTGTATGGCGACTAGCTGGTTTTTGAATTCATGTTTGACTTTTACTACGCCGCTGCTTCTCAGTAAGATTAAGTGGATCACATTTGTTCTATTAGGAGTGGTCACCATCATTCTTTCAACAATAATTGCAATATGGTTTCCAGAGACTCGAGAAAAGAAGGAATTAGAGCCCCAACCCGACGAGGTTACGTCTAAAAACTCGAATGAGGATACTTCTGAAGTAGAAAAGGAGACAAGGTCAGCGGCACCATCGCCATATATTCATGAAATGAATAAGATTGAGCTAATTGCTGAGCAAGGTTATCAAGAGACGGTTTGAATAAGCAGTGTTGCCACAGACTTCGAACTTTCAGGCATACAACTTTAATTATAAATATTGAGTAATATTTTTTATTTTATGACGACTAACCTAGCATTCAATATCTACTCGAGGCCAAACAATTATTCTCAAAACAATATTTTCTGTCAAATTCGCGCTATAGAGGTATATATCGGTGTATTGACGTTCCTTTATCCCTATCATAAGGTTTAAAAAAGCCTTCACGGCAAGAAATGTAAATAAGCTGTCAATAAACCAACAACTTTCTTGAACCGGGACTTTAGAAAGCATTCCATCACACTCCTAAAGATGCTTAGAAACACTTTAGGTGGACGATAGAAGGACCACTTTCGTCGTATTCTTGCTTTGAGATCCACATCTGTTGGAAAGTGGTCAAAGAAGCCAAAATAGAACCACCAATCCAGACGGAGTACTTTCTCTCTGGTGGAGCGATGATCTTGACCTTCATCGAAGATGGAGCCAAAGCAGTGATCTCCTTTTGCATTCTCTCAGCAATACCTGGGAACATGGTGGTACCACCGGACATAACAATGTTACCGTACAATTCCTTACGAACATCAACGTCACACTTCATGATAGAGTTGTAAGCGGTTTGATCAATACCAGCGGCTTCTAGACCTAGTAGACTTGGGTGGAACAAAGCTTCTGGAGCTCTGAATCTTTCGTTACCGATAGTGATAACTTGACCGTCAGGCAATTCGTACGACTTCTCGATGGCGGACGATTGAGCGGCGGTTTGCATTTCTTGTTCGAAGTCCAAAGCAACGTAACACAACTTCTCCTTGATGTCACGAACAATTTCTCTTTCGGCAGTGGTGGAGAAAGAGTAACCACGTTCACTCAAGATCTTCATCAAGTAGTCGGTCATGTCTCTACCGGCCAAGTCGATTCTCAAGATACCGTGAGGCAAGGAGAAACCGGCGTAAATTGGAACGACGTGGGTGACACCGTCACCAGAGTCCAGCACGATACCAGTGGTTCTACCAGAAGAGTACAAGGACAAAACGGCTTGGATCGACACGTAGAACGCAGGAACATTGAAAGTTTCGAACAGGATCTGGGTCATCTTCTCTCTGTTGGACTTAGGGTTCATTGGAGCCTCGGTCAACAAGACTGGGTGTTCTTCTGGAGCAACTCTTAGCTCGTTGTAGAAGGTGTGGTGCCAGATTTTCTCCATGTCGTCCCAGTTGGTCACGATACCGTGTTCGATTGGGTAACGCAAAGTCAAGATACCTCTCTTGGATTGCGCTTCGTCACCCACGTACGAGTCCTTTTGACCCATGCCGACCATGATACCCTGGTGTCTTGGTCTACCCACGATAGATGGGAAAACGGCACGGGGAGCGTCGTCACCGGCGAAACCGGCTTTACACATACCGGAACCGTTGTCAATAACCAATGCGGCAACTTCTGCATAACGGGAGTTAGTATTCAGCTAAATGCTTCCAATCCAGAGGCCATTTGCGCTGCATGAGGGCCCACACTCACATTTATTTCCAAGAGGTAGTCCTGTTACCCGTCTTGATCATGTGTGTGTGTGTTTTTTTCTTTCGGACAGTTAACCGTGATTGGAAAATAGGGGCTCTAACGAAGCTATGATCACGGTTGTGTTTGTTGATCTTGGCCAAACAGTGTGGAAATTTGAGTGTTTCGTCCGATCCAAAGCATTTTAACGGTGCTAAAAGCAGGTATCGTAACGGCGCCAAAAAGACACGCAATTAGTGCGTAGAAAGGCCCTGTAGTAACGAATTCAGCTGTAAAAATCACTAGCCAACGTCTCAAAATATATTCTTCCAATTTGCATGATGACCAAAACCACGGCAGAACCAACATTAACAGCACGAGAACGTAGCAGAGCCCTTCCAGCAAGCCTAGCAAGCCTAGCAAGCCGCTAGGAATGCAAAAATCGCGAAGACGTGGGAGTCCAAAATACGATCTAAACACGTCGTCTGTGCCCCCTCAAAAGCCTCCACGCAGCGCCAAGCGCCTCAATTGTCCCGTAAAACTCGCTCAAACATACCGGAATCCATTGTTTTGTTTATAAAAGTCTTTTGTTCGGCTTGTCTCGAATAGACTTGTCCTGTTACAAGTAAACAAGTGTATGTTACGGTGGCAATCTTTTATAAAACTTGAGCCTACTTTAAAAAAATTTCCAAATTAGAAACCGAAGAGCACTCCGTACGAATACGGAAATCGAGATAGCGTAATTAGCACTGTGACAGAATAAGAAGTCGTAGAGCTACCGGTTCAGACTCGCGCTAAGTTTGTAAATTGGCAGGTTGATATGGGACATACAGATGTGCGCTTTGGCCAATTTCTGGGGATCATTTGAGGGTCTTGTGGGTTTTCCAAGTTTCGAGAGAATTGCGATATTTATTGGGTGGGTGAAGGTTCGCTGAGTATGGTTGGGGGCATCTGTACTTTGTAAGTTTGCTAGCGCTCACTTTTTTGAACATAGTATGCACTTACTGCACCTCAGGAACTTCTGGACTTTTGCACGACTGCTACTTGATTCTACAAGTCCCTTCCTCTGTGGTCGTGCGATGGCTATATTGAAACATGGCTTCTGCCAATGGATGATATGTTGTCGCATAACAAAGAATTCGGTCGTGTCTCGATTATGCGAGAGTCGTCTCTCGTTGTACAGGAAAACTCTCATCGTGATTCTGCAATATTTTTGGCAGCCCTGCGAATCACCTTCACCACGATACTTCACCTGCGCTAGCAATTCCCACGACTTTTCAGACTGTAGCAATACGGAACTTCCGTTAGCATCCTTTGATGACACACAATAATTTCTTGAATCCCCGAAGAGTACCGATTAGTTATCAAGCCATGAGAGGGAGAGAGAGAGAGAGAGAGAGAGAGAGAGAAGA